ATCAAGATAGACTACCACGTGGCCCTCGTTGATCAGTTCTCGGAGTATGTCATTCATCATGTTTTGGAAGGTTGCCGGGGAGTTTGTGAGACCGAAGAACATGACCAAGGGCTCATACAGTCCGCGGTTCGTGCGGAATGCAGCCTTCCACTTGTTGCCCTCTTTGATCCGTACGTTATTGTATCCCCACTGGATGTCGAGCTTGGTGAAGAACTTTGCACCGCATAGATTATGGACCAGTTCGGAGATCAGCGGCAGCGGGTACCGATTTCGGATTGTCATCTCATTCAGCTTTCAATAATCTTGGACGGGGCCGTAGCAAGCCATCCTTCTTCTTGACAAAGAAGAACGCTGATGCCATGGGTGATTTGGAAGGCCTGATCCGTCCGCTGGCCAGGTTCTCTTGTAAGAACTCGTCGAGTTTGACCTGTTCGTTTCGTGATAACGGGTACACCTTGCAGTCCACTGCTTTGGAACCTGGTTTGAGCTCGATTGCATGGTCCCATGCCCGTCGGTCTGGCAGCGAGTCGAACGATTCCTTGGCGAATACTTTGACAAATTCCCGATATTGATCCGGAATCTTCCCCTCAGTCATCCTCTCCTTCTCTTTTTCCGCTTCTTCTGCGAATTTCTGCGCCGGCGTTTCCTTCAACCATAGATCCACCTCCTTCCCAAAGTCAATCAGCAGGATTGACTCTCCCTCTTCCAGATCCGGTGCACCTGCGTCCAGGTCAATTGCATCCATGTCGATCATCGCTTGATGCTCCTCGTGACCCCTCATGTGGCACCGCTCTGGACATCGACTGAACCTCATCGTCTGCTCCTGCCAATCCACCTCGGGGTTGTGTTCCGTCAGCCAATCAAGACCGATGGAGATCCGAGCTTTCCCTAAACACGTCAGAAGGAACGTGCGTGTCTCCACGTGAGGACCGATTCTCATCCTTAGGTCGACGTAATGCGTGATCCGACCGCTGATGTTCTCGGTGTTGTCAGCGTTACGAGCCACAATGGGTTGGGGAAGTTCTTGGATATCCAGCTTTTCTGCCCGCGCGTAGTCGGTATCAATGCAGCAGGTGCTACAGCCACTATCGAGTAGCGCCTTGACTCCGCGCGTCTTTCCTGAGTCCAGGCCCGTGATCTGGACATACACATCCATCGAATGTCTCTTCCTTTCGGCCTGGTAGTTGCGCAGTTCCTGCGCCAGTCTGCTGGGTTGCGGGCCCTTCTGTCTCTCAGCTGCCCATTTCCTTTGAACGGCATCTGGCACCCTCGTGCGTTTGGGTGCTTCTGGAACCCTGATTTCGGCAGTTTCCTTGGGCGCTTCCTCCTTTTCCAAGGATTGAGCCTCCGGAGCGATGCTCCCCTTTTCGGTCTTTGTTGACGTGGTTCCTTCTTGTAAGGGCAACCTCGAGGCCCGATCTCAGAGTCCTGACAAGGGAGAGTCCAAAGCGTCAGATAAGAGGATCGACTAGTACAGGAGACTGGCAAACCTGACAAGGGAGAGTCCAAAGAGAAACCGAGTTGGGGACTCTCCTTGTCAGGGCCCACTATATATAGCCTACAGAACAATGGATGACCAAGCACAATGGAAGCGCCAGACAATAGGGCCAGGGAACAATGAGGGGCCGGATCGGGGGAGAACAATGGGAGCCGGACCGTCGGGACAATGGGGGTCCGGGCCGGAGTGTCATGGGGACGTGCTTGGCAGGGAAGTCCGGACCGAAGCATGTGATGCTTGACAGATGGCACATGCGCGGTCACATGCGAGATCCCATGATGATCGGACGAAAGCAGGGGTTCCCCTGACATCACCCCCCCTCTTGATTGCGGCGCCTCGACGCAAGGTACGGTTAGGGGCCGATGAGTTCCTGAAGGGTAGCGAGTCGAATACGGCTGCTGCAATGACGCGTGGCTTTCCCGGGTATCTGCGGTAGAACGCTGCCACTGCGTTGTCAGCAAAAACATCTGAGTGCTTGACCCACTGGTCATGAGACGGGTCGTAGCCCTTCCATCATACTCGGAACCAGACACTCCGGTAGCGCATCTTTGCGTCTAGGATCTCCTCCACTTCCCACTCCTCTCCTTCGCCTTGTCCCAGGACAGGGGGTGGTTCTTCGTGACGCGGGCGAGTGGGGAACGGGTCGTCTTCGGCCAACTGGAGCTTGACCACAGGGAAGACTGGGTGGAGGCGAGAGAGGCTGGTGGGGAGGGCGAGTTTGTATGCGCCCCGGCCTACGACTTGGGTGACTTTGAAGGGGCCCAGGCGTCGGTGGGAGAGGCCGCGGGAGGGTCGCGTCGTCGTGATGTCCGAGGCGTCGAGCCAGACTCGGCTGCCAACCTTGATGTCGGGAGCGGTAGTCCTTCGTCGGTCATAGTACCTCTTGTACTCGTCCTTTGCTTTGACAAGTGCCGATTTAGCCTCGGTTACACCCGATGCGACCCGGTCCAGAAACTCATTGGCGGACTCTGCTCGGGTGGAGCGCTGCTCTGTTGGCTCGAATCCCATGCGTGGTAAACGTCCCGTGTCCGTCATGAAGGGAACCTGCTGGGTCAAGGAGTGGACGTGGTTGTTGTAAGCGAACTCAGCTGCGGGCAAGAGCTCATCCCAGTCGTCCTGCTTGTAGCTGGTGAAGATCCGGAGGTACTGCTCCAACTCCTGGTTGACCCGTTCGGTCTGGCCATCAGTCTGCGGGTGGTAAGCGGTGGACGTGGCAGGGGAGACGCCAACCAGCTTCCATAGCTCTTGGGTGAAGTCTGCCACAAACTGAGGGCCACGGTCCGAGACGTATTTGATGGGTAATCCGTGGTGTCGCCAGACATGCTTGTAGAACAACCGAGCCATCCCTTCGGCCGAGAGGCGAGTGTGGCACTCGATGAAGTGGGCACGCTTCCCCAGCATATCAACGACCACCATGATGGCGTCGTAGCCGTGCGCCTCAGGCAGCTCCACGATAAAGTCCACCGACACCGATTCCCAACGTTCCGAGGGGATCTCCGTGGGGTGAAGCTCTCCGGTGGGGAGTCATCGGAGGGCCTTGGTCCGACAGCACAGGTCGCAGGTGGCCACGTACCGGCCAACATGTCGTGAGAGCTGGGGCCACCAGTAGTTCCGGGAGACCAGCTCCAGCGTCTTGAAGCGGCCAGCATGCCCCGCAACGCGGGTGTCATGATGTTGCTCAAGGATGCGTCGCCGTAGGTCTCTGTCACGCGGGACCACTAGCTTCCCACGGAAGTAGAGGAGGCCGTCCTGGATGCGCCATTCCGCTGCTACAGCGGAGCGGGCCCCCTTCATCCCTTTCAGAAGCCGTCGCGCTATAAGCGCAAGTTCTTCCTCAAGGTCAGGGTCACCGGAGAGCGATTCCCGAATGTCACGGACAAGCGGGGCTTCCGGGCCAGAGACGGACAGTCCTTCGAGTGCTCGCACATGGAACAGTTCCGGTTTCAACAGGGTAACGTCCGTGTTGTCCGAAGGGGCTCCGTGGTCCGGGCGTCGGGAGAGTGCGTCTGGTCGTCCCATGAGCCGGCCGGGTTGGTGGTGGAGCGTGAAGTCGAAGCGGGATAGGTAGAGCGACCATCGGGCTTGCCGGCGATTGAGGTTCTGGGCCTTGCAGAAGTACTCCAGGTTCTTGTGATCGGTCCAGATCTCCACCGGGTACTCGGCGCCCTCCAAGAAGTGCCGCCACTCCTCTAGAGCTCGCACAATTGCAAGCATCTCTTTGTCGTGGATCTCGTAGTTGCGCTGGACGTCGTTAAGGCTTTTGGAGAAGAAGGCGACTGGGTGCCACTTGTCGTCTGAGGGGGACTGCTGCGAGATGACGGCTCCTGTGGCAAAATCGGAGCTGTCAGCCTCTAGGCGATAAGGACGGGAGGAGTCTGGGAGGAGAAGAACCGGCGTAGAGGTAACTGCATCCTTCAAGGCCTGGAACAAAGTGGACTCGTTGTCGCCCCAAGACCATGGTACGTCCTTCTTGGTGAGGTCAAAGAGCGGGCGTGCAACGTGCAAGAAGTCCCGGATAAACCTCCGATAGAAGTTAGTGAACCCAAGGAACTGCTGCACTTCCTTCTTGTTAGAGGGGGCCGGCCATTCGGCTACGCCTGCCACTTTGACGGGGTCCATCTCGACGTGGTTGTGGGAGATGATCACGCCGAGGTACTCGATGGACTCCATCTCAAATTCGCACTTCTCGGCTCGGAGGTACAACTTGTTTTCGCGGAGGCGCCGGAGGACTTCGTTCACAATACGATGATGGAGGTGAGGATCGGAGTGCGCAATGAGGATGTCGTCCAGGTACACCATGACGTCGCCTGAGAGGATGAGGTCCTGGAGGATGTCATTCATCATGGTCTGGAACGTCGCGGGGGAGTTGGTAAGGCCGAAATACATCACCAGTGGCTCGAAGAGCCCACGGTTGGTCCAAAACGCAGCCTTCCACTCGTCTCCTTCTCGTATCCGTACGTTGTTGAAGCCCCATCGAACATCGAGTTTGGTGAAGAAGCGGGCACCCTTGAGCTTGTTGATCAGGTCGTTGATCAAGGGGAGGGGGTACCGATTCTTCACTGTCATTGCATTCAGTGCCCGGTAATCCTGGACAAACCGTAGGCTGCCATCCTTCTTCTTGACAAAGAAGACGGGGGAGGCCATGGGGGACTTCGAGGGTCGGATTCGGCCGGTGGCCATGCCTTCTTCGATGAAAGCGTCGAGCTGCTTCTGCTCCAAGGGGGAGATAGGGTAGACCTTGCAGTTTGTTGGCTTTGCATCGGGCACCAGTTCGATGGCGTGGTCCCAAGGGCGACGTTCCGGAAGATTGTCGAAGGATTCCTTGCTGAAAACATCCTCGAACTCGCGCGCCCACCCGGGTATGGAATCTCGAGAGGGGGCGGAGTTCTTGGCAAACGCCTCTGCAAGACGCTGGGAGACGGTGCTAGTGGCTCGGATGTTTTCAGAAGGGTTGAAACGGGTGTAGAAGATACGGTCACCGGTTTCCAGACAGTCTTCCTCTTCATCGGAATCTTCTCCGTCGTCTTCCTGGAGTAGCGGCATAGCCCCGTCTTTGCGGTCTTCCATGTCGACAACGCAGATGGCGGGCTATCCGTCTCTCTTGGCGAGACTCCTCGGTGCAGGTGGAGCAGCTGGACGGGCAGCGGCTCATCTTTACTTCCTGCGTGTCCCAGTTAATTTCCGGGTTGTGCTTCCGAAGCCAAGAGTAGCCGAGGATCAGCTTCTGCTTGCCGAGCCGAGTGACAGCAAGCTGGACCCGCTCACTGTGTCCTTGGTAACGCAGGACCACATCGGCGACTTGTCGAATGGAGCCAGCTTTGTTTGGCGTGCCGTCCACATTGTAGACTGGGATAGGCTGGGAGAGCTGCCGGACCGGAAGTCGGTTTTCGGAGGCGTAGGTGGAGTCGATGAAGTCCGACGTGGCGCCGCAGTCGACCAGTCCGTTGAGAGAGAGCTGGACTGCGTTGTCGGTGGACTGGATCTCCAGGGGGAGGTGCAGGGAGTTGGCACCAGGGGAGGCCGCAACTACATAGCGCTGAGGGAGTTTTCGTTCCCACTTTTCCTTGCGGACCAGCGGGACTGAGCGGGGGGCAAGAGGTACGTCTACCGTTTCGTTTGTGGGGGAAATGAGGTCGCATTCATCATACAGACATTCGAAACGATTACGTGAGGCGATCGAGGGCGTACTATTCACTCGTCGCGGGGGAGAAAACCCTGCTCCGACTCGTCGGCGATCTCCGCTTCATGCTCTTCTACGGCCGCTGTGGTTGCTAGCCGGGCTACTAATTCCGCCAATAAGTCGCTTCCCAGCTGATTGATCACTTCGTCCAGGATGTTGGTGTGCCGGACATCAGCGGGGGTCGGGCACTCTCGGGCCAGATGTCCCGGGCTGCCGCACCGGAAGCATGTGCGACGAAGACTGCTGCGGGCTCGGGTTTGGTCGATATCCATGGGAATGCCCGGTGGGAGGACTACCGGGGCTGGTCGGGGAACAGGGGGTGGGGCGACCACCGGAGGAGCCATGGGGCGAGGGCGGGGGGCCGCAGGAGGCGGAGCGCGGGATGGAGAGAACACCTGTCCTTGTGCAGCTCGGGCAGCCACCTCGGCGTTGTACTGGCGGAATGCGCAGGTATGCCACTCCGAGTAGTTTGTGAGGCTAGGCGGGTTACCGGAGGTCGTGATCGCCTGATTGATTCTGGGGTCCAGACCCGCCCGGTACTTGGTGACCTTGACCAAGTTGTCAGAGTAACCCGCCAAGTCGAGAAGGTCGTCGAACTCGTCCGTGTATTTGAACACGTCGCGGGATCCCATGTAGTAAGCGTGGGTCTCCAGTCGTGCCAGGGCGTGGTCTTGCTCGTTCTCCTCGACAAACCGGAGCTTGAACTCGGCCACAAAGGAGGACCAGGTCGGAAATGGGAAGACGAGGCGCTCTGACATGTGTTCTGACCAGGAGGCCGCCGAGTCCTTGGACATGTAGGAGAGGGCGAAACGTACCACCCGCTCTTCTGATACTCCCCCGTTCACATGGAAGGCCTCAGGGAGGAGGCGCCAGTACTGCTTGACGGAATGGAGAAACGTCTTGCCCTGGGTGCGATCTCCGTCAAACGCGAATGGGGGATTGGGGCGGATGAGGGGTCTCGAGCTGGCCTGTTGGCCAGTAAATACACCTGGACCCACTGCCGGAGACGGGGCAGGGACAGGGGCAGGCTGTTGCTGTTCGATTATGAAGTTGTTGAGGAGTCCCTCTATTCGCTGCATGGCTTCCTCTAGATTACCAAGTCGCTGCTCAGGGGAGGACCCGTGGTCTTCTTCTTCCATGTAGGACATGATGATCGTAGAGGGGGAGGAGGGGACAAGATTGGAAGTGAGAGGCGTATGACGCTATCGGTGGTCTTCACAAGCTTGTCCAGTTATCCCTAGGAACTCGGTTTCTGCTGTAAGGGCAACCTCGAGGCCCGATCTCAGAGTCCTGACAAGGGAGAGTCCAAAGAGAAACCGAGTTGGGGACTCTCCTTGTCAGGGCCCACTATATATAGCCTACAGAACAATGGATGACCAAGCACAATGGAAGCGCCAGACAATGGGGCCAGGGGACGATGAGGGGCCGAATCGGGGGGAACAATGGGAGCCGGACCGTCGGGACAATGGGGGTCCGGGCCGGAGTGTCATGTGGAAGTGCTTGGCAGGGAAGTCCGGACCGAAGCATGTGACGCTTGACAGATGGCACGTGCGCGGTCACATGCGAGATCCCATGGTGATCGGACGAAAGCAGGGGTTCCCCTGACAGTTCCAGAACGGGACAAACTACATGGACGGTCCTGCGTTCATCAACCAGTGTCCGATCTCGCCTGGGAATTCGTTCACATACGACTTCACAGCCATACAATCTGGGTATTTGGCTTTTCTCATTGCTGGCTCAGGCCGCTCTGAACAGGAATTGCACAGAACGTACTGGTATCACTCTCACCTTGCCACCCAGTACTGCGACGGTCTGCGTGGCGCAATGGTCATCTACGATCCCGCAGACGCGTATCTCTCCCAGTACGACGTCGACAACGAGTCGACAGTGATCACTCTGTCCGACTGGTACAACGTTTTCGCAGAGACCGTGACCGGCGTTGGGTGAGCCATGTCTGTTGCATAGGACCGAATCAGATTGGGCTACATGAAAGTGCCGCGGAGTGCCGTTGGAGTGCCGCAAAACTTTTGGAGTGCCGCAGGTTTGAGCCTGGAGTGCCGCAGGATTTCTGTCACGCGCCGCAGATGTCACGCTGGAGTGCCGCAGCGACCTACGAGGCAGGATATTTACATATTTATATTTTTACAATTTTATTGAAAACACTCAAGAAGGATGATCGCCAGGCCAAGGCATTGTCACCCGTGTTTCTGAGCAATGGTCCTCGCGGCGCTGATGTCCCATCAATGTGGTTTGATGGCTTTCTGAGCGGCCGTTTTTGCTCACTCTTGTGAGTCCACTTCGTTGCAGAGCCCAGAACAAGGTCGAGGACAGTCTATACATCTGATTTATTGGTTTCTACAATAGTTAGAGGCATTCACCATTGCCCAAATGTCGAAACAATACAATACCTCATGGACTCTTCAGCTTCACTAGAATGTGTATAACTCATTTTACATTCATTTTGAACTTGAATCGTGCACAATAGGTGGTATTCAGAACACTTGAGAGTGTCTTTGTGATGAAAAATGTTCTCTGTAATTTTAAGTCAAGTCCACCCTTCCGGTGGTCAATGAGCTCGAGACAATCACCTCCCAGGCATCATAGAGGCCTACAATCCAAAAACAGGCTTTCAGGACAACTACATATACAATTCTATTGAAATTCGACTAATTCAAGTCAAAATATTAGCAATTGACTAGCGCAGACAGCGTTGGATGTGCCTGCGGCGCTCTCCAGAGAGTAGCTGTGCTTTGGAGCGCCGCAGAGATGTCACATGCGTCACACTGGAGTGCCGCAGACTCATTTGGAGTGCCGCAGACTTGTTTGGAGTGTCGCCAGAGGTTCCGCAGGAGTGCCGCGGTGTGCTGTGGAGTCTGCGGCACACTGTTCTGGAGTGCCGCAGGAGTGGGATCTCTATCGCTGCCGCCGACGACAACGGCGTCTGGAGTAGTCCCGCTGCCTGCGCGAATCATTCCCACGTCCATCAACATCTCAGCCGACGTGGACAGCATGTTGATCGTTGTCGTTGTCGTCGAGATCAATGATGTGGAGTATTTGGAGTACCGCAGGAGTACCGCAGGAGTGCTCCTGCGGCACTCCGCGGCACTTTCAGTGAGCCCCTCCGACTGGATCACTGATAATCTCCCAGACGACGTTCAAGTTCACGATCAACGGCGACTCCTTCGTTCCACCCACTGTTCCTGTCCTGCTCCAGATTCTGTCCGGCGCCGAGTCCGCGCAGTCGCTGCTGCCCAACGGCTCGGTGTACTCGCTCCCGCACTTTGCGTCGGTCGAAATCACGCTCGCGGGCGGTGTGGTTGGTGGCGGCGTCAGTTCTTCCTAGTTCTTCGCGCGCTTTGCCTATAAGCTCATGGTTTTTCCACAGCACCCATTCCATTTGCACGGACACACCTTTGATGTCATCCGGGCTGCCGGAAGCACGACCTACAACTACGTGAACCCGGCCCGCCGCGATGTCGTCAACATCGGAGTCGCTGGCGACAATGTTACGATCCGTTTCTTCACGGACAACCGCGGACGTGAGTCTCAACTTGGCGCTTCTTCGAACGCTTGATGGCTGATCGTTGTTTTTTTCTCACCAGCGTGGTTCCTGCATTGCCACATCGACTGGCATTTGGAGGCTGGCTTCGCGGTCGTGATGGCCGAGGATGTGGCTGACTGGGAGTCTGAGCTGATTCCTACTTCCGAGTGGAACCAGCTGTGTCCCACCTACAACGCACTGCCGGCCTCGATCACGTCCCTTGCTGCCTAAGCGTCTGCAGTCTCATGCATTGGCTGTTGTACTGTCTTTACTCTGCTAACTTATTCGAATAGACTATATCCTAGGATTTAAAAATGATCAACTGTTTGCAGCGCTGAAACTCCTCGATGGATGATCAAGACCTTCGACATGACTCATTTGATGGCATCACCTCTGTTGCCTCGTCTCTTGCTCTGCTCCATCATGGTTTTGTGAATGCATGAATGCATAGTTGTTATCCGCTGGCCTCTATCCTCAACGGCAAGCCAGCTGAGATCCCCATTCCCATACATCCCCCCACTTCACTCCTGGGTCGGGGCCATACACCTTGCGCGCAACGGTTGATCCATAACCTCACCAGATCTTCGCGCGAGAGACCCCGCCCACAGCTCGTTCTCGTCGCTCCGAACGTCCGTCCCTCTAAGGTGTGGGCGGCGATGCATCTCATTCTATGGTATGCCCTCTCGTCGCTCTCTTCCTGCCGCAGGCTGACGAAGACAGAGGCTCAAAGAGACCATCTCTGTCGCGTGAGATTGCGTTTGTCGCCACGGAACAACGCTCGCCTACCCCGCGATGCCGCCCACCTCGTCCCGTACTCTTCGACACGTGTCAGACCGCCCGACCATCTGCGCGTGTGTCCTTTGAAAACGAGTTACGCGTGATGTGTCGACGCGTGGACTTCTGCGGTTCCCGGGGAGAGTGGGGCCGTCTGCGAGCTGCTGGTCCGCGTACTTGAGCGCTGAGGTTTGAGGACATGCCCTGCAGGCTATGAACCTTGCGGCCTCACCGTAGGACTGCAGTCTTGGTGAGCATCAATACTCTTGCTCCGTGTTCCAGCGCTGATGGCGACACCAGTGAGGACCGTGGTTCTGTCCATTATGACTTTGACTCTTGACCTTCTGCAGCTCGCTGCAAAGCACTCACTGGGTGCCATCCGTTGGCTTCCGGACGGACGTCATGGGCCCGACACACGACTGCCCTATGAGGATTGCGCCGGTCGGATACATCTGCGTGAAACGCCAGATCAAGTCCGGAACCCACCTCGTGGCCATCTGGATGTACAGGAGAGTTGTGAACGCTCCCTGTGCTGTCGTCGCCGGCACTGGTGCTTCCCCCTATTGGCCTCTGCAGCGGGACCATCCTCGTCTACCCAGCCGGCCCAACGCCAACGTCGACATTCGCGCCTGATTTCATGTGCTCTGCATCCAGTTCTTCACACGAGATATCATGTTTCCCAGCACCCGGAACTGAGTCGAGTCTCCTCCGCTGCCGCCGTGTGCTATCAAGACGTCGATCCACGTGGAGTCGTGCCATCCCATGTTTCTGACGCACACGTCTCAGCGAGCGAACGACCGGTCGCTCGAGTTTGTGATGGATGCCGGCGAGCTGTCATTTGCAACGGCCCTCGATTGGGATCGGCACACTCACTGGAAGGACAGGACGAGAGGACAAAAGGCTGGAGACGGCGTCTCTCGGAAATCGGGTGCGAGATTTGTGGATGTGATCGTGGTAGCGCGCGCATGAAGATACGGCCCAGCCATTAGAATGCATTCGTCTCGACACCTCCAGCCTCGTTCTCTTCCTCGGTCGACTGAATGGGACATTTCTGTCTCGACTGCTGTGTCACCTGCTACAGAGGACACGCCCCTGCACCAGTCCTTTGAGTGGCTCGGGTGCGCCAGTCCCCTTAATCCTCCAGACACCCCCAGAGGTTACTTTTCTGGCAGCAGCAGGGAGCCACCCCGGCTTCCTGAGCACATCCATGCGAGGGCCCGCTCCAGTGCGGCGCGCTCTGGTTACCTCGTATGCACAAGACGTGCACTGTCCGCGTCTTGTCGCGGCGGACTCAACATCTCATTCTGTGAACAGGAGTCGACTCCACCAGCATGGATCCATCCGCATGCACTGGATTTGAGATAAGCCTGCATGGGGGGGCCCATTTCACCTGCGATTTCACGGTCTGATTCGGTCTCATGTGGGACTACGGGTCCACTGCCCCGACTCGGACGCTGGCCCAGGGACAGCACGCGCTCGTAGAAACCAAACGTCCCGGCGCACGTCGGCGTTCCCGTCCTTTCCGTCCCGGGCACGACCTCGGTCTGACGAACGCCGTCAGTTTTAACGTCTCTTCGACGTCGATCTATGTGGCTGAGGATCGCGTGCTTGCATCCCGCATGAATTCCTGCCCTTTCTCGAGGTGCCGGCCGGTGTAGAAATACTTGCTCGAGGACGTTTGATGCTGGCTTCCCCGCGGCCGGTGCCGGTGTGCCGCCGGATGAGGCTGCAAGCTGCAGGGCCGTGGATTTGGCCTGATGTGTATGGGTATCAGCATGTCGGCACCGAGCGCACAGCTCTCTATCCTCGTTCTCCTCGATTGTTGCGGAGACCGCGACGGCTTAATGTTTGCATCTTTTCATCTGCCGCCGTATGCTATCTTGGCATCGATTACCGTGGGCCCGTGACATCTCATGTTTCCAACGCCCACGTCTCAGACATTGGATGACCGGTCGTTTCAATTCGTTCCGCCTAGCAGCCACCTGTCATCGGTATCCGCTCTAGGTTCCGGTTAGCATATTCACCCGATGGACCACCTAGCAGAGGAAAACGAAAAACAATCAGACTTTTTCTGAGATGGCAAGTTGAGATGAGATTGTAATTTCTATCACTCACATCATGCAAAAAGGATGTGCGATGAAAAGCTGCAGCTTCGCACACTGCGGTGGATCATGTGATTGATAATGACAAAGAAAGTGGCGGGGAACTTCCTGCGCCTGCGCCTGGCAGCCGAACAGACCCTAAAGTTGTAGCTTTTTTAAAGTTAGACACTCTTGACCTATCATAGACGTGGCCTGAACACAAACGAACTGGAATGAAATTCGTTGCACTTGATGAAAAGCTTCCTATCTCTGATCCTCTTGCAAACAACACTCCGATTATACAGCAGTTCAATCTCTCAAGAAGGATTTTATTGTCTTGCTGCTTGTCAGACTATACCTGCTTGTCGAGTTGACTCACAATGCAACTTTTTGCGTAATACACGCAGCTCCCTTATCGGTTTCTACCCTCTTGTTTACATCTCTATCCTTCAGTACATGATTCCCATTCACCAAATTTACCCCAACCACGATGCGCATGGGGCGAAGATACACGACGATTCGTAGACCCACTGGAGACGAAGACTGCCGCCCTTACATCCCGAAATGTTTCCGCTTACTTTCCTCGTTCTCCTCGATCGTCACGGAGACCGCATCGGCGTAATGCTTTCACAGGATCGAAAGGACTCGAAGGGGCTTACTGGATCCAGCTCGAAGGGCCACGACTTGCGTAGTCAGACCTTTTTACGGACCCCCTATTTCGCTGCTGGGACTACAATCGTGATTCTCACCGCACGGTTCCCGTCTGCAAAGATTAGGTTTACTTGAGCTTTGGTCACGTGTTGACTACCCTATGCGATTTGCTGCCGGCCGTCTCGTCTCATCTTATATCTTACAGCTTCGGTGCTGCTATTAGTCACAGCCCCCGTCTCAGATAAGTCCCACAAGGGTGTCTGTCCGATCTCCCGCTCTCTGCAGCAGAGCGCATCACAGGAGTACAAATTGCAAATTCGCAAGTCCACGAGGCGTTTCAGCCATTATCACGGGGGTGGCTCTGCACGGGCTGCACCCGCTACTCTGTGTTGAAACTCTCGAGAGTTGTATGATACATGACGTGTGTCGAGCAGCCGAGTGATCTGAATACTCATCCGTGATGGGTGGAGGGGGGGTCGGTATAATCGTATCTACTATCACACAGCCTTGATGTAGCCGAACCCGTATGAAAGTCGCGCTGCAGGACAGGGCAGAGGGACATCGAGGTATCGAATCATTCCTGCGCTCTGGTCACTCTCAATGCCTGCCCCGTCGTCCCTCTCCGCCACCGCCGTGTCCTCCTCGGCGTCTGCAACAGCCACCCTCCCTGCCGGCTGCTCCCTAAGCTCATTCAACGGCGGGGTAACGCTCAGCTCCGGCTTCGAAGGTCAGTCTCCATCATCGACTGCTATCCCACCTCGGCCCCTGACCTGCACCTTGCATCACCCCAGGCTGCACCACCTCGACCCTCTTCGGCCTGGACTCGTGCTGCGCTGCCGCGGGCAGCATACCCGCGTTCGTCAACAACACGTGCGGCTGTCCGCTCGACAAGGTCGCGTCGGCCAAGGATGCCCGCGACGCGTTCACGAGCTGCACCGCGAAGCTCAACCTCACGTCCGGGTGCGGAGGGTACCCGCTCCCGAGCGCCACTCCGAAAGGCGGCGCTGTAGGACGGGAGGCAGGCGTGCGGTTTGCGTGGGTCTGGGTCGTGTTGCTTTCGGCCTTGATAGGGGGTGCTTATGTTGTGTGAATCGACGGGTTCACGATTGATAGTGGAGTTTTTAGTAGCAGTCGCCCGGAGTTTGAATTTCTTGATCGCACGTGAGATCTTCTGGGTGTGACCAGTCGCATCTTGATGTGACCATCCATTGCTCACTCTGATACAACACAGCGCTGCTCCAACCCGGATTGGCGCTGTGAACGTCGACCTCCAAAAACTCTCTACATGCTCCAATCAATAGGGTGGACGCAGACGTGCATGGCTTGTTTAGTGGTCCGGGAAGAAAACCATCAAATGGCCAGCTACGAAGGCTTCCTCGTGCAAAGTGTTTATCAAAATGGGATGAGATATCAATGAAGCTGCGGGAGATTTTGAATAGGGTGGTAATTAAGAAGCAGGATCTCACGGTGACAAACGCAAAGTGAATGATACTTGGATAACAAAAAGGTGAAAAGTGATTCGACCCGGGCTCGAACCGGAGACCTCCCGCGATCAAGCACACGAAACTGCACTGTGAAGCGGACGTGATAACCAACTACACCATCGAACCGATGAGAGAATTCCGCGGGTCGTCAGTTGGAATGAGATCTCCTCGGAAATGCGGGTTTTTGTCACCAATCAGACTTCTTTGTGATAGTGATGCTGGTAACACCTCCGGGGTATAAGAGCTGTTCAGCAGTCGTTTCAAACACGATTTTTAGCTAGTAGTTTGTAAAATATGAGTGGAGCTTAGAAAAATCGGAGCTACACACAACACCGGATGAACGCCGGGAACTCCGTCACCACGATCATGTGATGAGCCGAGCGGCCAAACCACCACTTCATTTCCTGTCCTCATCTGAACTCAAACTCCATGGCGGAAGATGCCGTCTTTCCTCACCAACGCTGTAAATTGAATCCTTGCGGTTGTTCTCGGTCTTCTCGCCAATATGGAGGACAACGATGTCTTCAATCTGCTTACACGTGCAGAATGATCAGATCCGTCTTCGGTGGCATGTTTCCTTTTCGGTCAAAATTCGGCCTCGGTACTATTCCTACGACACTCCACACCTAAGTAATTGGGAAGTAAAGTCTACTCCACAACCAGGAAACTCGTAAAAAACAAATCGATTTTTTGGTTCTGCTGAACAGCTCTATATATCATCATAGCCCACTCACCATGCCAAGTGAATAGATCCCGGCTAGAGCTGGTATCGGATCGGCATCTCCTCTCCGGATGACCAACGTAGTAACCGTCTCTCGCGCAGAAGCAGCCTCTAAGCCTCGGCATCGGACCGTACCTCTCCACTCACGCGACGCATCAGTATCATTGACATCCATTTACCTTTGCACGCCTGCAGCTGGAAACGGGATCCGCCCCACGCTGGATGTCGAGATGTCCACCCGCTGCGTTCCTCGATGCTGATCCTCGTCGCCAGAGTCTCTCTGATGGGGCGGCGAACGCAGATCGTGCATCAGCGTGTGCAGGTAGTCAATTCGACCCATCTGCGTAACTACCAGCGGCGTGGATCCTCTCCGCCCCTGTCGAACAAGCAGCAGCCGTGGGGTCTCAGCCCGAGCCAATTTGCTTGCTCTGAGAGCGCACGGCGTTCGATTGCGTACGTACTGCACGAATTGAATCCTCGGAGAAACTACACGACCCCTGTCTGTCCTGCTCCGATCTCCTATCCTATCCAAGGCCATTCATTTCGCGACGCGTGCGATCTGATCAAGGCCGCATGACCTCAGCGCCCGAACGGGGTTAGCGGGACCTATCCGCTCAATTACGTGGTCACGACACACGGGCCGGGAGACGCCGGGCGCACGGTGCCGCGGTGGGACAGCACGGATGCTTCTGTCGATCGTTACCCTCGCTGACAGCCTTTGCGGCAATGCTCTCCGCTCGTCTGCAGCGGGTGCATTCTGCGCGACCCGCGGCGGTGAGCGACTGCAGCCATGCGATAGGCCTGCTGCCCGTGCTGGCCCCCTGGCGATGCGTCAAGATATCATCATCTGGGTGAATAGTTCGTGGCGGATTAGCGGAGATTGTTTTCTAGGAAGGTCGGGGAAGCTATTGTAATACGCCGTGATCCGAACAAGACACACTCGGCCCCCGGGTGAATATTTTCTACTGCCCACCACCCGGGATTCCACGTTGTGCGGCTCAGGGGATCTAGACGTTTTACGTGGAACAGGAGAGGCCAGGACCATGGAACTATGCAATTATGTATTGAATGCTCCAATGCGCACTGACGAGCAGCGGCCCGGGCATCTCCCGGCCTCGCGCACTAAAATCTCCGCAACAGATTTTTTGATTGCGTCGTTAGTGTGTGGGTCCGGCCTCCGCTTTGGGACTGGAACAACTGACACTGGCCACGGGTAATACTATCAGCCGGGAATATAAGCTGTCCTCCACCCACGGCTGACCGAATCTGACTTTCGCTCGTCGAATCCCCGTCTTCGCCCCTCCGGCCAGCCAGCCAGCCAGCCATGTCTGTGACACACCTCCCTCCGCTGCGCACCCCCTCGGGGTCCGGCCACGACCTGCATGCCCCGCACAGCCTGCCGCCGCTGGCCATCGCGAATATCAGCCCGCGCAGGAATGGGTGCGAGGTGTTTCTTCTGCGGCGCTCCCACCCCTTGCTGATGACGATGCCACTCCCCACCAGCTCGACGTCGGCGCACAAGATACAGCTGCCGAGCTTCCAGGCCTTGACGGCGCAGTGCAGCGACCTGCCACCTCTCCAGGCCGGCTCTCCCCGATCAGCATCAGCCTCGACCTCGAGTCTCTTCACGAAGGGTTTACTCCACTCTGGCACACCTCTCACGTCAACCCTTCCCCCGCTGAAAGTGGTACGCATGGGAGCCCCTGGGCTTTTGTTCTCCCCTGCTCACACGCCACCCACAGCCCTCACGCCCACTTGACCGGGAGGCGCAGGCCAGGCATCGAGAGGAGCACGAGACGATCTTCGACCGCAAGAAACCACGCACGATCGACCTCGTCGCCCGCTCTCCCCGCCCCTCCTCCGCATCCGCGTCGTCGGCCTCGCCCTCCGATCCGTACGCCTTCTCCTACGCGTCGCGGCGACACCCTGCTGCGTCGCACTCCGCGTCGTCCCTCGCCAGCAGCAGCGCCAGCGCCAGCGCGGCGAGCGAGACGAGCGAGCCGCCCGACGAGCAGCCGTTCTACTCCTCGACCTCGAGCTCGTCCTCGGTGTACACCCCGCACCAGCATCCGCACGCGGCGCCCCGCATCGCGCTGCCGCCCATCTCGATCGGCATCGGCGCGCAGGAGCGGTACGCGCCGCCGTCACCCCCGCCGGGGCCCGGCCACATGCAGGCCCGGCCGCGGCTGACGATCCCGGCGACGCCGTCCTGGTCGCAGCCGTCCGCGCTGACGTCCCCGCGGCCGCCGTCCGCGCACGCGCACGCGGCGCCGCACATCGCCATGGGCAGCCCGCACGCGCAGTACCAGGCGTACCCGCCGGGGCTGTCCGCCCTCGGGCTGAGCGCGCCGCCGAAGCTGAAGTTCAACCACGCGAAGGCGGGCGGGCGGACGAAGAAGCAGGCGCTGTCGTGCTACTTCTGCCGCGAGCGCAAGATTGCGTGTGGGCGCCCGGACGATCCACATGGGGATCAGACCTGCAAGTGCGTCTTTCTGGTGGCGCTCGCTTTGACTTTTTGTGCTGATTGTTTATTATTGTCTGCGCAGCCAATGCGCGCGCCGGAAGATCGCGTGCGAGTACCCGACTGTGTCGCACCGCGGGCAGCACTCGCGCATCCGCAGTGCAGCGCGCAAGTCGACGGGCGGCTTGCAGGACACGCTCATGACGCCGCCGCCACCCGATGTGATGACGATGGACAGCCCGCTGTGACGCGTTCCTGGTGTGCTCTGCCACCCACTCTATGCCGCGATTCCCCTTGTATAAAATCCAGTAGGCCATACTGCATATACCAGCCAACTCATGTATCGATCCATTCATCCCCCTGTAATTGCATCGCAGCCATACCACCTCGCTGGTATATCTCCCGAGAGATGTCTATCTCCGTGTATCTGGTGTCTCGATCTCGTTCGAACACGCAGCGGAACTGGGATCGAAGCTGATGCTGATCGTTGCCCAGCGCCAGGCCCCCGAGCTGCCAGAACGCCGTGTCCCCGGGACATGTAAAGCCCGTGCTGTGCCGCAGGTCGGCCGGGATCCCGCTGCCGGTTGGTGCCTTTACAGCTGTTGCAGCAGTTAACAGCAGCAGCAGCGGACATTGCATGTCCTCGCTGGTGGAGGATACTCCGCGTGCATTCGTCCCGCTCTGTGCTGCTGCTGGTTCCATCAGGTGGCGCCGCCGGCGCTTGACGGAGTTTCCCCTTCGGGTGGGAGTCCGCTGACGGTTATTTTTCGCACATCGGCACACGGGACAATCTCCGCGTTCGCATTCATTTCCGTGCCTTCGGGCTGATATCGGGATCCAGATTCTCGCGCTCAGATGTCAGTCAGTCAGTCAGGCTCTGGCTCTTGCTCCTCCTCCGGCTGCAGTTCCCATCCCTGCGTAGGGTCCAGCTGGAGCACGCATCCAGTCGGAACCTCGTGTGCCTGGAGTTGAGCCAGTGGCGGCTCCCACCTGCCCCCCACCATGTCGAGAACTGGCGCGCTCCCCACGGGCACATGCCGCGGGGAAGATCTATCTGTCAACGCTCGACAACCCACGGCGTTCCGTTCGGCGTTCCCCCCTCTCGTCCGTGATCATCACGATGTGTCCGTGGTGTTCTCTGCGTTATATTAACGGCGTCCATGCGTGCGAAAACCCGGTCCCGGCCGCCCCCTCTGCTGCTGCTGCTGCACGCTTCGGCTGCAGAGTCGAGAAGCCGCGCGCGCACACACAGAAGTGGGCGCAACGGCGTCGTGGGTGACACCGCTGGTCTAGTGTGAGCCACCCCCATCGATGTATGTGCACAATATAATGTATCTCGAGCACGCACGGGTGATCTTCGGAGGGGCGGTACTTATCAACTGGGCGAGCGATGCCACGGACTGCCTTGCGCTGGGTACGTACGCCGATGCCTTTCCAGCTCTAGAATCATGTGCCAGAGCACACCGACGGGGGGCGAGAAGCTACTGCCCCCGACAACGTCACTGGACCATCACTGGGTTGGAGAGGCACAGTGCAGTTTCACATGCCCCGCAGCAGCAAAAACGCCGCTGCTGCGCGGGTATTCGTGTGAGCCGGATCCGGGTCCGGGTCCGAGGCGCGGGTGCAGTGCAGTAACAGTGATCATCGCAGCATTGAGTCTGCCGTAAACAGAACAGCGAGTGCAGGTCAGATACGCTACGATAAATACATAGATAATATATACTAGACAACCTAATTCGATAGATAAACACGAAAACAATAAATCACGAATTGAAGAGATAAATATCGCGGACACCCCCACTCACGCCACGCCTCTCACGCGTCGACGTCTTCGTCGTCGACAAGCCGCCAGGTGGGCGCATCGCCCCGCGCACCGGTCGCACGCGGCACAGGCACCCCCGTCGCGCTGTGCGTCGCCGCGCCCGCGGGCACGCGCTTCCACGTCGGAGCCGTGGGCTTCGCATCCGGGCTGGCTTCCTGGAGATCATAGAAAAAAGGGCGAGCGGCATCAGCCGGCGCCTCCACGTGGAATCCATTTGGAGAAGCGACGCACCGCTGGCTCGGACTCGGCCTCGGTCTCAGCCTCGGCGGGCGCGTGCACCCAGGGCGGGGCGGTCGATTTCTGTGCCCGGTGTTCCCGTCAGCTCCTGACTGGGGGACGGGCGAGATGCCGTAAACACGCACCGCGATTTCCCGGTCCTGGACTGCGTTCGGAATCGCGTGCGGGTGGACCCACGTCGGCGGCGTCGACTCCTGTCCGATCGAATAGCGTTCGTTGTTAGACTGACATCGAACCCCGGACGGGAAGGGACGAGAAGGCGTGTGGCCCTACGTACCGGCGCGTTGGCGACTTGCTCTACCGGAACAGGCTCGTCGCGCGGATGGACCCACGTCGGGGGCGTGGATTCCTGGTCCGGGTGTATCAGATTAGACGAGCTGGATGAGCTGCTGCTGCTGGGCTACGCACAGGGACCGCTCTGTCTTGGACCTTGTTGTCCACTGGGTGGATCCAGGCGGGAGCAGTGGACTCCTGTCACATCTTGTCAGTCGATCCGTGAGCACAGCTCGTGCCCATCTTGGACTTGCCGGAGAGCCACGGACGATCTTGCTGGGAGCGCGATCCTCGCCGCTTTGGACGACAGGAACAGCACAGACGGTGCCGATGACGGACAGGAAAGCAATTAGCATCGAAGAACGCATTGTGTAATGTTGGTCGAAAGAGCAAGCAAGAGTGAAACGGGATGCAGTGAAAGAAGAACGAAGGATGGAGAACCCACCGGACAGGATATGCCATATATATATATATAGCGCGCGCACACCCTCAGTTCTCCACCCGATTTCCAAGCGACCCTAGTCCCCGGCCGGTGTCCCATCCCATTCCGTCGCGAGATCGCAGATGAGCAAGCGAGAAGCTGATCCCATCCAAGACAGTCAGTCAGAAAGCAACACTCGGGCTGCGGTGCGCGCGCGCGCGGATGCCAGCGAGAACCATGGTGCTGCTGCTGCTGCTGCTGCTCCATCGTGCATCGATGTCAGCTCGGGCGCGAGAAAGGTTGAGGTAGACAGTCGGGTTCTGCGTGACTTAACTCGTCTGCCACAGAAAAAGGCTATTCCGAACGAACGAGTCACGGCGGCTCGTAGGCGAGGATCACATGCCCGCGGTTTGCTTTGCTGCCACTTCCCCGCATCATTTTACAATCGGCAGTTGAATTGCATCCATCACCCAGGAAAAGACCTATGTTTGAGTCCAGATTCATTGAACAGTGCCGATTGCAAACGCCAACGAGTTTGGGGGTGTTGATCTATCAAGAGGCTCATCGGAAGACCAGTGTTGAAGCGCAACTGCGCGAGCTATTGCAAACGACACGGGGGATTCGATTGAAAGAGAAAATGGACTGATCTTGCTTGGTCATGCTTGTCCAATCACTCCATCTGATGCGGTCTTTCCCAACCGTGACTGGCGGACGGACAGGCTCTATGTAAACAGAACTTACTCTTTTCGTCGATCCAGGAGTCGACTGCTTCTTCCTCTGCCACACATCCTTCCGCCAGGCTCCCTAGCATGTACTCTTCTCTGAGCGAGCGCGTTTCGGAGCGCACACTTGAAACTCACCGGCGTCACCCGGCCCCCCCGGCGTTGCAGGGAAGAAGAAAAAATCATGCTCACTCGGCCCACTGCGCTTGAAGTGCGTCATTTCCAGCGGGAGGTGCGTTTGTGATTGTGATTAGTCAGCATCGACGCGGCGGAGGCGATGATCGTCGCTCGCCCAGCGAGAGCCTCTGATCGTCGATACACCCCCTCCTGCCCGAGCGCACGACGTGCGATGGACGATCCCGGCCCACCAGTCAGTAAGTCAGTCGCGATTGAATCACCCCCTCCCTCCTCCTCCTCCTCGGCTGCGGGACATCCTCGGCACACGAACACACACACACACACATCAAGCCGTCCGCGATTCCGAGCTTCGCCGCAGACGAGCTCGCGCCCCATCCAAACAAGTACAACAAGCTTTTGGGCTCGAGGTTGTCTATCCGTGTTCGGTGTTTCGTCCGCTGCGACGCGTTTGAGCACCGTCAGTACTAGTGTGCCTGGTCGGGCGCACTTTCTTTCTTTCTCGGAGAGCCCGCGTCACGCCGATTCGACCTACTGTACTTTATCGCGAGGCGCCTCCAGTTCGCATTCGATCGCTCAGCGCAGACTCGAATCCTCGTCACGTGGGACTTCGAACGCGCAGGATTCCGAAAGAGGGAACTGGTCCGGAGGGAGGCGCTGTTGCGTCCAAATCGGTCCCGCGATGGGAAATAAGGTATATTGTATTGTATTATGCTCTTTTGGGGTGTGAGGCATGAGTGGCGATTATGATTAGAAAGATATTTTCAGGCGGAAATTAACGGGGTTTGGGAGATGCAGGTGCAGAAGCTCAGTCAGGGGCTCGTCATGGCAGACGCAGGGCGAACCAAACGAAGGAGAGATAGAGACAAAAAAGAAAAGCGGCCCGAGTCCCGCGACGCAACATGCCGAGGACTCGATGCCCTGTCAATTAACTCAGAGAAGGAGAAGGCAGCGGCGGCGGTGGGCGTAGTACTAGCGTTTCAGACGGACATGGACATGGAGGACGAGGTGCGCGGAGACGAGAAGAAGAAGAAGAAGACGAAGGACTCGCAATTTCCCGTGTGCGTCTCTATCTCACCCAAGTTACCTTATCTTACACCGCTGCAATCTCCTATGTATAGCTAACATCAGCTGATACTCCCGGCAAACACGAGCGACGTTTTTTTTGGGTGCTCTGGTGTCAGACGGACCGCCCTGTATCTGAAGAGCGTCACAGACACAGAGGTCGTCCGTCCACTACCTGGCCTCATCGCTAGAAAGTCCCCGCATCTCTGGGGGCGTACAGCTCCCAAGAGTTTCAACTCCCTTCCTCACACAGAACAGAACATCGCAGTCTCGGGTTTCGTGGGACCGCGATGCATCGTCCCATGACGCCGCTCGACGGGCCGTCCAGCCTGATCGATCATAATCGACAACCCCCAGGCCCATACATAGCTTGTGTGGTTTCACGTCCGGAACTCGGACCCACGAGCTTGTTGTACGTACAGCACGCGTCGAGTTCACGGATCCGCCCGGAGACGGACGCCGTAGAACCCGACAGCGTCTCGCGGGTCTGGCCGTCTCAGCAGGGGGCCGAAAACGTCGGTGGTGTCTCCAATGAATGCACTCGCGCTCGCCATCTGATCCTCTGCCTCAGACCTACTTACTACTTACTTTGCATGGATTGCTATACTTGCTGCTACCCGGACGCCGGGCCGTCACAGGCGATACCGAGCGCTCCGTCGATGTTCGAACAGAGGACCGTCGCTGTTCCCGTGGCTGGCGAGACGTCGAAGCCCGTGATCCCAACATCGCACGTCGTGCCGGGCGCGCAGTTCAGGTTGGCCACCACCGGCGCATACCGTTTCGAGCTATTCGCATCATCATCAGCAAAGAACGCACGGCCCGGGTACCGGGGAGACAGCCAGCCCAGGGCCTAGCACGCACGTCGTCCCCGTGACGTTGCGGATCACGATCCCCGTGAGCGCGTCCGTGTTGGCGATGCAGCCCGCGGCGGGGTCCGCCGCGTTGTAGCAGCTCTGGATCTGCACGGCGTAGTCGCAGTTCTCGACGCTGATGTCCGTCCACGTGACGTTCGAGACCTTCGCGCGACCGTGCACGGAGCCGCCCTCGTAGAGCTTGATGCCGATGGCTTTGTTGGAGTTGATCATCCGCGCCGGGCCGAGGATGGCGTTTTGGACCTGGTGCGCGACAGAATCAGATTAGAATGCTTGGGGCGAGGGAGCAAGGTACTGACGGTGTCGGTGATGCCTTGCCCGCGGCCCAGACTGCCCACTGAGAGACCATGCGAGCCGGAGCAGGTGATGTTGGTCACAGTTGTGAAGCTTGCACCTGGAGGATTGAGTTATGGAAAAGAAATGAGACATATACTTACCAGGTTTCAAAGCCACGCAATCGTCCTATCGAGGGCTATCGTCCCAGAATCCGCTCGTGGAAAGATCGCTCACCTGATTCACCACTATCGTATCCTTGATCGTGACAAATTTACTCGACCCGACATCGAATCCATCCGTGTTCTTCGCCGTAGCGTTCGCCGTGGAGGTCGCGTCCATGCGCAGGCCCTGGTACAGGATATTGCTCGAGCCGCTCTTGACCACGTGGAACACATTCGCCGGGTCCTTGAAGCGCAGGTTCGACACCGTGAAGCCCGAGGAGCCCTCGATGGACACCAGCGTCGGGCGTTTGTACGTCGAGTTGGCCGCGAATTCTGGGTGGTGCACGCGCGAGGCAAGTAAGACTCCGGACACGGTTGGAGGGGCCGCGCACCGATCCAGAACGGCACCCCGTTGCCGTCGACTAACCCGCTGCCGGTCAGCGAGTGCATCATGCCGCCCTTGATCCCGCTGATGACGATGCCCGACGGAACGCCCTCCCAGAACGCCACGTCGCCCGACATCTTCAGCCTGCCCTCAATCTGCCAGTCGCACCCCACGCCTACATTGGGTGAGAAACAACCGCAATCGGAGGGACCAGCAGGCACGGGACGCACATCCAGCGAGCGAGAGCGGGCTGCGCAGGTTGTACTGCGAGCCCGGGGGGATGAGCACGATCCCCCCGGTCCCACACGCCTTGAACGCCGCGGAGATGGCAGGCACGTCGTCGACCCCCACGTCGTTCGCCGCGGCGGGTGTGCACGTCGTCCGGACCGGGGTTGGCTGGGAGCCTGGCGCCAGGCTAGCCAGCACCAACAGCAATGGGAGCAGCGATATCATCGAGGGAGTTAGTGAGATTCGGCGAGAGATGGAACTGGCCCAGAGGAGCAGGAGGAGCCGTGGTTATGCCTGGTTATGCAGGCCGTCATGCGCCGCCAAGCTACACCCGGATCCGACATTCATCCGCCCAGCATCGACTCATGATCGACCAAGGAAGTCACCCTCATCTCGAAGACATGCCCAGTTGTTTGTAGGATCATGAAGTATACCGTGACGCTCAGCTGTGACTTTGAGGGAGATGCCAGAAATGCACGATCACATGACTTTGTTCCGAACTTGATCGATCTGTTTTTTTGCCCTGATCCACAACCCGTTTTAGAGCTTGGGGCGAATAATTCCGTTTTTTGGCCACATTGTCAGACAATCACTTCGCAGTGAAGGTTCGATGAGTTCTACCAGGCAGATTCAATGATTCAGGAAGATTGTGTGGTATTGAGGCGGCGAACGAGCGATCCAGTAAGACAGGTATAATATACACAAGGGGGCCACACATTTTTATCCAGAGGCCGCGCCAGAGCAGGACACACCGAGGCTTCCGTCGATGTTCGAGCACAGGACCTGGGCGGTCCCACTGGGCGGCTTGACGTTGAAGCTCTTGAGCACAACGTCGCACACCGCGCCCGGTGAGCAGTTCATGTTCGCGACAACCGGCGCGTAGTGCGAGGATCTGCAGGGATGTAGTCAGCCGCTGTGCGGAAACGCACGGACGCGACCACACATACGTCGTGCCGTGGATGTTGTTGAACGTCACGCCCGTCAGCGAGTCGGTGTTGGCGACGCAGTTCGCCGTGTTGGCCGCGCCGTAGCAGCTCTGGATCTGCACGGCGTAGTCGCAGTTCTGGACCGTAATGTCGGTCCAGGTCACATTCGAGATCGTCGCCGTGCCGGTCGTCGATCCGCCCTGGTACAGCTTGATGCCCACCGCCTTCGCAGAGTTGATCATCGTCGCGGGGCCCAGGATCGCGTTGGAGACCTGCGGCTGTGCGGTGAGGACGAGGGCCCGCAGTCAGGCGAGACACGCACGACATCGCTGGAGCCTTGGCCGCCGCCGAGACTGCCGACGGAGAGCCCGTGCGAGCCCGTGCAGGTGATACCGGTGACGGTGGTGTGGTCCGCGCCCGCTTTGAGAGCGACGCAGTCGTCCTAATCTCAGTGAGACTCGGCTGGATCGGCGAGCAACCCGAGGGCACTACACACCTGGTTCGTTACAGTGACGTTCCGCACGGTGACGAACTTGCTCGTGCCGATGTCGAAGCCGTCCGTGTTCTTGGCGATCGCGGTCGCGGTCGACGTCGCGTCCATCCGCAGGTTCTCGTAGATGATGTTGCTCGAGCCGCCGCCGACCGAGTGGAAGACGTTCGCCGGGTTCTTGAACCTGAGGTTCGATATCGTGAACGACGTCGTTGACGATGTCATGTAGACGAGGGTCGGCCGCCGGTACGACGAGTCCGCGGCGAACTCTGTTCTCCGTCGTCAATACTACGGGTCAACGAGCGAGAGAGTTCGGCGCCGCAGCTGGCTCACCGGTCCAGAAGGGGACCCCGTTGCCGTCGATGACGCCGCTGCCCGTCAGAGAGCGCATTTGCCCGCCCTTGATGCCGCTGATGAGGATCGTCGCGAGCACGCCCTTCCACGCCGTCAAGTCGCCCGACATCTTCAGCGTGCCTTCAATCTGCCAGTCGCAGTTCACACCTGCGTTCGCAGAGAAAAATCAGTCAATCAGCCCCAAGGACTAGACGAGGGAAGCCGAAAGGGCTCACAGCCGGCAAGCGAGAGCGTGCTGAGGATGTTGTACTGGCGCCCCGCGGGGATCACGATCGTCCCGCCGTTGCCACACGATTTGAACGCGGCCTGGATCGCAGGCACGTCGTCGGTCCCCGCGTTGTTCGCAGCCGCGGGCGTGCACGCGGCGCGCCGCGCGAGCTCGGTGCCGGTGGGCGTGGCAGCCGTGAGGCCAAGGAGGGGGAGCGCGGCGAGGAGAGGGAGCAGGGAGAGCATTTGGGTGAGGAGAACCCAGCCCGTCTCGCAGCGCTGAAAACCATATCGCGTAAAAGCCCCGAGCGTCCTGCACACGAGGTCCACCGGGGCGCGGGTGTCCAGGTGACCGGCAACAGACTATGAGGGTGCTTGGATACCTCCAGATACGCTCGTCACTTTGCGGTCACAGGTCAGCGCCGCTCCGTCAGCCACGTGTCAGCTGCCTTTGGTCAATCTCTGCTTCTGCTGTTTATTACTATCTCGCACCTTGTCATTTGACGCATCCTGATTCATGTACTGCGTCTGGGAGGCACTCTCGTGTCCCTGGTACTTCAATCTTCGCCATTATCCCTCGACATATCCCTGGCTACTCGCAGCCACAAGGCTGAGAGTGATAAATGGGCTCTTGGGGGCGTTCTTGGATTCTCCTCGTCATCCTGGGGCTTTTAGGGTATGCTAGCCGACTGATGCCATCATCGCCAAAAAGGGTTCCCATTGGCTGGGGTACCTTGATTTTTTAAGACATGTTTGACCGCGGCGCCCGGTCCCGCACGCACTCGTCCGGCTCCGCGCGAGCCATGGGCAGCTCTCTAACACTGGCCTGGGTCAGAGGACAAGAAGCGCTGCTCTGTAATTAGGTGATCTGCGGACACGGGACGGCCGCAGCAGTCGATTCCGAAATTCAACCGTGGAGCCTCTACGCGCGATTGATCCGGCGCTTCTTGAATGATGCGTGGGATGCCACCTCGCTTTGACCCCCCCTCTCGTCACGTGGAGGCATCTTGATCCCCGAAACCTTGTTTCCAGGCTCGAGTCTGCTTGCTAATTATCCCGAATGGGGATGGACAATTGCCCCATGGGAATCCGTATTGACGTGACGGACTACTATCCGGCCTGATTTGAACAGAAACTGGCGACGGCCTGAGTTGCGTCACAGACGGACAAATGAGCGAGACGAGATCTTGTGAATGCATTCTTGCATATTGACGGCAAACTTTGAAACAGAACGGTGAAACAGCAACGCTCAGTCTGAAAGTCGCTGTCCAAGCATATTTTAGCCTGTTGCTGAGATTCTGTTCCGAGACCCGACCCCCGCGTCTGCAGAAATACGGAGTAACCGACAATATTCGGCCTCGGCGTACATTCACGTCAGGGTCGGGTCAATGCGACGCATTACAACCATTATCATGTCAGGTCAGTAATCATCAAAAACGGCTGAGATTCCGAGGTCAAGCAGGCCAGCGGACATGCAGCGGATAGTATTTTTCGTGCGTCTCAAGATGAGTTATCTTGATGCGGTAAACATCCCGAGACCTCATCAACAGTGTTCGTTTTAGCGCACATCGGCACCAGAAGAATGGTGTCTCCGTGCGCGACAGATAGGTTTACAATCTTGTTTTTTCGGTCAGAAGTTGTAACTCGATCAAGTATTTCAGATGGTCAAATCGTGTCATCGTTTCGCAGCAAGGAAAGCCAGGCAGAGGAAACTGAACAAATTAAATCACGAATCCATGGTCAGAACGCAAAGATCGCTGTCATAATGTCGCACCCTGGCTCAACACGTACGTCGAGATTCGGATGTGGTTGTCTGAATCTCTATGATTTGACTTCAGCTTTGGTTGAGTCCTCATGAAAACCCGGGCCAAGCTATTTGTTTTCTGTCTCACTAGGTGAAAACCACTTTTGGGTGCTCCATGGCTCCACCAGCGCGGAATTCTGTTGTGGAGGAGGATGTAATATTTCACATGATAAGATTCGCTGATACGCCAACCTGGAGCTTGTCGGTTAGGGCACACTTCATGACCAATTTGAAAATCGTCGTGAGTGTTCTGTCTTTATGGTTCAATCAAATTTGTCCTCGCTTGGGCGAGGCTGAATCTCAGGAGTGTATTAATAAATATTTGGGTTCCAGTCATCCTGAGCCGATGGAGTGTTTTGAATCACTTCGGTGGATTGGATTGGAATATGCTCGGGGAGATATCGCGGAAGACTATGCTTTTATTTCGCGTCGGTCAAGTTGAGCAGATTTCACAAGCCCATGTTGATAAACAACTCATGTGATGGTCAATGACCCTCCACTCGGTCCCGAATGGCTGATGTGCCACCCGTGTGAGCGGTAGAAGAGGATCTCAACAAAACCCAGGATATGACAAAAGGGTCAGGTGGATTCGAGCAGTCGACGACGAAGAGAAACCCGGCAGAACGACCCTCCCACTCAAAACAACAGATGGACGACGTCCGCCCCGACCAACACCGTCGATCCCCGACCCCAAGCCTCCTTCGCCCTCTCGACCGCTATTTCATTCGGCTCCAGCGGCACGACGCTCCGCGGCAGCGCACCCCACTGCGCAAACGGGCGGAGGCGATACTTGTCCAGCACCCGCCGCAGTTTCGGGTACGTGCTGTCCGGCGCGGTCAGAAGATCGAGCGCAATCAGCTCGCCGAGGCCGCGCCGCGTGAGGAGCGGCATCGGATTCGAGTACAGGTGGATCGGGCGCGGACGGTGCTGCACGACGTGCTCGATGCCGAATATCTCGTACGTGTGCTTCAGGGCTGCGTCGGCGGGCGCTTCGACCGCCCGTGCGGTACCTGGCAGCCCGAGATGTCGCTTCCCTGTGTCAGAGCAAGTAGCAGCAGCGTTAGTCGACGAGTATACGACGGCAGGGAGCGACGCACAGACGTTAGCGTGCCACTCGTACCCCATGTCATCCCGCAGCCGGGAATACGCTTCAGGCGCGAGATAGTCTGTGTGCGCCGTGGCCAGGTGCGCGAAGATCGCGAAAATCAGATCGACGTAGACCGGTGTGTGGCTGAGATCCTTCGCGAAGAACGGTCCCCACGAGCTCAGAGACGACGTGGGGGACGAGGACGGACCGGGGTTTCTGGGAGGTGGCGGGGGTGCGGTTGGCCTCGGAGGCGGTGGCGGTGGCGGAGGCGGATGCTGAGTCGGGGGCGGCGGCGGCGGGGGAGGCGATGGACGAGGCGGGTTGGTTCCAGGTGACGTGGCTGCAGGCGGCGGCCCACCTGACGCAGTCCGATTCTTCGTCGAGTTCCCACCCCGCCCGAGCGCCTCTTCAGCCAGCTCACTCGCGCTGCGCATGAACGGCTTCTTCGCATTCCCATTGAAGTGCAGCACGCCGCTCCCCTTCACGCTCCCGCCGCTCACTCTGAGGACCTCCACCGCGTGGATGCGCTCATGCGACCCCCCAGCGGGGAAGCGCTCGCCCAGTGCGCAGTTGGCGCAGAGATCGAGGAACGGAGGCGGGCAAACCAGGCATCGGACGCGCGGGAGTGGATCGGGGATAGGGGTGCCGCATGCGTGGCACGCGAAGGAGGATGCCGCTGTGGTCTGTGGCGGCGGAGGGCGATGGGATTGGGAGTCTGACTGGTGGGTCTGGTGGCCGCGGGCGCTGGCTACGGGCATGTCGTGCGAGGACGGTCGAAGTAGGTAGATCTGTCGCACGAAGGCTGTGGGACGCCACCGAGACGTGACATGGCTTGTCGAGCGACAGTTTCTGGTGAAAATCGATGCTCGGTTCGGAGGGCCACAGTAAGGTATTGGGTGGAAGTTTTCCAGGCAGATTGCCAGGGCCAAGACGGTGAAAATACAAACAAGTGGCGGCCTCACACCTGCTCCGACTGATCATTGATGAGGCCCGGTTTGGGTGTGGCTGTGAGAGCTTGTGATCGATCCAAACATGCTGACGGCAGCCGTCCTTAGTCATTGGCCTGCTGGAACATCCGTTCTCCTGGGCCGAACCGTCCGAATTAACCGCCAACGTCCAGATTTGGTGCGTTTGCTTTCTCACACTAGGAGACCTCAGTAAAATATCCGCCCGTCTTGATAGCCGCATTGTATGCAGCGACGCGTTCTGGCACGTTTACCTTCTGAGAACCAACCAGTGAGTAAGCACCTACTTCTCTCCCTCAAGCTGCCATGTCTCCTGATAGTCGCCTGCCGTAGTTTCATCAAATATAAGTACCTGTGGGGGCCGACACGGCCTCGAGTTCGTCTGGTCCGGCCTATGTTGCGGAAATCTTCGGATTTACTACAATGCACGAGTTCTGCGAATTTCTGTGGCCTTTTGGTTGGTGCTGTTCAACGCGTTCGTGCTGCTCAACGCTCTCACCGACAAAAGCCGAACTCCGCCGTGGCCGCCTTAAAATGGGCCAAGAGCGGCGTGAAGCGACAAGATTAGGATACTGACTCTCCCAATCAACCTTCGCCTTCCGAGTCCCTTGAACACAATTTTACCGAGCTTGAGTCTCAGGGTTGCCCCACGTCGGCTTTTCGGGATTCCAGCCGACCACTGGCCACATGTGATGATAGATGTCCTTTTGCCTCCACTGGGGCTCCGCTCTCAGGGCATGCAGTCCGCATGTCTGAGACTCGCACGGCGAGAAGCGCGCTCTGCTTCTTCCCAGCCGACTAAGATCCTGGTATAAAATCTATGCTTTGCGGCATAGCACCAGCCAGTCTGTCGTCAACGCAGCCCCCGGCGGTCCCTCACTTCACGATTCGACTATGTCTCTTTCTGAGGAGGGTTTTAGTATGATTCCTCCACGCTCCGAATGGCGGTCGAGGCGGGGCATGACGCGCACTGTGCCCATGAAGGTATTGGTTCTCGGCTATCCGCGCACCGGAACATCCTGTGCGTTGACTTTTCCGGGCCCCGAAGTGAGCTCACCTGTAGCGCGGCTGCGGCAGCGATGCGCAAGGCGCTGCAGATTCTCGGCTACGACGAGGTTTACCACATGGAATCCGTTTTGGCGAATCCACACGACGCGGATCTCTGGAAAGAAGCCTACCACACGAAGTACGACAAGGGGGAGCTGGTTCCGAGGGAGAAATTCGACGAGATCCTCGGTCACTGCGAGGTTCGTCTGTCCCACGCGCCGATCCGTGTTTTGCAAACCCGCTCATGGAATGGGACACTGGATAGGCGGCCACCGACGCCCCTCCGATGATGTACGCCGAGGACCTCGTCGCCGCCTACCCGGACGCGAAAGTCATCCTCACGCTGCGCGATCCAGCCAAGTGGTGGAAATCCTTCCGCGCCACTGTCGCAAGCGTGCCGCAGAACCGCACATTCGCCCTCGCCATGCTGCTCGACTACTCCGGCGTGCGGCATCTCGGCGGGATGTCGAAACAGATGATCATGCAGCTCTGCGGGCCTGGAGTCACGCCCGAAGGCGCACAGGCCCGCTTCGTTGCGCACTACGATCATGTGCGCACGTTGGTGCCCAAGGACAGGCTGCTCGAGTTTGATGTCAAGGACGGGTGGGAATCGTTGTGCCCGTTCCTCGGTGTGCCCATCCCCGACGGAGCGTACCCGCACTCGAACGACAGCGCGGTCTTCAATCAGCGGGTCACTGCGACTGCCCGAGCCGCCCTCTGGCGTGTTGCCGGGGATCTCGCCGTTCCTGTGTTAGGGCTCTTGGCCCTCGGGCTAGCTACGTATTACAGGTCAGGGAAGGTTTAACTTGGCTCTGCACCGCACATATTTCAGTGGTGACTCAATTTAGCGCGACCTGAGTAGGTTACGTCCTGTTACGCGACTGTGGCACAGATCGCATACAAATCGAGAAGTACTGGAGCCATCACGAACTGAGTGGGTAATAGGAATGAGCTTCAAATCCAAGGCCTCGAGTCGATATCAACAATCGAGAGACTCAGCGTTGACTGCTCAGGGTTCAGAACGAGTTACCGGACCGAAATTAACTGACTTGCCAGGTGGCAATACATGTTCTAATCTTATTCACACATCCATCTTCACATCGACTTCCATCTCATCGACGCTCAAAATCCAACTGCCCTCGTTTCCCCGTCATCCATCGTTTCAGCAAGGCTCAACTTTTTCCCACTCCGATTCAACTCAGCACGACGACTCGTAAATCAACCGTTATTCATTTGAGCGACAATTTCCTTCTGTGACTTGGCGGATGGAGAAAAAGTAAGACAAGACTATTGATCTAGTGAGCGTGACCTCCGCATCCGTTGCCGAACGCGGCGCGGATGGCGGTGGGCGGGCTCATCATCGCGAGATCGAGCATCAGATCGCGCTGTTGGCTGTTGGAGTCCGTCAGCACATGGCACACATCGGCGCAAGCACCCGCTCATGCGCACCTCTCGGACGCCACACGGGGCTCAGACAGATCGTTGCGGCGGGTCAAGCCGAGCTGCGCGTCCGCAATCTGGTCGAGCCAGTTCGCGAGCCGGTAGCCGCCCTTGGCGAACTGCAGCTCGATGGTGGGCAGCACCGAGTTGTAGTACGTGGCTGCACACAAACCAGTCAGTTCCCGCGAATGCCCGGCAACAAAACACAACACATACGGTAGAGATCGCCCTTCTGGAGCGCGGCGACGCCGTTGGGCATGACGACGGAGCAGACGAACTTGTTCGCGTCGGTGGCCCACGCAGTCGCAGAAGCCACGGCATCGTCGATGCTGTCGCCCTTGATCCAGCTGGCAGCCTGCGAAGCGTAGGCCCCGCTCTTGATGGACGCCGTGAGCGTCGTCGCCCACGTGCGCGAGTACGAGATCGTCGAGCCGCCGATGTACTTCTCCGGGATGTATCTGCCAATGCGGGTCAGCCGTAGTCGAGGAGGGAGAGCTAGCCGCTGTGTAAATTACGCACGTGTCCCAGTCAGCATGAAGGTTGTCGTCCGTGAAACCGTTGAATGTGACTTTGATCGTGTTTCCGCCGACGTCGAGCGCCTCGTCGTGCAGGGGCTGGGTGATGTCCCCGAGGAAGTGGACCAGAAACATGAGCGCCTGGTTCACGTTGGTCGCGCTCAACCGCCCATCTTGCACGCGCTTGCGGAGAGAGAACGTCAGTCGCGATGGGCACGTGATAGAGCCTGGTGCATACGGAGGTGTAGTTAGAGATCGCTACGACGAATCAGTCTCGATCTCTCTTCCAGATATACGATGAGGGCGTACCAGAGATGGAGCAGCCGCCGGTGGTGCAGTCGCGCGTGTAGCTCACGTCGCAGGTCTTCGGCGGGCTGTCCTGCGCATCGATGAAGTGGTACGGGGCAGCTTCATTCTGGTTGAGCGTCTCTCGTACCCTCTACAAACCGGACACCTACAGAACTTCCCCGCAGTCGTGGCACGGTAGTCGTCCGCCCACGAGGCGATGTTGGCCAGGTACGAGCTGGACGTGTCGCCGAGAATGCCTGTGCGGCCGTGTCAAGGATTGCCTCACGAGTGCAGCCGACGTACGCACCCTGAGCCCATTTCGCGGTGCTGCTCTTGACAAAGTCTTGGGCGATGTACGCAATCGTAGCGTGACCAACGACGCCCCAGCTCTACAAAACAGGTCACCTCTCGACCCAAGCCCGAACGGGATTCCGCGTACGAAAGCCGGGGCAGCCGCGCTGAGGCCAAGGATTGCCAAGCTGATCGAGGAGTGCATATGCATATCCGCGTGCCAGTTGCACCCCCAGAACCGCGGCGATCCTCCTTTTGTACTCGACACGGCCCCAGCAGAGATAGGAGGTCGCATGTGGGCCGGCATCTGGTGGCCAGCCCTCCGTCAGCCACACCCGTATCGCTCCCGTATCCGGCAGATGTCGAGCAGCTGCGAGCCTGCAGATAGAAACACCCAGACATACGCTCCCTGGCGCACGCTATTTTTAAACCGGGTGAGGCCCATGTGCTGGGGCCGGAGAGAAGCTCGCTGGGGGATCCGTATCGTAGCTGCAAGAGCATGGCTGGCATGTCAGGGTGCGTGGATGCCCAAACCAGATGACCCACGAACGTTCCAAGGCCTTCCTTCACCACATCGCGGCGCCCGTTTCATCAGCAAATGCCGAGATTGTGCGGTGTCGATAGCTCAAACGTGGTTGCAGTCGGGGTGGTCGGGCCAGTCGGCCAGGCGTGTGAGATGAATGAGAGGCTGCGACCTTGCATTGCGGTGACGGGGAAGAAGGAGCGTCGAAGTGCGGAGCACTCAGAAAGTACAGTGAGTGCATTTCTGATGGCCTGCATATACGCTGAGTAAGCAGATCTCCAGCCCTTGAGCATTTTGCCGGTCGAGTCATCCGTATTGGCTAACCGCACTTGAATTGCTTTTCCTTGCCATACTTAACCTTGATAGGTCTGTGTTCGCGCGATGTGTACAAGTCGTCTTAGGCACACCTAGGACTCGGATCGAAACGCTTGGAGATCTCCGCAGCCTGCTCGCACTCGCACCGAGCAGGCTAGCGGATCGAGCATGACCATGTTTGACTCTCTCAAAATGTGCCCTATGCATTCCCTCTCAACCGCTGCCATCCGTCCTCCCCTTGCCGAACGAGTGCCTTAGCTCTGTGAAGAGACGCAGGACTGCCCTCCCGGCCAGAGCCATAATCGGGCTGTTTCGGGGCCAGTGAGTGAGTTCGAGAAAGCTACGAGCGCATAGGCGAGGTGGGTACCGGGGCTGATAAGAACCTCCTCCATCCGCTGTCATCCCTCAGCCAGTATCATCCGAATCGGGCTCCTCATCCCACCCATAAAAGCCCTCCGACATGCCATCCTGCGCACACACCCGAGATGAAAACCGACTCCCTACTCATCGCGCTCTGTCTCAGTATCCTGTCGCTATGCACGAGCATCGCCACTGCGCTGCCAGCCACGCCCGCCGATATGGCTGCGCGGGAGACTTGCACGCCGACGAGCGCGAGGGGGCTCGCCGTCGCCGCGCGCAAGAACTGCGGCTGAGGAGTGTTAGTGCTGGTGTGAGCGAGCGTTTCTGCTTTCCAAGTACTTGGCTCATCGATTCTTAGGTGTCGACGAATTCGCAGTGGGATGTCGAGCACGAGTAGCTCTGGCATGTCTCGTGCAGAAACCCCAATAGACCGTGTTCTGATTTGAGTACCAGAGCGGTGGGCAAGAACGATGATGCCCTGTGACATTGATGGATGCGATGTCTAATCCACCCGTCCACTGTCGTGCGGAGAGCAATGAGTATGTTCCTCAAAGAAGCAAAGAGGATCCGCAAGAAACACAGAAGTGGATGCCCCAAACCCATCGAGAATCGCATCGACTGCAAGCTAAGTACAGTCATTTACCGGTCCTTGATACACCATCAGTCCTTGATTCAGATCAGATAAATCACTATTCTTGCCTCTTCTGAACGCTCTCAGTCTTTATAATAAATATGAGAGTCTAGTATCTAACAAGAAGTCCTATGCCACCAGTTCCTATGCTCATCCCGTCTACAATACATTTACTAGAACTGCATCTTTCATGAGGTCCAAAAATGGCCGGTGCAGCGCAGAAGATACAGTTTACAGAGTTTGGTAAATTTTCATCTAGGACATAACCGACTCAATAACACTCAAATTTCGTACTTTATGCATCCTGTAACATACTCAAGATACATGCAAACCATCTTCGAGCATATCGAACCCAATCGAGAACGATGATCTGTCACATTCCCCATTTGGATGACCGCGGCAATCAAGAGCAGTGATTTTTGTCTTGTCTCCACTCATGGGTCGACGCGCCGCTTCTGCAACAAAGAAGACAGCAGCAGCGAGGAAGCATCTCGACAAATGGACAGCGCGTGCAACGCAGCGCTACAAAGATGAGCAGATGCGGGAACTAGGGCCGGATGAAACTCGAAAAGGCGCACGGAAAATCTGCGAGGAGATCCAGGAGGAGCATTTGGTGCAATATGGGATGTCCATTTCGATATCGCACACAACTATCACACGACATGCTGCTGGAGGGGAAAAACTCAGTGATTTCAACGCGTCAAAGAGCTGGGTACTTGCCAAGGAGGAACCCATCATCATATCCTATGCTCGCAATCTTGCTGCGCGCGGCTTCCCTCTGAATCATGCACTGTTGAAGGAGTGCATTGAGGCTGTTGTTTGTGCACGGTTGGGTGACGCGTTTCCAGCTGATGGTCTGGGGAAGAACTTCACGGCACGCTTTCTGGAAAAGCATTCGGATCAGCTCCGAACTTGCTGGGCCAGCAATCTCGAGAACAAACGCGGACGTGCTGTAAATCCTGCAACACATGAGGCATGGTTCCAGCTTCTCGAGGAAACACTTGCCGGGAAGAAGGACTGGATGTTTGATGAAGATCCTAATGACTGGAGCGAAGACAATGGTCCGCCAGAAGGATTTGTGCCAGTTCCAGTGCTCGAGGAGAATATCTACGGGATGGATGAGAGTGGATTCTTGAGTGCTGGGAACACAAAGACACGCACCTCAGTTACCACCGCCATCACCCGGTTGCACCCCCGCGGGGGTCCTCCTGGGTACCCTCAGACGTAGCTCTGAGGGTACCTAACAGGTACCCCCCTGCGGGGCCCGCGGGGGGGATTTGGTCCATTTGGGGGCGGGGGCATATGCGGGGGTCAGCAGGGGGGGGTCTGTACATGTCATGTGATTTATCATTGGGAGCGGGCAGGTGGGCGCGAAAAAAAAAAATGAATCACATGACACATCCAATGGGCGGGATGGCGGCTGATGGCGGGGTAAAAAAATCACGTGATGCACCGCATGAAAATTATCAAAAATGGCTAGCAGGGGTTGGCGGGGGTTGGCGGGGGCGCTACTGGCCCCCCGCACACCATGGCGGGCAGTGGGCGCATTATCACGTGACTTTTGGGGCACCTTTTGTGCACCATTCGGCATGATTTCGAAGGTGTTGCTTGATCCATTGCATGCTGTGGCAGACAATGGGCGCATAATCACGTGATTTTCCGCCCAAAAAAATGGAAGCCTTCCCCAAATCATCCTGGTATCATTTCTATCGGTAAATACACTAGTTAAGCATGAATTTGAGCTTAGAAAGCCCAAAATGCACCCTGCACAATGGGACTGGTGATGCACTTGATCCCATCATTTGGCGGGGTCTGCTGTGGGGGGTGCCACGGGGGGTGCTGCGGGGGGTGCTGCGGGGGGTGCCGCAGGGGGTGCCACAAGGGGTGCCGCAGGGGGTGCCACAAGGGGTGACGCAGGGGGTGCCGCAGGGCCCGCTGTGGGGTCAACCACAGGAGCAGGGGTAGGGGTGCATTGCATCATATTTTGATCTATCTATTCTCGCTGTGGTCATAGCATGCAGCATAATTATCCTTCATTTTGCCAGGAGTTTGGAGGCTGTGTCTGGGGTTGGTCTGCAGCTACAGCCATGTGACTCCCTGATGCTTCGGCAGGGGCTGGGATATCAAAACTGTGCAAATTTACCTAAATCTTTTGGCTTGGCTTGGGGCACTGATATATATGACTTGGTTCATTTTAGCATGGTCTGCTCAAGCTGTCAGGTCAAACTAAAAATTTGAAAATGTGCAACTTGATTTGTTAGGCAAATCTCCCAAGTACATGCTCCAGGGACAGCCAACATCATCAACAAGAAATGGCTAATGTTTCTTTTCTCTGTCTGTTTGCTTCAGGTAGTCTGTCTGCACTCAAATTTTTCTCTCCATTTGCAGCATATTCCGTGGAGGTGTCATAATTGTTGATTTCCGGATTTCATACTTCTTGTCTACACACCATTTGGGCCCTTTACTGAATCCAATAATACTGTAGACTCTTACAATGGATTGAGCAGGACATTTGTCAATTAAATCCTTGCAGGGGTTGGGGGGGGGTCAACCACAGGGGGTGCTGCGGGGGGTGCCACGGGGGGTGCCATGGGGGTGCACAAGCATCTGCCAGCCTACCAAATGTGGATCAACTACAAAATCACTTTCCAAAGCTTCTGTACTGCAACCCAAGTGACTTCTAGGTAACCTTTACCCAATCCCAGTGAAACAACTTCACTGCTCTTGTTTCTGGGTGACAATTGATTTTATGAGCTTGAGTGTGTATGCACCCTTTTTAGTGGGAAATGAGGCCATGTGATGAGAGGTAGGGCACCGAAACATTGTAAAATACTATATTCAACATGACCGGTGGCCCATGTCTCTTCAAACCAGCCCATATCTCATGTTTATCAAGACCCTATTTTTCGGACTCATTTCAAGTTTTTGAATAGTTCCAGGGTCCAGGGCTCTCAGAATTTGTTTCAGACACTGCCAAAGAGTATATCATTCAGCTGTATTGAATTGCTTGTGTGTAGAAAAAATATTTTTTGCCATACCCAAAGTGAACCATGTTGAACCATTGTCTACATAGGAACCTTGAGCAATGGTGAACTCTTTTCATGTTTCGAATTTTAGGTGGACAAATGATATGAAGTATCTACATATTCAATAAGAATAGCAGAAGGAGACCTTATTCCGATGGTTTTCAGCTGCATAACTGTAGGAACAGTGTTAGAAGAGCAGTAAACACTTAGGTACGACGTTTATACAGGTTCTGATTGGCTAGTGACTTGACGTGTTCCGAGCTGTCAGTTTACATAATCTTACATATAAGAAAATCACGGGGACAAGGCACCGGTGCAGCGGGGGGTGCTAGACTGGCGGGGGTGCCAGCGGGGGTGCCGGCGGGGGTGCCAATGGGGGTACCAGCAGAGGTGCAGGCGTCATGGCAAGGATGTGTGCAGCCCCAGAGGTAGTAAAAGTAACCATCTATGTCTCTACAGTCTATCTTGCAAATATACGAGCTCTGAGTGCACAGAGTGTTGTATATGAAATTTGAAATTCAAATATTACCAATCTCTGACTATTGTGAGGCAACTTGCTGGTGAATCCATTGTCTCATATTCCACCTAGGAATCAATTCAGGGCATGTCAAATCCACTCTGTTACATCTGTTCATGTTGCAACTAAAGCAAACTGCTTGTAAAGTAACACAGAACAGATGAACTTCAATGAGTCCCAGACAGGAAGTGTGACATTAGGTGCATAATTAACGTGTGGTATTATCCACTGGGTAAGATTAGACTGTGCCTACAGCATGATCAGTTTACCAATGGGCATGTGTATAGAATGAGCAGACGAAACAATCAATGAGTTGACAGTGGACCCGATGCAGCCTATGATGTCAGCCCACCTACCCTGCCAGCCAAAAAATGAACAAATCACACTTTCTTTTTAACCCTACATGCCTGGATTATGCAGACAATATTGCACAGTTTTGATATCCCAGCCCCTGCCGAAGCATCAGGGAGTCACATGGCTGTAGCTGCAGACCAACCCCAGACACAGCCTCCAAACTCCTGGCAAAATGAAGGATAATTATGCTGCATGCTATGACCACAGCGAGAATAGATAGATCAAAATATGATGCAATGCACCCCTACCCCTGCTCCTGTGGTTGACCCCACAGCGGGCCCTGCGGCACCCCCTGCGTCACCCCTTGTGGCACCCCCTGCGGCACCCCTTGTGGCACCCCCTGCGGCACCCCCCGCAGCACCCCCCGCAGCACCCCCCGTGGCACCCCCCACAGCAGACCCCGCCAAATGATGGGATCAAGTGCATCACCAGTCCCATTGTGCAGGGTGCATTTTGGGCTTTCTAAGCTCAAATTCATGCTTAACTAGTGTATTTACCGATAGAAATGATACCAGGATGATTTGGGGAAGGCTTCCATTTTTTTGGGCGGAAAATCACGTGATTATGCGCCCATTGTCTGCCACAGCATGCAATGGATCAAGCAACACCTTCGAAATCATGCCGAATGGTGCACAAAAGGTGCCCCAAAAGTCACGTGATAATGCGCCCACTGCCCGCCATGGTGTGCGGGGGGCCAGTAGCGCCCCCGCCAACCCCCGCCAACCCCTGCTAGCCATTTTTGATAATTTTCATGCGGTGCATCACGTGATTTTTTTACCCCGCCATCAGCCGCCATCCCGCCCATTGGATGTGTCATGTGATTCATTTTTTTTTTCGCGCCCACCTGCCCGCTCCCAATGATAAATCACATGACATGTACAGACCCCCCCCTGCTGACCCCCGCATATGCCCCCGCCCCCAAATGGACCAAATCCCCCCCGCGGGCCCCGCAGGGGGGTACCTGTTAGGTACCCTCAGAGCTACGTCTGAGGGTACCCAGGAGGACCCCCGCGGGGGTGCAACCGGGTGATGGCGGTGGTAACTGAGGTGAAGACACGGGTTGTTGGTACTGCGGGCGAAAAGACACAACACTTACAGTCTGATGGTGGCCGAGAAAACACGACAGTCGTTGTCACCATCTGTGCTGATGGAACGTCGCTCCGTCCCGTGGTCATCTTCAAAGGCAAGAAGTTCGACCTTGACTGGAACCAGGAGAACCCTACAGAAGCATCGTCAGTCAAGAGGTACATTGGATCTATTCTGTGCTGACCTACCGCAGACTTGGTCACCAAGGCAAGGGTTGGATTGACAGCGAGCTAGCGGTGCATGTGCTTGAGGACTATGACAAACAGACTGCGGAAAAAGCGGCCGGAAGAACACGCATCTACATCGTCGACGGCCACATCTCCCATCACACGCTTGAGTTCATCAGGCTGGCACGGCGATGTCGGATTCATGTGCTGTGCTATCCATCTCATGCAACACATGTGTATCAAGGCCTAGATGTCGTGATATTCAGCATACTGAAGCGGTTCTGGACAGAAGAGAAGAATGCTTACATTCGCGAGAAGCGTCAGAAGATTGGGAAGCACAACTTCCTCCAGATCTATGGTCGTGCGCACCAACGGGCTCTCACTCCTGTCAATATCAGGTCAGCCTTTCGGAAAACTGGGGTCTGGCCTGTTGACCGGAACGCCATCTCGCAGTCACAACTGCTTCCCAGCCTCGAAACATCCTCGCGAGGCACACTTCCCATTCCACCAAGCACACCTGTCCGCTTGGTAAGTGAAGTAATGCGAGAAGTCCATCGCCAGGCAAAACGTCCCCGTTCGCCAACCCCCGAGTCAGAGGCAGGGTCTTCACAGCCACAAGCACCACAGCTAGCGTTGAGCACATACCTTCAAACTAGCATGCAGACACTGCGGCAGACATCATCCTCATTTGTTGTCACCTCCTCATCACCGGTCCGCGCATCCCTCTCCCCTCCTCGTCTTCCCACAGTCTTGATATCGCCCGAAAAGGAACGTGTTAGTCGTTATGCGGACGTGCTTTGCCAAGTACCCAGTACTATTCTCGAAGAAGAGCTGCAGAATGCGGTCAAGGAACTGCTACGAGAGAACAAGCGACAGAAGACGGAACTCATCCAGATGCAATCAGCCCAGGTTCTGAATGGCGGATACATCCGTCAAGTGCGGGGTCAACTTGCTGCGCAGCAGGAGCGAAAAAAGAATAAGCAAAAAGGACGGCTCATCGGAGATGGATTGCCGCGGCTACTCACATCGACAGAATACACGCAGTATTGCGCAGAGACAGTGGCCGTAAACGAAGAAAAGGCGCAACAAACAGAGTCTCGTAAGGCAACAAAAAAGACACGTGGCGAGGTGCTGGCCCAGTGGAAGAATCTCGAAGAGGGCCGCAAAGCCGAGAACAAGAGGATCCGGGCAGAATATCAGGCTGAGGTGGCGGAGTGGGAGAGGGAGAAGGAGGAGCTGAAGGCCACTGGTGGTCGTCAGACAAGGATGAAGCCCATGTTGAAGGGCAGATTGGTTCCCGCAATTCCTAGGCCTGCCGTCTTGACGCGTTCGATGGGAAGCACGAAGGATTCGATCGAGGATCCGATCGAGGATCCTGAGGCCGACAACAATGACATCGTGCCTGGCCATGATGCTGAGAATGAGATGGGAGGTTCGTCGAGTAGCGGAGAGGACATTGATGAGGATGATCCAGAGGATGGCGCTGATGAGATGAGCTCAAGCAACGATGCTGATTCGGACGTTGAATGGAATTGATCGGGATTGAAATTGCGCGACTGCGTTCTGTTAGGCAGACCCCGAAGTACATTACATATCTTGTGTAGCAGTGTATTAATTCCTCTCAGTCAAAATACAGTCCCCGACCTCGCCCGCCCCAATCCCGCTTCGCTTCTGTTCCCTCAAATCCATCCCACAATCATGCTGCCACCCGACCGATCAGTTTCCTCGGACCAATCTGCATTGATTGGCGTGCAATCAGTCACACCACGTGATTGTATCAAGGACTGGTACTGCGGCCAGCAAATGAATCCATGGTACAATAGACTCTGGTTACAAGAAAAAAAGCTAAAAATATCTGGGCATGTACTTTCAATGTAGCTAAGAGTATGAGAAAGAATTAGGGATGATCTACACTCAGTGGTGAAAGCTACATAGCAAACAGTTTTACTGTATCAAGGACCGGTAAATGACTGTAAGACTCAGCGGTGAAGTCCCTACGTCTGTGAAAGCGTGGTCACGTGCCAACTCTCCGCTCCCCACAAAAAAAAAACACTGGCAAGAGGTATTACTATCCCTCTCTCGATGAATTTCGGCTGCAGAAAGAGGGATGAAGTCCATGCAGAGAAGGATATCACCAAAATGGCAAGACTGGAACCCTCTGGGGCTTCAGAGTACCCTGGCACGCTGGAGATCACGTGCATGTCCTCTGCCTCTGCAATCGTACACTCTTTCTGCGATGTGCTACAAACCTTATGTCGTGTACCTGTACGTCAGACTCGTATTGCCCTTTGCGAGAGCGAGCCTGTCCTCCTCTTCCTTCTGCTCGGGACTCAATGCAGCGTACTCCTCTTCGTGTCTGCGATTGAGGTACCGGTAGTGGTACTTCTGCGCGATCCTGGTAGCTCACGTGTCAAGAGACCGATGTGAGCGGGAGTGAAGGACACACCAGAGGAAAGTGGCAAATGCCGCAAAGGCGATGTTGATGGAGTTGCCTGTCTTGAATGCTGACGGCGAGTTCAGTCGAATGCGAATGTGAGAGGAAAGGGGTGTGGGTCATACACGGTGCGTCCTTCGCCTGATAGATCTGCGACGCCCCTGGCGTGGTCGTGCATCAGATTCACACCCAGACCTCCAAGACCCCGGCAGTCACTCACAAACCCCGTAGATGTTGCCCGCAAAGATCACCGCCCCGGACGCAACAGTGCGTTTGCCAATGCTCGCCGTGTTCTCGGACATCCAGCCGATATTCAGCGGGTGGTTGTATGGCCATGATGCGAGGATCACAGCAGCGAAGTACCTGTACACGGGCTCAGAGTCCAGTCAGCCGTAACGCGAGAAGACCAGGTACTTGACGCCCCGCGACGCCCCATCTGGCATCGCACGCAAAATGATCCATCCCACCAGCTGCCATGCAGCTTACGTTTGAATCAGTGTCTACTTCCGGGTTACAGATGAGGACGTCACACACATCCGAAAGCACCATGCCATCCTCGCTCCCCGACAGTCTCCGAGTGACGGATGAGAGTGATGCTGAAGATGCACTGCAAGACGTAGGGCGGGGCAGTGAGGGCATTCGAAACAAAGACGTTGAAATGGAAGGTCTTGATCACCGTGGGTAGGTCTGTGTGGCCCGTATTCAGACAGTGAGCAGCCAAGCATACAGAGAACGCACATGTCTGGAGAGGACTCGTGGGCGTGAGTGCAACTGCAGTGATAAGCAGGTGGATCCAAAGGCCAAGATCAGCCGCAGCAGCCTTGAAATCGGCTCGTGTCACACGTTTCCTGAGAATACCGAGTGGGTATCAGATAGCCGGGAATCACGACAACGCACTCGTATGTCCGCTTCGAGATGTCGTCCCGGATGACACGGGTCACCGCGATCTGTGTCTGGCGTGCTGTCAGCCAGGCTTTCAAGCCCCGCAGCCCGCCCTTAGTCGAAGCTACGTTCCGGGGAAGGTAGAACCAAATGAAGACCGAGACGATCAGTGTGATGATCCCGTCCTGCGAAAGATCGGCTGTCGCGTCGTACGACAGACGCAAGACCACGCACAACTATGAACAGCCACTTCCAGCCCTGGAGCCCGTTTCGCCCATCCAGCTGCAGCAAACCGCTGGCCATAAGCCCGCTAACAGCGCTTGCGATAGACTCGTAGGAGTGGAAGTAAGTACAGCGCTAGAACGAGCGAAACTTCACGACGCACCTGGATTCCCCAGAACCAGGCCAGGCGTGTCGTCAACTCAGCACCCTTGTAGAAGCTGCCCAGGTAGATGAGCATCGCGGGAATGACGCCTCCTTCGGTGATTCCTATGACTGACGGGCATAAGCAGCGACTACGGTGCGATCGAAGATGGTGGAGGAACGCACAAATGCGGACTGTGATGTATCCGCCCGCGTCTTTGATCAACGCGTGCGCAAGAGTGACCAAACCCCAGGCGAACATGAGAATGGGGATCCCTGAGGCCCTTCAGGTAGGCAGAGACCAGGGGAGAGAGCCCACGTACATCGAGAAGGGCCCACAACCTTAGCCATGACCGCACCCGAGCTATCTGACCCATTAGCCACACGCATGTCTCCCGCAACAGAGGAGTGCGACGTACAAAGAGGCGAGTGAGAACGCGACAGAGTACAGGGCTGTAGCGGTGTTGACCGTGTTGATCGTGAATCCCAGATCCTGCGGCAGGTTATCGGAGATCGCGTTCGAGTTGTTCGTGCGGTCCATGTTGAGCACGAACGTCGTGAGCAGGATCACGGGGAATAGGCGCTTGTCGAGGACACGCACGACAGCGGACTCCTCCGCCCGCGTGTATTCGAGATCCTTGGTGTAGTGCGGAGCGGACTCGTCCGTGTTCTCGGTGTCCGATAGCACTGTGCCTTCTGTCTTAGCCACGACGGATCCGTCTTTGGCGAGGGATGGTGAGGGCGACATGAGAATGGAGGTGGAGGTGGAGGAGCGGTTAGAAGCTATAAGGATACCAGTATGACATACCCTGAGTAAATTCAGAAGAAAAGCCTACCTTTCCCAATCCACCATCCCTGCCTCAGATTGCGCCATACCCGTGGCTGAAAGAATTATCGGAACGGCTGAGATAGAAGCTCAATCGATGGGGCATCAGATCGCGCTCTGGCATATATTTGCCGGGAGGTGTGGGATGATTGACGAAGCGGGAGGGAGTGTGTATCATGAGCTGAAATAACACTCTTGGCACAAACGCCCATGAGAAGTTCGAGGATTTGGCAAGTATTTTTGAAGCTGATTCAGGCGAGTGTTTCTGAGAAGGAACGCCTGGGCCGGGCCATGGGCAGATGTTGCATGTGTAAGTACGGTTGCAAAGACGGTCACGGTGCGACTCGGTGCGTCTGGCAGCATGACATGGCCATGTGACGTGTGCGCGTGATGTGACCGAAAGGTCCGCTGACACGCCGGCGTGACGCCGCAGCGATCCGCGGCTTGCTCCACAGTAAGCTGCTTTTGCTCGCACTTGCACTCTACGTGAAAACCATTTATTCAAGGCTGAACGGTGGCTGAAGCATATGAAAGCAAGCCCTGCGCGAGGCAGCTTTGTTAATCGGTTGGATACATCAACAATTTGACAATTTCTTTTCTGGGACATTGCGGGCACCCCGGCTTTCGGACATGAAGTCCGAGCCGCCACAACACTGATTTCAAGTCCTGTATCACCCGGTGCGAACATCAGGAGGGGATGAACAATTACCTGGGAATTTCATTTCGTACAGAGTGGCAAGGCTAATTCTCAAAATCTAGCTAGCCTGGCTATTTCCTGCGCAGGTTCCCCGTCGAGTCTCTCCTCCCGCCAGAGGTTTCCAATATGAATAGCATTCTCTCTCAGAGTTTTGCCACGGGCTCCTTTGATGTCCTTGAAGGCGTTCTCGAACTCAGTTTTTGCGTCCTCGGCCGTTCCTGTGATCTTCGGTGCCTCCGGGCGGAGAGAAGGGCCCAGTTGGGTTCCGGTTCGAATCTGCGCATCACGAATCAATGGGCATCGCTAATCAAGTAGGGTCGATGGCGAGTACCTGGAAAAGCTCGATTCCGATAGCCCGGGGGCCCGTTGAAAACATCGCGGCGTTAAGAGCTTGTTCTGCTCCAATTGGCCAGAAGATAAGTGGAATGCCTTGACTCAGGGCCTCGATTAACGAGCTGCAGATGGATCAGCAACATAGAAATCAGGATGGCATAGTTGGAACTGACTTGTAACCGCCATGAGTGAGAAACCAGCCGACTGTCCCACTCTTCAGGATAGCTTTCTGATCTACCCAATCGGTGCATACGATTCCTCTGCCACTGGCGTGGATGCGATCGACCGTCGTATTCGGCAAGGAAGCCATGACTCCAGCCACAACAAAGACGAAGGGGACCACACTCTCGAGGCTCAGCAGAACCTCAATCATCACCTCAACCAGGTGAGGTGTCTCCACGGGGAAGAACATCGAACTGAATCTGATCTGAGAATTCCGAAATAAGATGAGCAGCACTTTCACGCACCCGAAAGAGATATAGAGGACCGATTTTGGCCCATAATTCTTGAGCGCCTCACCCAGGAACGTTTTCAATCTCTCATCACTGGGGCCCGGCCCTGCTGACGGCGCCTCCCACTCATCATCGCGCATCTGAGGACCAACAAGGAACAGTTCCTTGCCGCGCTGCTTGTAATACGCGCGAGCGTGGGGGGCTGCAGCGGACTCCAAAGAGCCACTGGTAGGACAGAAGAAGCCATCAGCCAGCTGAGCCAGTTCTTGCCCGGCTGTCAGAAGAGCCGCCCAGGCGCGTGCTGAACCAGCACCCTGCGCCATGTGCTCGTGATCATATATCTTGATGCCTCCGGCAATCTCGAGGATTCGGCCATCGAGTTTGTCGCTTCCGTTGCTCGCGCAGCAGACCTGATGAAGCCACTGTTGATAGTGTCTGAAATGGCTGGAAAAAGGGTGCTCACGTCGCCAATGATGTCGTCCAGTGACCTTCCTGCTCGTTTATTTTCGTCTGCGTATATCTCGCGCGCGGTCTTGGCGTGGTTGAATTCGCTGAAGTGAATCATGCACGCCGCAACGCCAGTGGAGCACCAGAGCAGAATCTTTCCGTCCGGTCCCAACAAAGACATCGACTCCTTGACGACGAGGCCTCCTCCGTTGAAATCCATCTGTTTCGAGTGTTGAGTGTATCATTAAGCCTCCATAGATCGCATACATGCAGTGTGTGAGGCTTAGGCCAAGTGGTTTGACCAGAGACTGCCTTCGCGAGGAGATCAAGCCATCCAGCCGTGAGCTCTTTCATGCTCTGCTCAACGGTCGCCAGCGAGGATGGGAGGCTGCTCTCGATGAATAAGATCGACTCAGAGATATCTGGAGACTCACTCCTTGTCCCCGACACCCTCGATCTTCAACCTGCTAGTGTCATACGAGCATAGACTGAACTCTTTAAGCATCTTTGCCACTACGCACATTTAGAATAGGAAATCGAGCGAGGAAAATGAAATGCACCGACCAAGGACGTTGTGCTCGACAATAGTTATTACCAGCTCCGGATCCGAGGCCAACAATTTGGTCGCGAGATGGATGTAAGGCAACACATGGCCCCAAGCGGGACTCAGAATAGTAAGAATGTGTCGGGTGGGCATGGTCTGCGTAGGGATGTTGAATGGCTTCCAGGCAGACTGTGTGCAACATTTTATATTTTCAGTGCTTAGAATGAGTGGTCTATGGTTAGTCACCCCCATAAACGGCCCGCCTCGGCATCAGGGTACTCGTATACACCAAGTGACTCGCGGCAGCTCAATGATGGACTAAAAATGGAGCATGAATGACACACTGGACGTTGTGACGGGAGTATTTCTAAACACAAAGGAGGTAACGTTGAAGATGTACTCTCGGTATCGTCGTCGTAGACAGCCTGCTTGTTCTGGTGCTGCTCTCATTCTGCGACGAATCTAGCGCAGCTGGGTCTGCTCCCAGGACTATCCGGCCTCCGCATTGTGCATAGTATGAGGGATAACACTTTCGCGGCGTGTTCCTCGCAGTCCCGGAACCTTTCGTCCAACTCAGCTGACAGAAGTTCCTGAGTCAAGCTTGCTGGTGAAATCGAACTCGGCTGTCACTTCCTGAGTCATCCATGTTGATGAAGATGCATCCAGAATTAGCCGTAGGACCCCCGTGGAGCTCGCCTATCGGGACTCCGGCGGTAGTCTCAGTGTGGTTCGATTAAGGTGCCGCAGAAGAGTGCTGTTACAACATTCCTTTGTCACTAAAAATGCTCCACATCGTTGATCTGGAAAACAATTAGAAGAAACACCGTTTTCAACGTAGGTTCGGACAATGGAAGACGCAAGGGAGGATCCGTGGACGCAGCCGTGACTACCATCGCCCGGACACGAACTTTAGCTGCTCAGGCGCTCAGAATCTGAGAGACGTTTGTTGCCCAAAATCAACGAATGTGATGCGGGGATTGGTCTATCACATGGATCATGTATCGTTAATTCTCGCGCGGGATCTCGCTGGTTTTTCAAGCAAAATCACAGGATGATGAAAAGAATGGACTCGATGCCATGACTGACAGAGCTCTATTGGGAAAGAATCGCCGGGTCGAACAAGGTTTTTTATCGTTAATTCTTCCAGGGAAGATTGTAGAACTTCAGTGGGACCCGATGTCTACTCGAGTATCCGCGCCTCTGCCAACTTGAAGCGGTCTGAGTGATCGGCGCCAGTTCAATTGCGCAGACGCCGGTCTGTTCCGAGCTCGGATCATACCGCCACTACATAGCGAGGATTTTTCGAGTTCCTTGATCTTTCTAGCCGCTGGTCAGTTTCCGTCCATGAAGACACAGTAGCTTGTAAGTATGATTCAGATATATGTGATTTTTCTCTCAGCACTGGATAGATTATACAGCTGTACACTAAAGACAGTGCTCGCGCAACAAAGGAAAGTCAAGCAATCAAGCCTGGTGAGAGTTTTTATGGACCCCAACTCTTTGTTTCACCCGATCTTCGGCAGAATATTTTACGACGGGGTCAATGATGAACGGTCGCAGCAATATTCTGCAGGGAAGTCAAACCACGGCAGTGAGACGGATAAACGCGCGTCGCACTTCTGCGGAGACGAATTATCCTTCAATCACCGCATACTACCGCTAAAGCCGCATCTCATTGTACTCCCATCGCCACAAGGTGGCATCGGTCGCGTCCAGCCATCTCATGTGAGCATCGGTGACTCATGCATTGGAGGTAAGTGCTGCATGGAATCAGTCGGGTAAACGGTACAAGCGACCCAAGACCCAGTGTCATCCTCGATCAGGGCATGGCTAAGCTTCGGGATGTGAGTGATCTTTATCTTGGATGCACGGTGGGGAGACAAACATGCAGGCAGCGAAAACTTAAACCACGTGAATGGCAGATACCTACGTTCGCTTCATTCGCGGCCTGGCCTACGTTTATACTTTCCTTGATATCCCATCTTTCCCCGGAGATCTCTATTCCATGGCGGACGTGTCGTGGCATGGACGAGCTGCAGCGTTGTGACGGGCAGCAGAATCGCCTCATTCCCTGCAGTCTTTACTAGTACGAACTTGTTTCCATTTCCTCAACGCCCCGTAAAAGTGCCAATGTTGACATCGAGGGAAACGATCCGCCCTGGAGACCTTAGTGCACTTGCGACGCCGGAGGCCAGCCGGAAGCAGAAGGAGTTGCTGATTCGGGATGGGAAGGAGCGCCACTATTTCTTCAACGACCACGCTTTCCACATCCGCCTTCCGCACCAGCACCTTTTGTCTTCGCTGTACCCGAGATCACTGGCTCATCTTGCTCCTCAGACTCATCACTGCATATGGCATCGGAGCCTCGCCGCGGCTTCTGGAATAGGTTCACCAAAGGAAGCCGCCGGAACAGTGTCACGTTGGAGAGCCCGGGCATCCGCTGGAAGGTATATGCTAGAATTCGCGAGTCGGAGAGCTAACGTGTACGCCTGCTTCTCTCATTTCACCTGGAATCATGAAATCGCTGGGCCTATGCAACTTACCTCTCCTTCTTCAAAGAGCAGATCGCCAAGTGGGGAGTGAGCACGACAACTAGGCACATCAAGGTTATATTCCTTCTGATGAAAGTATCTGGGTCCCCTGTTGAGCAAGTAGATAGTGTAAATCTGGGTCTAACAGGTAGACAATCCGTCTCCAAAACAAGAACCAAGTCCTCTAATCATCCATAGGCTCTGTGAAATCCTAGCTTCGCCATCTCAGGACCCTATATCTGTGTTGAAACACATACATGGCACAAGTGGCCATCCACACCCTTCCAAGCTGCACAACACCCCGGATCAGCCCTCCCAGTCTCTCTTACACTGATTGATACTCACTGCGGTGGTGGCCTACTCGTCGATCCGGAAGCAGGCCCTGCAATAGACGAGTATTGTCCTCCCCAAGGATTGCGTGGGGGACGTGGTGTTTCTCGCATCGAACCCCGATGAATGATGTCGAGGTCCGGTACTGGTTCGTTCGGTGCTGTCTGCGTCCAGGATTCCCCATCCCACGATCCCGGATATACGGCACTTGCTGACGCATTGGCGATATGATCCATCCTTTGGCTGGCGGTGTATGTGCGCTCGAGGCTCGATGGACCAGCCACTGGGAACTGCATTGAAGACTGCGGCGCGTGACCGGTCTCCTCCTCCACCGTGACATACTCGCATACCAGACCCTTGAGCACACACCGTCGACAAGGCGAGTAATCCATGTCTCTCGACAGGCACTATCTCCGCGTTACACCTCCAATTGACGCAGACGAAATCGGATCAACTCACCTTCACTTTCCGTTTCCGGCAATTCCGGCACGCGATGTAAACTCTCTGGCTTTCACTGCGCTTTTTTCTCTTTGTCTTTGACGATTCGGCGGCGGTTCTCGGGCTCATGGATGGGACTGGAGATATCTTCGTGCCTGTGGAATCCAGCTGTATGTATATTTCTACGAAGTGAGCCCATCATGCGTTTCACTCGGTTGCAGTGATCGGCTCGACCAACAGGACTCGTTTTCTGGGCTGCCGTACACCATGCGCGTCAACGATCAGAGACGGCATCGGGTGGATACTCCAATTTATCTGCGTTACCAGCGTAGTGACGCATGAACAGCATACGAAAGGTGGGAGTTCACATCGCCTCTGACTCGTTGTTTCTGATGCGCACTCGATCAGCTGATCAAACTGCGCACTGCGATGCTGTATCCCAAATTGATCTTTCGTACATAATGAACAGGGTGCTTGGACCAGCGGTAACACAAATCCCTTCTCCTCAGTGATCCCCCTGTTTCGCTCACTCACACACACGTTGTCGGAGGTAAGTCCCCTCAAATGATGATCGAATGATGATCGAATGATGAGCCTTGATCAGTGGATCAGCGGCAGTTGAAGTTTGACTTTTCGGCCGCCGATGTCAATGGCTCACCCCGCAAGAGACCCCACAGGAAAGCAATCACCGAGGCCAAAGCCCGGACAATATATTGAGATCATGATCATGCGTACAAACATTGCTTATTCCAAATACACCTGGACTACACAGCAAGCGTGCGAGCCTCCTCCTCGCGGCGGCCAATGGTCCAGTGGTCGTTGCTCGGCTCAACGCCCTGGGTCGGCACAGCGCGGCGGTTCTGCCCGATCGTCCAGTGGTCGTTGCTCGAGTCCAAGGCAACCGTGCGAGCCTCCTGGTTGCGTCCGCCGATGCTCCAGCCGTTGTTGTTCGGCTCGACGGCCTCGGTCGGCACGGCCCGGCGGTTCTGGCCGATCGTCCAGTGGTCGTTGTTGGTGTCCAGACCGGCTTCGGCGCGCTACGAAGAAGTCATGTTGAGCAAAAAAAGGAAAACTGAATAGATAGACCAAGAACCCACCGCGACGGGAGTCTCGACAGCGCGGTTCTTTCCGATGTGCCAGCTGGTGTTATCAGATTCGAGCTATGATGATGTTAATATATCGACTTGGTCGACTTAGAGATAAACTAACAGGCTGAAAATACGACTCTAATTAGTATGAAAGAGCTAAAGGAGAGTCAAAAACGTACCTCAATCGTGGGGGCGGCCCGGTTGATTTTCCAGGAGGTGTTGTCCGAATCCACCTGATAGTTCACATCAGTATACAAGATACGGGACTATATCAATAGACGAACAAGGGGCTGGAAGCGGCCGTTAGATACCGCAAATGCAGGTCACAGATCAACAGCTCACCTCACGCGCCACGGGAGTAGCTACCGCACGGTTGATCTTCCACGAAGTGTTATCCGATTCAACTTCCTGGGTAACCAAAATACCGTATCAAGCGGAGAGATCGCTAGGGCAAGGGCGATGATCACGTACCGCACGGCCGATCACCCACTTGTCGTTCGTCGACTCAAGCGGCTGCGTGGGCAATGCGCGGGCCTTCCCGATCGTCCAGTGATCGTTGCTGCTCTCGAGAGCGTTGGGAGTGATGGCCGGCTCCGGCGCACGCTGCATGAATTGAGCTGTTAGTGACTTCGCGCATTTCAGTGTGGAATCGAATACGAACCGCAACGGGGGTCTCGACAGCGCGGTTCTTTCCGATATGCCAGCTGGAGTTGTCGGATTCGAGCTGGATTTGGTTGTCAGCCAGCATCAGTGAATGCAGGGGCAAGTAAACCCACAGCCTGTTGACAAAACGGTCTATATCAGTGCACTGCCGCCAAAATAAAGAAAGAAACCCACTTCGAGGGTCGGCGCCGCGCGGTTGATCTTCCACGAGCTGTTGTCTGACTCGAGGTCCTCAGTGGGCAAAGCACGAGCTTGTCCGATCGTCCAATGATCATTGTTGGTGTCGAGCTCGTTGGCGGTGATCAGCGGCTCCGGCGCGCGCTATCTCACAAAAATTGCGTCAGCCTCGATCCTGGGAAGTCATCGGCGGCACGTACCGCAACTGGAGTGGCGACAGCCTGAACCTTGTTGATGTGCCAGCTCTTGTTCTCCGATTCGAGCTGCGCAAGTCAGCTTCAGGTCCTCATTCACTGGGCTGCGATTCACGTACAGGCTATACGGATAAAATCAGCCAATGAGTCTGGGATTGATTAGAGCAGCGCACCTCAAGGGTCGGCGCCGCACGACCGATCTTCCACGAGTTGTTGTCCGACTCGACCTGGCATGATGAATTTCTTCGCACGCCCCTCAAAGTTACCGATGAAACTTACCAAAGGCTGTGGAAGGAGGAAGGAGTAAGAAATCGAAGACACTGGCAGCTAGCAGTAAGCACGCACGACTGGGTTGGCCAAGACGACCGCAGCGAGGGTGAACGCAAAGAGGGCACCGAACTTCATCTTGCACTAGTCTCGAGGGATTGGAGGAACAGAGCGTGGATCTCTGGTGAGCCAATGCATCCGCTAGAGCTTTTATATCGTTTCTCGCCTGCTGACAAGACACGAGTGAAAGTGAATGATGATGATGATGAAGTGGTGCGCCGGGGATGCGTACCGCTCGCGCCATCGTGCTTATCATGGCACATTGCATCCTCCATGCGTCGTGAATAGCGTTATTCTGAGGCATTTGGACAGCCAGAAACCTTGGCGGCGTCAGCTGAGTGTGCGAAACTGCTCCCCGAAAGAGGACAGACCGTGAGACAGAGATGAATGCCGTGTCTTCTTCGAGTCTTACACAAACCTAAGCGCACGAATACTGTAGAAAGGTAGCTCGCGGAAGCCCTCAAAGAGGTCAGATCGGCTGTTGATCTGGAAAAGTCGTCCAGTCGTCCCCGAAAGTCGTACTAGATGCAAAGACTGGTCGAGATTCAAATGAGAACCCAGCGCTCTATCAGGCTCATCTCCTCCGCACTCACCGATTGAGGTGACACTGCGAGATGGAACCATTCGAGGGATCATCTTCCATTGACAGCAAAGAGTCTATCTTATCATTCGCATCGGGAGCGGCCTATCATCCGTTTTCGTTCAGGTTGATAATGGGATGAAAAGTCGTTGAATGAGCAGGAGGACTGACATAAGATTGTGTGCGGCTCTTAGAGCTCCTGACGAGAGCTAGGGCCAGTGCTCTCTGTAGGCGAAGCGTCGTAGCTGGGAAGAAAACCTGGCGTCAACGAGGCAAGGTCACGACATCAAGTCACAGATGTCGACACATTGATCTATCTTTTGTGCATCAGATTAGCAAAAACGAGCCAAATATGGGACCAGAACGAACACGATTTGAAGATTGTGCTCATACCGACCTGAACGTAGTCGCTATTGAGTGCGAATGTTCAATGATTTGGCCCGCAGTTAGATTCTCCAGTAAGATCAGCCCAATACTGAGTGTTCCTCGGAGCGCCGACTGCACACATTCCTCTTATCGTGACAAACCGATTTAAAAACGTGACGCGATTGCGTGAAAATGATCCCCAGACCGTCTTGCGGAATCCTTCGCTCGCCGTCTTGCTCAACATTATACATTCAAGGGTGAGTAGGGGATACAGTCATCAATCTGAAATCACATCATCTGGGCTATAGTCGATACCGACACTCCGCCAGGCCGCGTGCGCATGGCACCGGGACACATTAGAGCCAGCGCGTCACCAGCGCGGACAACAACACGGTAGCGGCCTGCAGCGCCACGATCCACCACCCTCGCGCAAAGACCCCGAGCCCCTCCTCCCTCCTCATCTTGCGCGCGCAGTCGACGAAAGACGTGTACGGCGCCACACCGTCCTGCGCGCCGCTCCGCTCGCCCATCACGACCGCCTCCCCGACGCCGGGCTCGAACGCGAGCTCGGACTCGCCCGCCGGGGCTCCGCGCCGCTGCAGCGTCAGGCGCGCGTGCATGACGGAGACGGGCGTCTGCAGCGCGACGAACACGAGGCCCAGGCCGACGAGGAGCGCGGCTTCCCCGAGCGGCGCGAGGCCGTGCGACGCGGCCGCGCGCTCGATGTGGCGCTGGGCGAAGATGATGAGGGGCGTGAGGGCGCCGCGGATGACCTCGGCGAGGACGAGACCCGGTGTGAGGTACAGCTTGAGCGGGTTGGCGTACTCGGATGCGGAGAGGAGCGTCTTCAGGGCGGGCCTGGGGGCGAGCGACCACGGTAGCTTGGCGGTGGTGGTTATTGCGCTACAGCCGAGGAGCTCAGTGGGATGTCCCAGCCGTTTCGTGCCCGCTCACCGATTCAGGACGATCTCGAATGGGAGGACCGCAACCATCAGAGCGCTGCTGATGATGTAAAGTGCTGACGGGCGTTGTAAGATGCATGATACGGATCGATGTAGGACGACTCACGCATCTCTACGTCGAGGGGGAGCTTGCCGGCGGGTGGGTTGGTGATGTCCCTCACGGTGAGGCCCAGTGCGATGGGTGTGACGATCAGGATGGCCAAGTACGACTCTGCGAGATACGGTACTGGAACGATGACAGGTCAGTCCCTCGTCTCTTCTGTCCCGTCGACACTCACGGATTCCCTTGAAGAGCCCAGCCCAGCCCTCGAGCCGATACACTCTGAACAGCATGCCGAAATACGACGGCGAGCGTTCACTGGGAGCAGCTTCTTCGCCATCCGCGAGCAGCCGGATGGTTGACTTTGGAACGTAGTTGGCGCGGAAGCGGACCAGCGCGCCCAGGAAGGGCATCGTGATCAAACATAACAAGAGCGTCGGGCTGGAAAAGTCAGTCTAAGGTCGTCGAGTCCCGCTGCTCGAGGACGCACATGATGGTGACGGAGAGGCCGATGTAGAGCGCTCCCCAGTACGTTCGCGGCGATGTGGTAGGATCGAGCATGTTGGATGTTGGGAGAATGCCCACGAAAACCTCGCTTTTATGCAGAGACACTTTCGCCGTGGCCAGACTGCGGACCTTCGTTGACGTCCCGCGCTGTTGATCGCAGCAGAAAGTTGTCTAGCCAGGCTTGTATGCCTTTGATACATGATGACTTTCGTTGAAATCTCTGCTTGAAGCTTCCTGCCTCAATGCGTAGACTACAGCGCGAGCTCCCGAACAGAGCATTCTATGACTACAAGACGAAGAGTGTGGATCGATGACCCCCTCCACGTATGAAGCGATTCTGAGGCCCTTTTGAGATAGTGATCAATGACTCAATTGTCCGCAGGCTGATGTTCTCCCGCAAGGCACATCATAATATATATTCTGTGCGGCATCTCGAGTCGGCGATGGCACGTTGTTTTACCTTGACAATCTGCGCAATGAAAACTGGGGAGCTGTGATGTGATGTAGCTTCGTACAGTTTCGTCGTGCCTACTGCGTGGGTCTCACTGCATTCAGCCCTTCGCTAGCACCTGTCTGGGTGCGAAGTACCTCATGCCGAATCTCGTGACCACCCGTTCCGGGTGCAGCACGAGGCGTCTGGCCCTATACGGCTGGCACGAGTCACCTCCTGACTGATTGCGACCACTCGCTCCCACGTCGACCCAAACTCGCTCCTACGACGTTCCACACACCGCAATATCACCGTCGGGCGCCTCATTTCTGTTCTGGCGCATGCTTTACATTCCGGAACGTTACAATTAGAGGATGTTCTTGTCCAGAATCACCCTGTATTTGCTATCTACTGGCTACCTTTTGCTCCAAACTGGTTGGAAGCTGATATTGGGGGATCGTGCGATAGGACCAGCTAGCTCTGGGACCAGATACCTCGTACCGGGTCTCGCACCTTGCTCGCATCTCCACGTGCCAGTGCCTGGAGGGAGTGACCTCGTCCCACGTCACGAGCGGCCTCGGCCCGTGATCGGCACTGATCGTGCCTGCCTCCCATCAACCTCGCATCTTCACGCTCCAACCGGCGCTAGCTAAAGGCTGAATGCAGTGAAATGTCTTTCGTTCATTTGAATGGATGTCAAATAGTCCCTGTCATCGGGTTTGCGAAGCATGCCGGTGTTGTTTGGGATTACAATTACAATGAGTGGGCGTAGAAATACAGTCTAGGACGGAGAAAAATTATTTGCATATTCCATCTCAGCGCGATGAGCGGTCCGACGCGGAATCCACCGAGTGCGAACTGCTGCGCGACGACCCGCGGCGTGGATGGAGAATGCTGTGAACGACATTGCTCAAGGATCTTCTCTTCTGCGCGGATGTTAGCATTTGTAGGAAGCGGCATCTGGGATAGACGTACGGGAGAGCCGGCCGCGACCGGGACTTCAGACTGGCTTGGGGTAGGGGTTGTGTATGTGCTGCGTGTGGGAGCATATGTGGGAGAAGGCTGATGAACATGAGAAAAATTAGAGTGCCGCCTTGGATGGTCGATGGGAGAGCAGACTCACGTAGCCGTAGTAGGACATGACTGATGAGCACGACATTTCGAGTATATGGTGGGTGAGCTGGGCTTGAGTTGGAGTGTGCAAAGGAGGCCGGGGCTGTTTTGATGTGGAAGTATTCGACCCGACGATGCATTCCTTATAAATGAGCGACGGATGAACTCGGTGCACGCCGAGGTTCACGAGCCAGAGGTAATCTCGAACGGTCGAAGAAGCTCGCCGACTGATCCGGACGGTCTCTGTCCGGCTTCTTCGGATGGGGAACCTACGATGATTGCCATTCCGGTGTTCGACGAAGTCGGGTCAGAAGCATCTCAGCTCCCATCAATGCATCAATACGATCTGCCGATGCGGCGGTCTGTCGTCTAGACAGGGGCTGTGGTGTAGATCACACACTCGACCGGTCGCTATGTTCATTCCTCGTGAGTCTACAGAAGCTGTGGGCTGAGGCAGAGCATTTCCATAGACTTGGAGTCACTCTGATCTGTTACAGGTATTACAATACACAACAGATTGTAGTAAATACGGACCTTCAACCAAACCCGTGGATCCTCGTGTCCGAGCAACCAAATGAATGACAACTCTGTTATTACTGATGGTAGTTTCCGCCGCAATAGCACGGTCCATTATGTGGACAGGCACACGTCCTGTGCCGAATCAGCGCCGCGAGAATATCATAACAGAAATGGAATCCTTACACGGGTTGATTCTGACCACGCACGACGTAATCGGGCTGCTGTGCATATTGCCGCTGGTGGTCGGATCCAGCTCCAGAGTAGGGGTAACCGGGGTGCATATATCCTGCCGAAGGAAGCCCGCTCGTTGGCTGTCGTCCTGGCGGCCATTGACTAGAATAATCGACGAACGAGGCACGTTGATCCGGCTGTAAACCACCGCTGGGGCGCATGTACTCGTTGAGACTGGCTGAGGGGAGGGTGATCGGTTGTGGGTCCCGCGAGCGACCGGCCTGCACATTTCGTGCGGTATAGTCGTAGTTTGTGGGATCCGGAGAGGCATAGTCATTGTGGCGCTCGTACGCCATCTCCTCCGGGACTGCAACGTACTCGCACGCCATATCGCGCTTCGCACATCGTTTGCAGGGGCCGAAGTCTCCATCGGCGGGTGCGATGCACTGTCATTGAAAAGATGCTGCAAGTCAGAGGCGCAGCTCGGATAGCAGGCGGCGACGCACCTTGATTTTCCGGTGTCGACAATTCGTGCAGGCCATATACGCTCGGCGGCGCGTCGAGAATACGGATGAATCGACGGCAGGTTTGGACGAGGTCGCGGACCCAGGCATGACTGCAGGCTGGCTGCAGCTGTCGGTTGTCGAGAAAAGTAACGGAAGAATGTGGCACGGAGACGCCGATTATATATATCTCGCCATGCAAGTCGCCACGTAGGATTTCAAGACCACGCAGATAGTCAACTGGCAGTAGGAGAGTGAGAACCCAATCCAGCCGCCCGATGAGTAACCCATAATCCGGACTCGATCCAATGCCGAACTCGTTACATGATCTGAACCAGTAGAAGAACGCCATCATGCGCTTGTATCGGTTGGCCAGTTGAAGACAAGAATCGGTCCTGAGAAACCCGAGCTGTGCACGAGAGTCGGTGACGACCGAGGAATCGCTCAGCAGCAGATGGATTTTATCCATTGCGATACATACTAGCAAAAAATTCAGCGCAAGGGTTGGCCTTCGTTCGAGGGCAATAGATGTCGGCAGAACAAAACCTGAGGGCACACGATCGAATGAGACGACAAGCATCAAAGTCCAGTGGCCTCAACTTCAGTCATTGAATCGATGGTCGACTTCTCTGTAACATCAGACATCCGTGAAAGACACAGGCTTATTCAGCCAGTCCGTGGATAAGCGGATTGAGATACCGAAAGCAGCGCAGGCGCACGACCCAACGCTCCCTCCAATCTTTATCATTGCAGGATTGACTCACCGTGGAGCCGCGATTGTGTAGTAGAGAGCACAGCTCGGATGTTCTTCTTGCGATAAGCCTTTGTTGGTCGCTGAGGAGCTGCGCGCAGAAAGCTGTGGCTCAAAAAGCGTCACATCGATCAACTCTCTTCACGATCGCTGAGTCATCGTGACGAGCACGTGCGCAGATTATGATGGCAGCTGCACAGCCATAAACTTGATTCGAAGTCATGCTGTCACGGACTAAAACCCGCACCGACTCTCCTCGCGCATGGCTCTCAAATGAGCGGAAATCTATTATCTTGGTCAAGAAGGAGCCGGAGTGGTCCCCCAGATGAATGAAATTTCTCGATTGCTCTCTCAGTCGTTGTGCAGAATGAGTGAGATATGAGCTAGATCTGCTTCTCATTTCTTCTCATTCCTTCTGCTCCCCACTTTGACTGCTTGAGAATCGTCATGAAAACGCGGGGAGGACGCACTAGAGAGGATCTACGTTTGACATGTGACGAGGCGTGACGGCCGTGATTAGGCTTTAGGATCAATCCGGGAAAACCAGGGTTGGATTTTCTTTCGCCACCACTTCGGGCTGGTTTCTGCGCTCGCTGCCAACATCCTTTCGAGGGCACCGGACCCGAGATCATCGAACATCGGAGTGGGTATCATCGTGGGTTCCCAATCCGGAGAAGCCGGACGGAGACCGTCCGGATCATCCCGCCGCTTCTGCGACCGGTCCAGAGCTCTGCTGGCTCTCACATCTGGGCGCGGACCGACAACTTCATCCAATCGTTTATAGGGCGCCCTGCTTTGGCTGGTATGTCTCCGTCATCAGCATCCTTACCGGCGATTCAAGCTCAACTCCCACTCCCATTCCCACCAAACCTCTTGCGTCTGCAATGTCCTGCTCTTCTGTGATGGCATACTACGGCTACGTCAGACAATCACTCCATAGGGCCTCTGAAATCAATCTCACCGTCTCCCCCCTCATTAGACTTCCCCGCCTGTTCGTGCCACAAACTCGTCTTGAGCCCCATCCTCTGAGACAGAGATCCCTACCAGGCCCAGGCGCGAATCATCTGTACGTCGATTGATCACTTTCCAGTACCGTCAGATACAGAAATATCCACAGAGAAGCGATTCATCATCACTGCGCCATTTCGTTGAAAAGATACTTCACCGGCGCAGGCCCAGCTTCTTGCGCTCCGACTTGTCGCGCACTACCTCGCAAAGTTCCGGGACACAGACGAACCCGGACTTTGACACCATTCGCACATAAATGCGGCGCAAGTTCCCATATAGACACTGTATCCCCCCTTGTAATCATGTATATGTTGACCGGAATGGATTTCGAATTTACGAGTTCAACGGAGGAAGGCAGTGCGGAAAAGGCAACATATCCACGCTCTATCGATTCAAAATTTCGTCCAGTACCTAGTAGTCGGATAACCGGATTCCGGTCACGGCAAAAAAGCATAGATACCTCATGTTCGTGCGGCGGAGAGATGAACCATGAAATCAGACTGAGACCTGGTTCACACATTCTGATACCCTTTGAAGCTGAATACAGCCTCGGGCGGCGACTGTGAGATGGCAGATTCAATAACAAAGCAGGAACTATATTAAACTGCGAACTGACCGGGGCCCAATTCTTCGACCTTGGGTGACTCGCAGTTGAGAACGCCATTCCATCTCCGTCGTCTTTTCGGAAGAGTTTTGGGGGCGGAGGAAGATTCGATCCTCCCGTCCGTACGGATTCTCGATGACGGGCCCGAGCGTTCAGCGAGACAAGGAGCGAGTTGGAATACACTTGTCGAATGTCAGATCGGTGGATACTTAGCGAGGCTGGAACTGACATTTGGCGAGGACGGTGTAAAGACCCAGCCAAACCCCTGTTCGAGCATCGTAACTCAAGTGTGGGAGTACCAAAAACATAAACATACAGTTGTGTTTCATGGTTTGGAACTACCGCTTCTGAGCTGCTCGTTCGTTGAATTTCAGGCAAATGTACTCACAGTAATCACCACGGCCAAAGATGTCAACGAGGTGATGAGGCCCGTTTCTGAAGCCCCAGCCTGTCAGTAATCTGCATAATAGAGAAATTTGGAATGATACCGATTACCCAACAGATCAACCCTCTGACGACCTGCTTGCTTCCATTGGGCAGCTCCACCGGCGTGGTATATAGCCGCCTGATGCAGGCACACATCCCGATGGTGATGACCACGTCAAGCGCCACACCCATAACCAACGCGGCAGTGAAGAAATCCCCGTACGTGTCAGCGATGTAAGTGCTGTTCGGCTCGCGGCTGACGTCGAGAAGCGAAAAAGTCGACATCATGAGCCCCGTGGCCAGCCGGATTGCGGCGATCACCCAGCAGACGATGCTGACACGGAGACTGCCTGACAGGACCCAGATGCGGAATGCGAAGAAGCCCTGCCGTCGCGCATCAGTAGTAGACAGCAATGATGCAAGAACGGCTGCTACCTGGATCGAAGCGGTGATGATGGTCTCGAATACGGGGGTAACCGACAAAGTGTAGCTGTTGGTCGCTTTCAGCTCTTCGGGCATACCCGCCAGACTGATGGTAAAATAGTAGAGGGCATGGCACGCCGCTACCGAGTGACCCAATTCAAGGAACATCACTATGCCAACCTGTGCTGGTCTACAGGAGGTCACGAATTGGTGGAGACGCAACGCACGAATATTTTAAGCCATCTTGAATCGGCGCTGCAGTTCTGGGTGAAGTAGGTGTACGCCTGAAGTAAGATCACTCCGAACATGACCAGACTGAGCATCACCCCGATCTCGAGCGCGCCCAGGATTTCGGGTGTAGCGAGGCCGTAGGAGATCGTCATCGGAGCAGGAATTGCTCTGCTTGTCAGAAGACGACAGGGACTGAAAAGCAGTAGGTCCTCGAAATCTCTTGGGGACCAAGGAAAGGGGGGAGAAGGCAGGCTGAAGAATAAGCTGACGAATCAGCTGCAAGCTGAACACGAATGCAGGTGCGCACCGACGGGGACGACGACGAGAGAAAAATAAAGAGTGTTAGAGCACAGCAAGACTGAATGTCGTGTAAATATAAGCACTGGGAGATCCAGACGGAGGGTCAGGTCGAAAGCAATTGAAGACAAGTGAAACAAACAAGAGGGTCAAATACTCAAGCTGAGAAAATATCGAGTCGATTAGTGAGCTCAAGCGCCGGATACAATGGAAAAGCCCCGGTTGTTAATCGAAACCAACGTATGGCTTGAAGCCTACAAGTCTCATAAAGACAAGTGTCCAGGTCGTTAGGAAACGGACAAAAATTGATGACACGTGACCAAGGAAGTACGAAAGAGCGACCAGGCCCTGGGTGGTTGTCAAAGCGAGACTGAGGGAAAAAAAACTCATGCTGCGCTGTACAGCCTTAGGGGGTCGTTGGCATCGAAACAGTTCAGGGCCGTGAGATTTTGAGGCTCGCCGTCCCTGGCAAACAGCAGACGGCCTTGAATCCAGGGGTCATGAGCGAGAATCGTGTATTTGTGAATGAAGTTTGAATTCCGGGTTTCACGGAGAAGATCAGGGTGGAGCAGGCGCGCGCATCCAGTGTTGAACTGAGAGATAAAGCGTTGGGCTATGGCAGGGGCATCATCGCATCCTCGTCTCGGAACTGTCAACCTGATAGTATATCCTGTGCTTTCCGCTTCGCGGCTCTGTTCCGAGTGACGTTGGACACCAGGCCAGCGGGAATGCGTGAGAAGTATACGTCGAGTGAGGCGCCCGTGCAGCCGCTTCGGATTCCTCAACCTCAACCTCTGGGTGGAGAAAGCAATGGGGAGATCTCTCCAAATCCTAAGGGGATCTTCAAGGATGTGTGCACCATCAGAGCCAGTAGATGGAATGCAGTGCCAAGTTACATGCACGGAAGAATAAGTTATACAATTACATACACCGAATGATTGATTTGGCTTCATACGTTCTCATGTCCTCTCGGACTGAATGCAGCTGCGGGCAGCGACTATTTGATGGCTCACTCAATGTTTTACGCTCTTCGGCATACAAGTTTCGACTCACCACAGCCCAATCTTTTGACTCTTGGTGAATCGCTGCTGGGGTAGCCTCATTGACGTCATCGAGTTTCTGGGCGCAATTCCACGACAGAGCAGGATCCGATGATCCCGTTCGTACGTATTCCCGATGACGGGCGCGAGCATTGAGTGAGACGAGAAGCGAGTTGGAATATACTAGTGGCGTGTTGGATTAATGGATTGATGGTGGAAGAGCGTCGAGCTTACGTTTTGCTAAGAAGGTGTAAAGAGCTAGCCAGATCCCTGCAGAGAACCGGTTATCCAACTGTATGAGGACCAAAATAGAACGTGCAGTCGTGTTTCATAGTTTGGAACTGAGATCTCTAAGCGAACTGTCTCTTGGGAGGCTGGAAATCTTGCTCACAGTAATCACCACGGTCACGGACGTAAGAGAGGTAATGAGTCCTGTTTCTGAGTGTTTCCAGTTATTCAGCAGTGATCGAGAGCTCGGGGGGATCGAGTTACCGATGGCCCAAGAGATCAATCCTCTCACGAGCTGCTGGCTTCCATCCGGCATCTTCGTCGGCGAGGTGGAGAGCCGCCTGATATAGACACACAGCCCGATTGTGATGATCACGTCGAGGACGACGCCCACGACCAGCGCAGCAGTGATAATCCCGCCGAACGTTTCGACGAGGTAGTAGTTGTTTGGCTCGAGAGGGACATCGAGGAGACAAACCACCGACATGGTGAGTCCCGCGCCGAGCCGGACTGCCGCGAGTGCCCAGCAGAGAACGCTGAGCCGCAGACTGCCTGAGAGAATGCGGATACGGAACGCAAAGAAGCACTGCCCGAAATCAGCACACGACCCAAGTGTTCCAACACAAACGCCGCTACCTGAATCAAAGCGGTGATGATCGTTTCGAACACGGGGGTGATGGACAGGCTGTAACTGTTGGCCGCTTTGCGCTCCTCAGGGACACCCGCCAGGTCGATGGTGAAGTAGTACAGCGCGTGGCACGAAGCTACTGAGTGACACAGTTCGAAAAACATTACCATGCCGACCTGCAATAGTTGAGGGAATATCAACGCGATGACGAAAATACAACCCACAAATAGTTTCAACCATCTTCTGTCGGTGCTGCAGTTCTGGGTGAAGTACGTGTATGCCTGGAGCGCGATGACTCCGAACATGACCAGACTGAACATTATGCCGATCTCAAGCGCACCCAGGATCTGGGGCGAAGCAAGGCCGTAGGATATCGTCATTGGAAATGGAGTGTGCCGGTGGGGTAGGAAAGGAAGCTGGCGCAGCCAGGAAGAAAAGTGGGAAGATCGTAGAGACCGAAGGTAGATTGACGCAAGAAGGAGGAAACGAAACGTCACGCGCCGCAAATTTATCTTGTATCGCACGCAAAATCTGATTGATTAGACTGGTGCTGATGCAGAGGCCCGAATCCCGATTGGTCTTTTTGCAATATCCATCTGTGGACAATCAGATAGATCTAAATGCACAACGTAGCAGCAATACTTATGCTTCCGTCCTGGTTCTACTCACAAATCCATAATCCTTCGGGGCCAGTTCTACCCACCCACTGGGTAGAACCAGGACGTTCGTGTTTGATTTCGGTGGTAATTGAACTGATCATCCTCTAAGAAAAGAAAGGTCAAACAACGCATTTTCGCACTGAGCCAAACTGCCACAAGACTTCTGGCATCCTCTCTCCACTAGATCTGATGGAGGGCCTTACTGTCTTGAACAAGACGCGCCCCTCTGGGTGCGGACATTAGCGGTTCGGGTTCGGGCTCGGATTGGGGTTAAAGGTTAGTCCCTAGAGATGTCATTTTTCTCATTTATGGTTGGGGGAAGGTAGCAAAAAAAAAATAAGACCTATCATAGGCTCAGTTAGGGTTGGTTAGGTTTAGAAATATTTTTATTAGGTTGTTAGGGTTTGAAATAATAAATTTGATCACTGATTGCATAAATCTGGAAAGGCTTGTAAATGCGCCCTCATATCGATACTGTGACTAGTGCCTCCTGCAAGAAGGTGCCTGGTTTTGAATTGATGCAGACAATAAGCGGTCTCTGTGACAATCAACCAAAAATAAAGTCGAAAAGAGAAGTGAATTCGAAGACTGGAGAATACAACCAAATAGCTACAGTATTTATACCCAAGTCCAGTCTGAGTCATATCTACAACTAATGAGTCATAGGGCTATGTACCGCATGGAACACTGGTCATGGGTTGTAGTAGAACCTTCCGGAGCATATGTCGCGCAGCCTCGAATCGATAGAGATAACCCCTGGAACCCCTAGCCCGGACCGTCTGATGCCGTGATCCGTGATAAGATAAGTCGTGCCAAGATAAGATAAGATCGCCGATGATAAGATGAAAAAGAGTCGAATTATGACATTACCCCCTCTCTAGGGTCGATGTCCTCATCGACTAGGCCGATGGGCGTGAAGACGTTTTCGTAGGGATCGAAGAGTTGTCGCTGGGGATATGGAAGGCGCTCGTCTTTGGGTTTGTAGCGATGGATGAGATAATCCCAATGTCCGGCTTCGAGAGTTGGCAGGAGGCGAATGCGTGTGTCTGGGTTTGATTGTTTCCTCTGCCAATCTCTCAGGACCTTCTTCGCGTGGGTAAGGTGACGTGATGGTTCCCAGGTGTTCTCGCTGTGCGGCCATCCCTTCCATTTGATCAAGTACTGTTTTCCTCGGCCGACTTTTCGCTCTTTCACGATTTCTTCGACTTCCCACTCTTCTGCTCCTCCGATCATCTTGGCTACAGGCCTCTTCTCTCGGCGATGGGGGGGTGGTTCGTGATAGGGTGTCAACAGTGACTCATTGAACACCGGATGTCTTCGGTCCGTGTCCGGCAAATCCAGCTTCCATGCAGCCGCTCCAACCTTCTCCAGTATCTCGTATGGTCCCAATCTCTTGTCGCTCATCTTCTTTGATGGTCGATCCGTCTCGATATTTTCCCCTTCTATGTACACCTTCATCCCAACCTTCAACTCCGGAACTTCTTTTCTTTGTTTATCGTAGTATTTTTTCATTTTTTCTTTTGCTTTTTCTAGTGCCGCTTTTGCTTCGTCTTGTATTTCTTTGATTCTTTTCACAAATTCCTCCGCTGACTCGTTTCTCGACTCCATCCGTTGCTCCACTCCCTTCCACGGGTGATATCCGTGATTCGCATAGAATGGCGATACTTTGGTGGACGTGTTCATCTTGTCGTTATATGCAAACTCCGCCATTCCCAGCCACTCCGACCAGTCCGTTTGATGGTAATTGACGTAGATGCGGAGATAATGCTCGATCTCCTGATTCATGCGTTCTGTCTGCCCATCCGTGATCAGGTGATATGCGGTCCCCGGGTTCATTTCCACGCCCAACATCCGATTCGTCTCCCTCATGAAGCCCTTGATGTAACGCGAATCCCTGTCGGTGATGATCTTGCGAGGGATCCCGTGGTAGCGGAAGACTCGATCCCTGGTTAATCGTGCCACTCCTTCGCTGCTGATGTCAGTACTGATTGGTTCGACGTGGATCATTTTGGTGAAGGTGTCACACCACACATGAATTGCGTCATACCCGTTACTGACCGGCAAGGGTCCGATCTGATCCATGGAGATGATTTCCCATGGCGCGTTTGGAACTGCATGCGGGTGCAAACTCCCTGTCCTGGCTCTTCTGGTCTTGGTCCGCTGGCACGCTTCGCACGTCTGGATGTATTTCCGAATTTGGTTCCCCATCCTTGGCCACCAGTAGTTCCTTTCCACCATCTCCTGCGTTCGGTTGGTCCCAGCGTGTCCGACCAAAGGGGTGTCGTGGTGTAGTCCGATGATCTTGTCCCGCAACTCCTCGTCCCTTGGTACATAGAGCTTCCCATGATACGTGATGAGCCCATCTTCCTTCTTCCATCCGACGAGTGACTTCTCCAAGGCCGCCTTGACGCTTCCATCAACTGATCGAATGGCCTTGATTTCATCGATTAGCTGCTGATCCTGTCCCTCAAATGTGACTTCTTGTGATCGGAAAAACTCGGGCTTTAGTAGCGTGACGTCCTTGTTGTCGTTCTTGCCCTGATCGTGATCTGCTCGTCGAGATAAGAGATCCGCTTTGCGGTTGAGTGCGCCGGGCCGGTGTCGTAAGGTGAAATCGAACTCCGCCAACTCCGTGATCCATCGTGCTTGCCGTCGATTGAGCTTCTGCGGCTTCCGGAAGTACTCGAGATTCTGATGGTCGGTGAAGATCTCGAACGTCTCCGTGGCTCCCAGGAGTAACTGCCTCCATTCGTCAAGCGATAACATGATTGCGAGCATTTCCTTGTCGTAGATCTCGTAATTTCGCTCGGTTTCGGTCAGTGCGTGCGAAATAAATGCAATTGGGCGCCAAATGCCGTCTTGGTTTTGGCTCAAAACTGATCCCGTTGCCCCTTCCGAAGCATCGGCTTCCAGACGATATTGGCCAGTGTCATTTGGCAGTGCTAGGACCGCATCCTCCGCGATTCTCTTCTTCAATCCATCAAATGCCGCATGCTCATCTGCACCCCATGACCATCCTGCCTTTCCTGTCAGCCGCGTCAACGGCTTGGCGACCTCCGCATATCCCCGGACAAAGCGCCGATAGAAGTTTGTGAACCCTAGAAACGCTTGGACTTGTTTGACGCTCTTTGGTTCGGGCCATTCCATCACGCCCTTGATCTTGACTGGGTCCATCCGCATCGAATTGTGTCCAATAATTACACCCAAATATTCGATTTCCGTGCGTTCGAACTCGCACTTTTCGGGCTTCAGGTATAGCTTGTGTTTCTGGAGCAATTCGAGCACTCGTTTCGTGATCCGCCGATGTTCGTTCAAGTTTTCTGTGAAGATCAGTATATCGTCCAGATAGACTACCACGTGACCCTCGTTGATCAACTCTCGCAGTATGTCGTTCATCATGTTTTGGAACGTTGCCGGGGAATTTGTGAGACCAAAGAACATGACCAAGGGCTCGTACAGCCCTCGGTTCGTGCGGAATGCAGCCTTCCACTCATCACCCTCTTTGATCCGTACATTGTTATATCCCCACCGGATGTCAAGTTTTGTGAAGAACTTGGCGCCACATAGATTATGGACTAGTTCGGATATCAGCGGCAGCGGGTATCGATTCCGAATCGTCATCTCATTCAGCTTCCGATAGTCTTGGACGGGGCGTAGGGAGCCATCCTTCTTCTTGACAAAGAAGAATGCTGATGCCATCGGTGATTTTGATGGCCTGATCCGTCCACTGGCCAAGTTCTCTTGTAGGAATTCGTCGAGTTTGACTTGTTCATTGCGTGATAACGGGTACACCTTGCAGTCCACTGTCTTGGAACCAGGTTTGAGTTCAATTGCGTGATCCCATGCCCGTCGGTCTGGTAGCGAGTCAAACGATTCCTTGGCGAATACTTTGACAAATTCCCGATATTGATCCGGAATCTTCCCCTCGGTCATCCTCTCCTTCTCTTTCTCCGCTTCTTCTGCGAATTTCTGTGCCGGCGTTTCCTTCAGCCGCAGGTCTACTTCCTTCCCAAAATCGACCAACAAGATCGATTCTCCCTCTTCCAGATCCGGTGTGCCCATGTTCAGGTCAGTTGCGTCCATGTCAATCATCGCTTGATGTTCCTCGTGACCCCTCATGTGACACCGCTCTGGGCACCGGCTGAACCTCATGGTCTGCTCCTGCCAATCCACTTCGGGGTTGTGTTCCATCAGCCAATCGAGACCGATGAAGATCCGGGCTTTCCCCAAGCACGTCAGAAGGAACGTGCGTGTCTCCACATGAGGACCGATTCTCATTCTCAGATCGACGTAGTGCGTGATCCGACCGCTGATGTTCTCGGTGTTGTCGGCGTTACGAGCCACAATGGGTTGTGGGAGCTCTTGAATATCCAACTTCTCCGCCCGTGCGTAGTCGGTATCGATGCAACAGGTACTGCAGCCGCTATCGAGCAGCGCCTTGACTCCGCGCGTTTTTCCTGAGTCCAGACCCGTGATCTGGACATATACATCCATCGAATGTCTCTTCCTTTCGGCCTGGTAGTCGCGCAATTCCTGCGCCAGTCTGCCGGGCTGCGGGCCCTTCTGTTTCTCGGCCGCCAATTTCCTCTGGACGGCATCTGGCACCCTGGTGCGTTTGGGTGCTTCTGGAACCTTGATTTCGGCAGATTCCTTAGGCGCTTCCTCCTTTTTCAAGGATTGAGCCTCCGGAGCGATGCTCCCCTTTTCGGTCTTTGTTGACGTGGTTCCTTCTCCACGAGCCATAAATATGTATGAATCCAAAATTAATTTATCTGCAGCTTTCTGATCCTTTTTACTTTGTAAATACTCTCTATTTAAAGCTATTTTTCTTTGGCGTTCTTTTTCCATATCAGCAATGAGAAAATCGTGAATATTCGTACGTAGTGAGTCCGAGATTGTATATGTATGTGTAGAATCGTTCATGTCTTTAATTGAAACAAGTACAGAAAAACGTCCATAGTCCGGACGCTCCACCTCCTTGGCTAGAGGAGTGGAGCGTTTCAAAAACCCTTCTCGCGCAGCTTCTCGGCAATCTCCTTGAGGAACTCGTTGTCCTTGTCCCCGTTCTCGATCTCTTCAAGCATCGTGGCCCGATTGAAGAATGTGCGCTTCTTTCTTGGTTCCGGGCAGTTCCGCGCAATGTGCCCCGGCTGCTGACAGTTGTAGCAGATGATATTGCGGCCGCGGGCGTGGGTACGATCGATTTCCATTGGAACCGGTTCGTTGGCAGCGGGTCGGGCCGGAGCGGGTGCGGGCGCCACTGGTGCCGCTTGGGGACGGAACTGGGGAGGTGGTCGTTGTGTGGGGTGCCCATACGACGCTTTGCGCAGCTGGTCACGCAGAGCATTGGCTTCGATGTTGATGCACCAGGCTTTGAACGCTCCATAGGCCTTGGGCAGAGGGACACCGGTGTTGTAGAGACGGCTGGCGATCTCGCTGCTGAGTCCGCGCTCCAGGAACTCGATGAGGATATTATCCTGGTCCCCCTTCTTGTATTCGCCTTTGTCGTCGGTGGTGTCGACCACATTGTAGCCTGCATCCGCGGCCAACATCTCAAAGTCGGAGATGTAGTCCGCGAAGGACCGTTTGTTTTGGCGCAGGGCCATAAGCCGAGCAGCGGCGACTTGTTCCGCATTGGAGTCCCCGAACGCCCTCTGAAACTCCTCCAGGAAGTTCTTTGATGTGACTCCTGCCTTCAGTCCCTGGAAGCCCTCGAAGTTGTGCTGCTTCCAGTTCATTGCCCATCTCGAGGCAGCGCAGCTCGTGCCGTTCTCGTTACGGAGGTAGGAGAGGACAAAGAGGATTTTGGTCTCATCCTGCGAGAACTCCGATCGATAGGCACCGATGTAAGTGGTGCACGCGTCCACAAAGCCCAGGTATTTGGACTTGTCGCCATCGAAGTAGGGGGGATTGGCGGCGAGGGTGATGCGGTGATGCCCTGACATGGTAGGGGCAGGCGTGTGAGGTGGGGGCGAGGGTGGTTGTTCGGAGGGCAGTTCGTCGAGGTCGGGGATCTCGTCTTCAGGCGGTGGGAGGGCAAGGTAGGGGTTGGAGGGCCCGGGTTGGTTTTGATGCGCCAGATCGGGCGACGATGGTATGATGGGGGGAGGGGACGGACTCCCAGACGACGATGGGAATCGGTACGAAATGGTGGAATCGTGTGCTGTACAAGCACTCGAGGGAGGGTTCTTTTGCTAGCAAAAAGATCCCGGGCCTAACTCTTCACGTGCCCGATGATCCCGAGGTGCGTTTTCCCGAAGGTCTCCGCAGCACTCCTTGTAGCTACCGTAAGGCTTGGGTCGGGCTCAACGTTACCCGTGGCCTGGTGCTGTTTGCTTGAGATGAACCCTTCACTGCGATAGTGGAGGACGACTAGATGATTCGGTAAAAGGGTGAGTGGGGTGATAAGGTTTTAAGAGGATATAGCGGGCGTAGCGGTGCGGGATGCAGGGTAAGAGGTATGAGGTAGGAGGGTATGAGGGGAGTCTTCGAATTATGTGACAATCAACCAAAAATAAAGTCGAAAAGAGAAGTGAATTCGAAGACTGGAGAATACAACCAAATAGCTACAGTATTTATACCCAAGTCCAGTCTGAGTCATATCTACAACTAATGAGTCATAGGGCTATGTACCGCATGGAACACTGGTCATGGGTTGTAGTAGAACCTTCCGGAGCATATGTCGCGCAGCCTCGAATCGATAGAGATAACCCCTGGAACCCCTAGCCCGGACCGTCTGATGCCGTGATCCGTGATAAGATAAGTCGTGCCAAGATAAGATAAGATCGCCGATGATAAGATGAAAAAGAGTCGAATTATGACAGTCTCACAAATACGTAAATCAGGCACTGCACGGTCTGGGCCTTTCTCAATCTGGAATTACAGTCCAGGTAATCAAATTATACATGCTTTGAAACAATCTACAGCACCCTGTGGATCCTCGATCATGAACTGATATTTGATAAGAGCTGTTGAAGCACCGAGTAGAACAGTGACTTACGAAGTGATTTGCACCTTCGATCATCTTGAATGTGATCTTGCACTCAGGCTTTGCCTCCATACGCATCCTTTCTTCCAACTTCCACGAAGCATAAATCGTAGTCCACGAGTCGGCCGAGCCCGTCACCACAAAAAACTCGGTGTCTTTCCACAACTCACCACGGACGTGGCTATCAAACAGGCTTTTGTCCAGCAGTTTCGCTGTCACTGAGTGGAAACGAGGAGAGATCAGGATGCCGTCGTACTTGGTGCTCGCAGTGAAATCAGTGATACCGTCCATCGGAATGGTAGGCAGCCGAATCGAGTCGGTTACGTTGTATTGCAAGTTGCGTGGGTCATGTTTCGAGAGATCTCCGTGCGCAAAGAAGCTCAACAACCAACGGGTGATCGAGGATTCCTGATCTGCATCAGCAGCCATCAGGTCCATCATGGGTGGGATGTCTATCCCTTCAGGGTCCGGCATCCCATATGCGACGCTTGGGCCTTCTGCATGACCTGGTCATATGCGGGTGCCTATTGCATCTCGATGAAAAACTCACGGAAGAGAATCATGCTTCGCACGGAAGTTGTCAGAGTTTGACGTGCATCCTCAGGCAGCATGTCCATGGATGCAGCAATAGAAAGCACCATCAGCGATCCCACCGACCATCCGACTACTGCAATAGAGCCTGGGAGGGAGAGCGAGGCGGCCACCCCGGCAATAAACAAGGCAAGATCTCGGCCCATCTCCGCTAGTAGCTGACTCTTCTGCGCTTCACTCCCTCTGGTGAGCAGATCGAGCTCTTGCGGCGAGTAGGGACTTGATCCCGGGTATTCGCGGCGATTCAAGGCGATGACCCGCGCATGATTTGAAGACCCGATTGCCGCCAGGCTGGCAAATGTGCCTGAGAAGATAAATTCGGAGACCAAGGACTGCAGAAACAACAGCACTTGCCGTTGTGAAACATGCCTCCGTGGATGAGCAGGAGGGTCACATAGTCTGTCTTGTCAGACTCGGGGACTGCACTGTCCGTGTAGCTGAAGCTCACGCCGCTTTCGAGTGTCAAGGATGGCATGTTGGAGCTATCACAACGGATGGACCGGTGGGTGCTTAAAGGCAATCAGTTGAGAAGCGTGCGCTCCAGGCGTTCCAATTGATATGAAAGACGGCATGGAAAAGGTTCCCGCTCCAATTGTGCCCCTTGACGACCAGGAAGACAGTTAGGACCCAAGTCTTTGTCTCGGCAACTGGCCGGACAAAAACTACCAAATCTGCGTGACGTGAACACGGTTATCATGCGCATTGCAGAACTGAACTTGAGGTACCTTGACTTTCTTCAATCCTCCTAGAGCAGTTCCAAAGAGAAATTCCGAGTGGAGTATGCTTAATGAACCAAGGAGTGTCATATTGAGACAGAGAATTTATTATTGATCCTTGCGTTGAATGAGCTCTTGATGCCGGCTGGTTGCTCACTCCCTATGTGCATACACGCGGCGAAGGTACCCGTCATTCATTGGTCGCAATTGGCATCCGGACCGCTCGGCCCTGAGAAGCGATCCTCGTCATCCTGCTGTCCGTGTAGCTGAAAGTAAGACCGTTTTGAGGGGTAAAAAAAGGCATGCGTGAGTATCATGACGAAGAGACAGCTTGGCGCCTTTAAACATTGATTTCCGGGCAGGACTGCTCTATGGGTATGAGCGACAGAGCTCAAAGGGCGGTGTGATAAATGATGAATGTGTCAAATCATTTCTGAGCGGTGTTCCTTTCATGGTTCCTTTGCCGCCAAGTATAGCGCTTTGAAAGCACCGCCTGATTACATGAGTGATTGCCGCCCGCACCTGCCTTCATCCGTCCATCCTCCACCATCAGAATGGGAATCTTTTCGCGAAAGTGGCTTTTGATCAGCATGTGTGGTCCGGTGAAAACATTCTCAGGGTGGTAAAACTTCCAAAAAGCCCTGACACATCTGCAGTATTCGAGCTTCTCTCTCCAACATGATTGTCCACAAACAACTCGTCCAAGCAGAGGAAACTCGCGCACTTGCCCCGGACCTCGATAGACGACAAGGCCGTTACACGACTGCGAATAATCCTTTAACAAAGAAAGGCATGGTCGGAATCCCGAGGACGATCACGACGGAACCTGTCCGACGAGCTCAAGAAGAAGGAGTAAATGGTCCCACACCACTGCAGTTCGCGATCTTTACGACTGGCACCAATGGCACACCAGCGTGTTTTGTGCGTGAGACGTCTCTGTCATGATTGACCACGAGCGCAGTTCGTCATGCGAGTCCGGAGTTGTCATGCGACCAGAATAATCCGAGAAAGTATTCACGGCCGATGCAATCCGAGACCTGCTGGGATTCGTGTACAACGTGATGAAGATCCGCGGGGCTATCTATATACCGACACCCGGAGAAAGGTGACGCAGCCTATGCTGAGCACGGCAGATGGAAGCTCAAGACCATCATGCACGATGTGACGCTCTTGGAGAACGGGCAGAATCGGGATCGGTGCCGGCCTGTGCTGACCCACTTTCTTGGAAGAGAAATGGAGGATTTTATGTCATTTCATGGGATGAAAAACGAGACGTGGAGGCGAGACCGGCGAGTGAATGACCGTTCGATGAGAAGGTCGAAATCGAGCCGTGACTAACTTGAAAGTACACATGGGGGGCTATGCAGCGAGGGACGATTCTGACTGAGCAGATACCTATCTGATGAGTCCCTTCGGGGTCTGTTATCGGTGGGTCGCCGTTGATTTTCTCCAGCGCCCGATCTTTCAGTAAGCGAATTTACGATGCTCAAGCCGTTCTACAAAGATACCTTGGATGATCAAATAATTGTGACTCTGGCAGTCCAGTGGGACACCGCGGGCATGCATCGAATCCACAAACCAGTCTGGATCGCCTGCAGCACTTTACGACACCCTCATGGAGCTCCTGTTTGTCCGATCAAATATGCCAATCTCCCTGCTGTCAGATTGTTGAGTTGTGGCTCACGATCTGATCAATAAGAACTGGTTATTAACGTTCAATTTGTCGTCTACGAATTGTAACGAGCTTCACATCATGCTCAAGCTCCATCTTTGACTGCTTGCCAGCTCTCGCGGACACTCATCTCCTCGTACCAGCGAGTCACACTGGGACGGCCGGTGAACGCATCAAACTTGGCCTGTCAACAGATGAGGAATGAATCCAGGCTGAAGCAGTCCAGAAAACGCACATGACCAAGAGCGTACAGCCAAGGGAGGTGGATGAGATCGGCGATCGTCAGTGTCTGTGCACAAGTCAGGAGATGATGGCCATAAAACATAATTGAGCCCTGACGCTTCCAGCAAGGTACTTCTGCGACGACAGAATCTTCTCATACACATCCAGCTTGGCATGCAAGCTTTCAATTGACGCGTTGAGTTTCGCCTCGTCCGTTTTCAACCCACGCATCCTACATTGTTCGATTTAAAGCAATGCCTTCAACTTACGCAGCGCAGAGTAAACATACCTGTTGAACACTGCCTCGACCATGATGTCCAGAGCAAGGGGATCGAAGTGGTTATTCTCCATGCTCATCGCCTGCTCGAACAGGGCTGTTGCTTGGATGTTCTTGGGGTCCGGGACCAGCGTGCTGCCGTTCCCGTGTTGGGCGACCAGATAGCGCGAGATGGCTCGGCTTTCGAACAGAGTGAAACCATCATCCTGGAAGAAAGAGTTCATGTCAGCCTTACGCGCACCGCGAAATCGGCGCAAAGAATGCGCGCATTGATGGTGGGAACGAGACCAAACGGGTTGCGAGCCAGATGCTCAGAAGCCTTCTGCGCTCCGATCATGATATCAACCGGGATGAGCTCGTAAGGAACGCCGAGCTCTTTCGCGACGAGAGCAACACGGCGGGTACAGATCGAGGTCGTGTAACCGTAGAGCTTGAGGACCATTTTGTCTTCCTGTTGGATAACGGGAGGGAGAGAGAGCGGAGGACGATGTTGAAACACAGAGGTCGTGCTTGTTTTATACAAGCTTAGGGCGCAATTCTGGCTCTCGTATCGACGCTCTCATCAGCTTTCTGCCATTGAAGTGGTCTATTACGAGTACGAGTTGAGTGCAGGGATCAATTTGTCAGATTGTGCGTTATTCGGAACACCGCCTGGGGTGTTTGTGAGCTACCAGAAAACTCAAAGTTGTCCGGGCGGTTTCTTTGACAGCGGCGAAGAGCGTCGCAGTAGATTTGAATCGTTCGGCAGTTTTTGATCGAGCGGTGCTACTCGATTTCTGTATCACTCGATCTTTTTGAGTTGTAGAACCATAGTGTATGATGAGTAAGAGGGCACAAATTGACCAATTCTACTGGACTAACAGCAAGATGTCACCAGCGATATGTCATGTGCTGATTATATCTGCACACCGATTTCACACAGGACATATCTACTGACACGCGGAGCGGCCGCGACAATATTTACAGCAAACCATCAAGTTATAACTGTGAAGCAGATGCACCAAGTGATCAGGGCTTACAATTCTTAAATTATGAAACCGCAGAACGAGTGCCTTCTAGGCTCTAAGATCTGGTGCAAGACTGATATAGTCCCAAGCCAATTGGTGTGCAATGGATGCACCATCACCTTGTATTTCCCCCTTCTTCTTTGTCTTTGTCATTTAGCCCATTCTGACACGAAAATCACTCGCCTCATGGCTCATTTCTGCAACGCTTATCTCCTGATGACAAACCTGCCTCGACGTCTTACATTTAAGCGAGGTGCGGTCAACATTTGGACGGTGAGTCGAGTTTTTACAGGGCAGTGATCTCAAGCCGTACTTTGAGAGCCTTATGTTTGGTGTCTTCTTGATTTCTATCACACTGCCCCCCGCCTCCATCGAATCGCCGTGCGCAGCCTGGTGGGAGGTTGTTAAGCGATCTGCTGTAAATCGATGTCTATCTATCAACACCAGACGTTCTCGCCGAGTGTGCCCGTCGTAAATTTTTGAGCCGCTCTCGAGGTTGCGCGGTGGTAAGTTTGAGGTTGAAACTTGGGCCGTGGTTTTCAGTGTCCGCGGCAAAGGTCCCCAGGACGAAATGGAACCAGAAATTCAGCCACTCGAGGTTCCCCGCAGCTGTAAGTAGATCTGGGGAGTGCCTCTCAAAATGCCGTTAGGCAGGAGGCTAGGTGGGTCAGTCAGCCAGACTTGCACACACTGTTTACTGGCCCCCAAAAGAAAACGGTCATGGTCCTTGACTAAGCGGTTGTTCTCTTGTCTCTGAATGATCCTAAATGACCACTCGATGCAACATCTGATAATTGCAAGTGACCGACGAGATTCAGCGGTCGAGAACGGCTGATTTTCAATTGGCCGCAATTTGTGTTCCTGCCAGCCATGCATTTGGAGGCGATGTATCTGATCTAAAACCGAAGACGAGCCAAGACATGTGCGCCTGGAAAGCTCTCCATCCTCATTTCCGGTTCTGGGGGGACTGAAATTACAAGGCGAGAAGGATCGGAGAATATTTTGTGCGATGTCTGTCGGCCTGCTGACTCGGACTTGGCCGTCCGCAGCAAATCGCAGTGTTTGTCCCCGCTGTCTCATGGCGGAAACGGGTCGAGATAGAGAGGGAACCACCAGGATACCCAGTGCAAACCCGAGCCTGAAATTCGTAAGACTGAGACATGCAGAGCTGAAAACAGGGACGCCCTAGTTATTCAACCACGCCGCTGGCAGAAACCTCCACTTCTTCCGCAGTACCATTCAATCGCATTTGGTAAAGCAACGCCAGCCGGCGCTTCAACCGATTTGTCTGAGCCATAGCGTCCGTCCGTTGCTGTCTTTTCGGAGACAGAAGAAACAATCGAGATCTTGATTCAAGCAAGCTTACGAGAGGAACATTGGAGCGAACACTCTTAGCAAATCCCTAGCAGCGCTGTAATCGCATCAAAAGTCTGGGTGGTGTCCCTTTGACAACTTCGGAGGTCCTGGCTCTGCGCGGAGACGCTGCGCAGCAACGAGATACGCCACTGGCTGGTTGAATCCGGTGGCCACAACCGAGCTAAGATTGACAGGAAATGCGTGTTTTTCCAAGTCGAACAACCGTGTGGCATGTCGATGATTGTCTGTCTGGCTGCAGCCGAGATCTATAAATGCTGCCCTCAAACTCTCTTGAGAAACAAAAAAGAAAACTTGAGATCTCCCTCGCTCTAAGATGCCCCTCTCCTTCCGAACGCTCATTTCGCTCGCTGCAGCAGCACGGATCGTCTCCGCCGCTACAGTTGGGCCAGTTGGCTCGCTCGTCGTCGCCAACAAAACAATCTCTCCCGATGGCATCCCTCGCGCCGCTGTGCTGGCCGGGGGTACTTTCCCTGGAACGCTTGTCACAGGGAACATCAGCGATAACTTCCAGCTCACGGTCGTCGACCAGCAAGAGGACAACCGCATGCTCGAGCCGACATCAATCGTGAGCAAGGGTCTGCTTTTGTCTCGGACGATTTGGCCGCTGACTGCATGAACCCCTTCAGCACTGGCATGGTCTGTTCCAGAATGGGACCAACTACATGGACGGGCCCGCGTTCATCAACCAGTGCCCCATCTCACCGGGGAACTCTTTCACATACGACTTTACCACCACACAATCTGGGTTGGTCGTTTCACTGCCTGCGCACACTGCTCTGATCTGGAATGTCGTCTAGGACATTCTGGTATCACTCACACCTCGCCACCCAGTACTGCGACGGTCTGCGCGGTGCCATGGTCATCTACGATCCCGCAGACGCGTACCTCTCACAGTACGACGTTGACGACGAGTCTACCGTGATCACTCTGGCCGACTGGTACAACGTTTTCGCGGAGACTGTCACCGGTGTCGGGTGAGTGACATGCGTTGCAAATATCCAATGCAGATCTCATGGTTCAACTGCGTAGAACGCCCTCTTCGATGCTCATCAACGGTCTCGGACGTACCGCGGACACGCTTTCAAATACAACCCTGGCCGTGATCAACGTCACACAAGGCCTGCGCTACCGCTTCCGCTTGGTCAACATCGCCTGCGACTCCAACTACGTCTTCCAGATCGACGGCCACACGAATCTCACCATCATCGAGGCCGACGGGATCCTTCACGAGCCATTGAGCGTCGACTCGATCCAGATCTGGGCGGGTGAGCCCTAATTCAGCCATTTCCGCAGCGCGAACGCTCATAGAGTGTCTTCAGCCCAGCGATATTCATTCATCCTGACGGCCGATCAAGCCATCGACAACTACTGGATTCGGGCCGACCCGAGCACCGGTCCCACCGGCTTCACGGGCGGCATCAACTCTGCGATCTTACGCTGTGAGTTTGAATCTTACGGAAGACATCTATCGACCCATTCTGATCGCTATCTTCTCAGACCAAGGAGCCAACGATTCGGAGCCGACGACTTCCCAGGACAATTCCACCAACGGATTGGTCAACGAGGTCGACCTGCACCCGCTTGTGAGCCCTGGTGCTCCCGGTGGCGCATATGTCGGGGGCGCCGATGTACAGTTGAACATGGATCTTGCGTTTAACACGGTGCGCGCATTGATCAGGATCGTGTGGTAAACCCAGGTTGCATCACTGACCCTGCACTGTCCAGTCTACCTTCAAATTCACGATCAACGGCACATCCTTCGTTCCACCCACTGTTCCTGTCCTTCTCCAGATTCTGTCTGGAGCGCAAACCGCGCAGTCGCTTCTCCCCAATGGCTCAGTCTACACGCTTCCGCACTTTGCGTCGGTCGAAATCACGCTTCCAGGAGGCGTTGTTGGCGGCGGTGTAAGTCCCCTTCTCGTTCCTCTCGCCTTCCGACAGGAAGCTGATCCAATTGACAGCACCCATTCCACTTGCACGGACACGTTTTTGATGTGATCCGCGCAGCGGGAAGCAGCACGTACAACTACGTCAACCCCGCTCGCCGTGATGTCGTGAACATTGGAGACTCGGGCGACAATGTGACCATTCGATTCTACACGGACAACCGCGGACGTGAGTCTGAGTCTACGACCGCCTGGAAAATCTGATCACTGACTGTTGACTGACCCAGCGTGGTTCCTTCACTGCCACATCGACTGGCATTTGGAAGCTGGTTTTGCTGTCGTGCTGGCCGAGGACGTGGATGACTGGGATGCGGAGCTGGTCCCAACTTCCGAATGGAGCGATCTGTGTCCCACGTACAACGCACTCCCAGCGTCAATCACATCCCTTGCTGCCTGAGCAACCTTCGAATTATACATTTGATCTTTAACTGTCTTTACTCCGTCCAAATCTATTCCCATTGAATATATCTTTGCAACTGAAACAATCAACTGTTTGCAGCGCTGATTCTATTTGCTTATGGACCCAGGCCAAAAGGAACTGTCAAGGCATCTGTTTCCTTTCCATTGTACTAGATCAAGACTGGATGCATTTGCGTCTTGAGCCAAATTGAACAACAAAGAATGTATCTTCATTTGTCTATATCGCTCTATATTTTCTCCAAGTAATGTGTTATGTACCAGTGGTATCTGAGACTCATGTTTAATTGAGAAATATTAGTGTGACATTGTGTGACAGCATCATCACATGAAAAATGAAGAGGACAATTATATACAAGCATCATCATGGCGTGGCAATGTACAAGATAGGTATTCACACCCCAGCAACCTCCAATTATCATGTAAAATGGCTTCCAGGCCCCCCTCCAGAGGCCATCAAACCACCCCCTACCCCCCCTGATTAGAGGCCATCCTGGAGGTGCCTTCCTAATTGGGATGCTGCCTGGCCATTCATCCGCAGCCTGCATAATGGACTAGGCTTTGACCTAGATGTTTCCTTGGTGCTCTAGTAGTTAGTTTTGTACCCCAGACCATGTCCGAGTTCACAAAACTGTGTATTTTCTGCTTGCAAATGGTGGACCACTGGGCACCCAGAATTTGGGATTTGAGTGCATTAGCATGGCTTAAGTGTATGAGACAAAGAGATAGGTATTCCAGTGAGATTGACAATGAGAAACTTGTGCCTACACACAAAAATGAGATGTTGCTGCAGAAATGGCTGACTGCATGACCTCCCAGAGCAGGAAAAAAGGGGTCAGGATGGCCTATCCACTTAGAAGTCACTTCAATATCTACATTGGACCCTGAAAATCAGTTTGAGAGATAGCTCAGCATGTAGATCAGATGCTAGTACCAATTTCAAAACTGGCCTCCACTGCCTCCACAGCTAGGGACCAAAAGTGGTTACTGTGGATTCACCCCCATAAACCATGTTCATGACGTTGTCAGGGGAACCCCCGCTTCAGACCGCTCTGCCTTCGATCAGGCATGTGATTGCGCTCGCGTGACCGGTCAGCTGTCACGGGCCACGGCCCGGACTGCCGCGCTGAGCGCTTCTCTCTGATGGGCACATGGTCAGGTGCCCATTGTTCCTATTGTCTCCGCATCCCATTGTTCTGTCATGGCCGTTGTACTTATTGTTCCCATTGTTCCTTGTTTGTTGCTGCGCGCTCTATTGTTCTTGTATCATATAAATAGTGGTGCCTGGCAAGGAGAATCCCCAACACGGTTTCTCTTTGGATTCTCCCTTGCCAGGTATGCCGGTCTTGTACCTAGCTACCACTATTAACACCTTTGGATTCTCCCTTGCCAGAACTCTGAGATCGGGTCTCGAGGTTGCCCTTACAGACGTTATTTATTTTCATTTAGATGTATAGGGTCCTCTAGAGCGGTAGCTCAGCATGCAAATTGGGTGCTGGAGCAGATCACAGAAAAGCTCTCCACTTGTCATAGTTCGACCACTTTTTCATCTTATCATCAACAATCTTATCTTATCTTGGCACGGATTATCTTATCACGGATCACGGCATCAGACGGTCCAGACTAGGGGTTCCAGGGATTATCTCTATCGATTCGAGGCTGCGCAACATATGCTCCGGAAGGTTCTAATACGACCCATGACCAGTGCTCCATGTGGTACATAGCCTTATGACTCTTTGGTTGTAGATATGACTCAGACTGGATTTGGATATAAATACTGTAGCTACTGGGTTGTATTCTCCAGTCTTTGAATTCACTTCTCTTTTCGACATTATTTCTTGTTGATTGTCACATAATTCGAAGACTCCCCTCATACCTCTTACGACTGCATCCCTCACCGCTACACCCTTTATATCCTCTTAACCCTTACCAACAAACTCATCTTTTTACTGAATCATCTAGTCGTTCCCTGCAATCGCAGTGAAGGGTTCATCTCGAGCAAACAGCACCAGGCCACAGGTAACATTGAGCCCAACCCAAGCCTTACAGTTGCTACAAGGAGTGCTGTGGAGGGCTGCGGGAAAACGCACCTCAGGATCATTGGGCACGTGAAGAGCTAGGCCCGGGATCTTTTTGCTAGCAAAAGAACCTCTCCTCAAGTGCTTGTACAGCACACAAATCCACCATTTTGTACCGATTCCCATCATTGTCTGGGAGTCCGTCTCCTCCCCCCATCATACTATTGTTGCTCAATCTAGCACATCAAAACCAACCCGGGCCCTCCGATCCCTACCTTGCCCTCTTGCCACCAGAAGACAAGATTCCTGACCTTGACAAGTTGCCCTGCAAACAACCACCCATACCTCCGCCTACCACACCTGTTTGTACCATGACAGGACGTCACCGCATCACCCCCGCTGCCAACCCCCCCTATTTCAATGGGGACAAGTCCAAATATATGGGCTTTGTGGACTCGTGCACCACCTACATCGGTGCCTATTGGTCGGAATCTTTGCAGGATGAGACAAAAATCCTCTTCATCCTCTCCTACCTCTGTAACAAGGCTGGCACAAGCTGCGCCGCCTCAAGTTGGGCAATGAACTGGAAACAGCGCAACTTTGAAGGCCTAAAGGGAATGAAGGCTGGGGTCACCTCAACGACCTTCTTGGAGGAATTTCAAATGGCTTTTGGGGACTCCAATGCAGAGCAAGTTGCCGCCGCTCAACTCATGGCCCTGCGCCAGAACAAACAACCCTTTGCGGATTATATCTCCGACTTTGAGATGTTGGCAACAGACGCAGGATACAATGTGGTCACCACCACTGATGACAAGGGCAAATACAAGAAAGGGGATCAAGACAATATTCTGATTGAGTTCCTCAAGTGCAGGCTCAGCAGCAAAATTGCCAGTCCCCTTCACAACACCGGCGTCCCCTTGCCTAAGGCATACGGAGCCTTCAATGACTGGTGTGTCAACATTGAGGCAAATGCTCTGCATGACCAGCTGCGCAAAGCGTCATGTGGGCACCCCATGTCACCACCACCTCCCCAATTCTGCCCCCAGGCTGTGCCAACAATGCCTGCGCCCGCTCTGGCCCGACCTGCTGACAACAAACCGGTTCCGATGGAAATTGATTGCACCCACGGCTGCGGCCGCAATATCATCTGTCACAACTGTCAGCAGCCCGGACACATTGCACGGAACTGTCTGGAGCCAAGGAAGAAGCACACATTCTTCAATCGGGCCACAATGCTTGAAGAGATCAAGAACGGGGACAAGGACAACAAATTCCTCAAGGAGATTGCTGAGAAACTGCGCGAGAAGCGTTTTTGAAGCGCTCCACTCCTTTAGCCAAGGAAGTGGAGCGTCCAAACTATGGACGATTTTCTGTACTTGTTTCAATTAAAGATATGAATGATATTCCTCACCATACATACACGCTCCCCGACTCACTGTTACTCATATTCACGATTTTCTTGTTGCCAAGATGGAAAAAGAACGCAAGGAAAAAATAGCTCTAAATAGAAAATACTTACAAGATAAAAAGGATCAGGAAACAGCGGCTGCAGATAAATTATTTTTGGACTCCTACATATTTATGGCTCGTGGAGAAGAAACCACGTCAACAAAGACCGAAAAGGGGTGCATCGCTCCGGAGGCTCGATCTTTGGAAAAGGAAGAAGCGCCCAAGGAATCTGCCAAAATCAAGGTTCCAGAAGCACCCAAAAGCAAAAGGGTGCCCAATGCCGTCCAAAGGGAAGTGGTGGCCGAGAAACAAAAGGGCCCTCAACCCAGCAGATTGGCACAGGGATTGCGCAGCTACCAGGCAGAAAGAAAAGGCATTCAATGGACGTATGTGTCCAGATCCCGGGCCTGGACTCAGGGAAGACATGCGGAGTCAAGGCGCTGCTCAATAGCAATTGCAGTACCTGTTGCATTGATACCAACTATGCGCAAGCAGAGAAACTGGATATCCAAGAACGGCCTTGCGGAAGTACTCCAAGTTCTTGTGGTCGGTCCAGATTTCCACTGGGTATTCGGCGCCCTCCAAGAAGTGCCGCCACTCCTCCAGCGCACGCACAATCACAAGCATCTCCTTGTCGTGGATCTTGTAGTTGCGTTGGACGTCGTTAAGGCTTTTGGAAAAGAAGGCGACTGGGTGCCACTTGTTGTCTGAGGGGGACTGCTGCGAGATGACGGCTCCTGTGGCAAAATTGGAGCTGTCAGCCTCTAGGCGATAAGGACGGGAGGAGTCTGGGAGGAGAAGGACCGGTGTAGAGGTGACTGCATCCTTCAAGGCCTGGAAAGAAGCGGATTCGTTGTCGCCCCAAGACCACGATATGTCCTTCTTGGTGAGGTCGAAGAGCGGGCGCGCAACGTGGGAGAAGTCCCGAATAAACCTCCGATAGAAGTTAGTGAACCCAAGGAACTGCTGCACTTCCTTCTTGTTAGAGGGGGCCGGCCATTCGGCCACGCCTGCCACCTTGACGGGGTCCATCTCGACGTGGTTGTGGGAGATGATCACGCCGAGGTACTCGATGGACTCCATCTCAAATTCGCACTTCTCGGCTCGGAGGTACAACTTGTTTTTGCGGAGGCGCCGGAGGACTTCGTTCACAATACAACGATGGAGGTGAGGGTCGGAGTGCGCAATGAGGATGTTGTCCAGGTACACCATGACGTCGCCCGAGAGGATGAGGTCCTGGAGGATGTCATTCATCATGGTCTGGAACGTCGCAGGGGAGTTGGTAAGGCCGAAATACATCACCAGTGGCTCGAAGAGCCCACGGTTGGTCCGAAACGCAGCCTTCCACTCGTCTCCTTCTCGTATCCGTTGAAATGCTGAGGGCGTGCTCACAAGTGAATCTACTATGAAAGTAAACCCAAATATAAACACGTTCACACTCCTCGTAATCAGCTTCTCAGTGTGTGAAAGATGCGAGGGCTTCGGGGTGGACAGAGCACCAGTATCACAACTCTCAATAGACGCAGATCAATAGTCGCGGTGCAGAGGCGTTTGCCAAGAACTCCGCCCCCGCTCGAGATTCCATACCCGAGTGGGCGCGCGAGTTCGAGGATGTTTTCAGCAAGGAATCCTTCGACAATCTTCCAGAACGTCGCCCTTGGGACAACGCCATCGAACTGGTGCCCGATGCAAAGCCAACAAACTGCAAGGTCTACCGTATCTCCCCCTTGGAGCAGAAGCAGCTCGACGCTTTCATTGAAGAAGGCATGGCCACCGGCCGAATCCGACCCTCGAAGTCCCCCATGGCCTCCCCCGTCTTCTTTGTCAAGAATAAGGATGGCAGCCTACGGTTTGTCCAGGATTACCGGGCACTGAATGCAATGACAGTGAAGAATCGGTACCCCCTCCCCTTGATCAACGACCTGATCAACAAGCTCAAGAGAGCCCGCTTCTTCACCAAACTCGATGTTCGATGGGGCTTCAACAACGTACGGATACGAGAAGGAGACGAGTGGAAGGCTGCGTTTCGGACCAACCGTGGGCTCTTCGAGCCACTGGTGATGTATTTCGGCCTTACCAACTCCCCTGCGACGTTCCAGACCATGATGAATGACATCCTCCAGGACCTCATCCTCTCGGGCGACGTCATGGTGTACCTGGACAACATCCTCATTGCGCACTCCGACCCTCACCTCCATCGTTGTATTGTGAACGAAGTCCTCCGGCGCCTCCGCAAAAACAAGTTGTACCTCCGAGCCGAGAAGTGCGAATTTGAGATGGAGTCCATCGAGTACCTCGGCGTGATCATCTCCCACAACCACGTCGAGATGGACCCCGTCAAGGTGGCAGGCGTGGCCGAATGGCCGGCCCCCTCTAACAAGAAGGAAGTGCAGCAGTTCCTTGGGTTCACTAACTTCTATCGGAGGTTTATTCGGGACTTCTCCCACGTTGCGCGCCCGCTCTTCGACCTCACCAAGAAGGACATATCGTGGTCTTGGGGCGACAACGAATCCGCTTCTTTCCAGGCCTTGAAGGATGCAGTCACCTCTACACCGGTCCTTCTCCTCCCAGACTCCTCCCGTCCTTATCGCCTAGAGGCTGACAGCTCCAATTTTGCCACAGGAGCCGTCATCTCGCAGCAGTCCCCCTCAGACAACAAGTGGCACCCAGTCGCCTTCTTTTCCAAAAGCCTTAACGACGTCCAACGCAACTACAAGATCCACGACAAGGAGATGCTTGTGATTGTGCATGCGCTGGAGGAGTGGCGGCACTTCTTGGAGGGCGCCGAATACCCAGTGGAAATCTGGACCGATCACAAGAACCTGGAGTACTTCCGCAAGGCCCAGAACCTCAATTGCCGGCAAGCCCGATGGTCGCTCTACCCATCCCGCTTCGACTTCACGCTCCACCACCAACCCGGCCGGCTCATGGGACGACCAGACGCACTCTCCCGACGCCTGGACCACGGAGCCCCGTTGGACAACACAGACGTTACCCTGTTGAAACCAGAACTGTTCCATGTGCGAGCACTCGAAGGACTGTCCATCTCTGGCCCGGAAGCCCCGCTTGTCCGTGACATTCGGGAATCGCTCTCCGGTGACCCTGACCTTGAGGAAGAACTTGCGCTTATAGCGCGACGGCTTCTGAAAGGGATGAAGGGGGCCCGCTCCGCTGTAGCAGCGGAATGGCGCATCCAGGACAGCCTCCTCTACTTCCGTGGGAAGCTAGTGGTCCCGCGTGACAGAGACCTACGGCGACGCATCCTTGAGCAACATCATGACACCCGCGTTCCGGGGCATGCCGGCCGCTTCAAGACGCTGGAGCTGGTCTCCCGGAACTACTGGTGGCCCCAGCTCTCACGACATGTTGGCCGGTATGTGGCCACCTGCGACCTGTGCTGTTGGACCAAGGCCCTCCGACGACTCCCCACCGGAGAGCTTCACCCCACAGAGATCCCCTCGGAACGTTGGGAATTGGTGTCGGTGGACTTTATCGTGGAGCTGCCTGAGGCGCACAGCTACGACGCCATCATGGTGGTCGTTGATATGCTGGGGAAGCGTGCCCACTTCATCGAGTGCCACACTCGCCTCTCGGCCGAAGGGATGGCCCGGTTGTTCTACAAGCATGTCTGGCGACACCACGGATTACCCATCAAATACGTCTCGGACCGTGGCCCTCAGTTTGTGGCCGACTTCACCCAAGAGCTATGGAAGCTGGTTGGCGTCTCCCCTGCCACGTCCACCGCTTACCACCCGCAGACTGATGGCCAGACCGAACGGGTCAACCAGGAGTTGGAGCAGTACCTCCGGATCTTCACCAGCTACAAGCAGGACGACTGGGATGAGCTCTTGCCCGCAGCTGAGTTCGCTTACAACAACCACGTCCACTCCTCGACCCAGCAGGTTCCCTTCATGACGGACACAGGACGTTTACCACGCATGGGATTCGAGCCAACAGAGCAGCGCTCCACCCGAGCAGAGTCCGCCAACAAGTTTCTGGACCGGGTCGCATCGGGTGTAACCGAGGCTAAATCGGCACTTGTCAAAGCAAAGGACGAGTACAAGAGGTACTATGACCAACGAAGGACTACCGCTCCCGACATCAAGGTTGGCAGCCGAGTCTGGCTCGACGCCTCAGACATCACGACGACACGACCCTCTCGCGGCCTCTCCAACCGACGCCTGGGCCCCTTCAAAGTCACCCAAGTCGTAGGCCGGGGCGCATACAAGCTTGCCCTCCCCACCAGCCTCTCTCGCCTCCACCCAGTCTTCCCTGTGGTCAAGCTCCAGTTGGCCAAAGAGAACCCGTTCCCCACTCACCCGCGTCACGAAGAACCACCCCCTGTCCTAGGACAAGGCAAAGGAGAGGAGTGGGAAGTGGAGGAGATCCTAGACGCAAAGATGCGCTACCGGAGTGTCTGGTTCCAAGTACGATGGAAGGGCTACGACCCGTCTCACGACCAGTGGGTCAAACACTCAGATGTTTTTGCTGACGACGCAGTGGCAGCGTTCTACCGCAGATACCCGGGAAAGCCACGCGTCATTGCAGCGGCCGTATTCGACTCGCTACCCTTCAGGAACTCATTGGCCCCTAACCGTACCTTGCGTCGAGGCGCCGCAATCAAGAGGGGGGGTGATGTCAGGGGAACCCCTGCTTTTGTCCGATCATCATGGGATCTCGCATGTGACCGTGCACGTGCCATCTGTCAAGCGTCACATGCTTCGGTCCGGACTTCCCTGCCAAGCACGTCCACATGACACTCCGGCCCGCACTCCCATTGTTCCCCCCGATCCGGCCCCTCATTGTTCCCTGGCCCCATTGTCTGGCGCTTCCATTGTGCTTGGTCATCCATTGTTCTGTAGGCTATATAAAGTGGGCCCTGACAAGGAGAGTCCCCAACTTGGTTTCTCTTTGGACTCTCCCTTGTCAGGTTTGCCAAGTCTCCTGTATTAGTTGTTCCCCTTACTATTGATGCCAACGCTACGGGAAAAGCACAACGCAAAGGGAAATTGCTGATCTCTCTTTCCCTCCTTCGAAGTTGCCTCCGGTATCATCCGGAACTTGTAGCTACCATTCGAAAACCCTTATATACAAGATTTCTCACTTATACATGAACAGGAACTACATAAAAAACAAGAGCCGGTCCATCATTTTGAGGCCCCAAACCCAAGATGACTTCACAGCACAAGTTCCTCCTCGTGCGAGGCTCTAGTATTTTGTATGAGACGTGCCTTATGTATTCTGAAGGTGCCCCAACCTTCTCCTTGTCTTGCCGGTACGTGGTTGTGGAGAACTGAAGGGAGGACACGAAGTCTCACTAAGCGTCACAAATATTTTAAAACTCCGCCTGATTGTTCGCTCGAGCAGAGTCTTGCGCTGGGCACACAAATTATGTACCAGAAACTACAAAGGATGTATCTAGAGTATGTGCTAGAGAAAGTAGTAGGTATTTATAAAGAGAATATGTATCTACATTGAATATAAGTAAGATATCAGTGAGTATTAGGTGCTGTGAAGTATTACTAATTAGCGTCGAGAGAAGGATCCGGGAATGCGGGAGCTTGGAGCAAAAACTGCACTGAGTGGGCGACGTGAACCGGTGTCGAGCTGACGGGATAAAATACGGGGGGTGGCCCTGGAGGAGGTGTGTACAAGCGGGGTGGGCATGGAACAGCAGCGGGCTGAGATAGAGGAGCAGGGGGAGCGTTATTGGGAGCAGTCCGAGATGAGCCGGTCGCTGCCTGTACACGTGGTCCACATACAGTCTTGAAGAGTCCGACGTACTTGGGGTGACTGCGCTTCTCGGGAAATTTGTCGAAGTGCTGGCGAATGGCTTCGAGAAAGTCGGCTTTGATGTCATAGTTCGGCCACTTTTTCATCTTATCATCGACGATCTTATCTTATCTTGGCACAACTTATCTTATCACGGATCACGGCATCAGACGGTCCGGACTAGGGGTTTCAGGGATTATCTTCATCGATTCGAGGCTGCGCGACATATGCTCCAGAAGGTTCTACTACGACCCATGACCAGCGTTCCATGCGGTACATAGCCCTATGACTCATTAGTTGTAGATATGACTCAGACTGGACTTGGGTATAAATACTGTAGCTATTTGGTTGTATTCTCCAGTCTTCGAATTCACTTCTCTTTTCGACTTTATTTTTGGTTGATTGTCACATAATTCGAAGACTCCCCTCATACCCTCCTACCTCATACCTCTTACCCTGCATCCCGCACCGCTACGCCCGCTATATCCTCTTAAAACCTTATCACCCCACTCACCCTTTTACCGAATCATCTAGTCGTCCTCCACTATCGCAGTGAAGGGTTCATCTCAAGCAAACAGCACCAGGCCACGGGTAACGTTGAGCCCGACCCAAGCCTTACGGTAGCTACAAGGAGTGCTGCGGAGACCTTCGGGAAAACGCACCTCGGGATCATCGGGCACGTGAAGAGTTAGGCCCGGGATCTTTTTGCTAGCAAAAGAACCCTCCCTCGAGTGCTTGTACAGCACACGATTCCACCATTTCGTACCGATTCCCATCGTCGTCTGGGAGTCCGTCCCCTCCCCCCATCATACCATCGTCGCCCGATCTGGCGCATCAAAACCAACCCGGGCCCTCCAACCCCTACCTTGCCCTCCCACCGCCTGAAGACGAGATCCCCGACCTCGACGAACTGCCCTCCGAACAACCACCCTCGCCCCCACCTCACACGCCTGCCCCTACCATGTCAGGGCATCACCGCATCACCCTCGCCGCCAATCCCCCCTACTTCGATGGCGACAAGTCCAAATACCTGGGCTTTGTGGACGCGTGCACCACTTACATCGGTGCCTATCGATCGGAGTTCTCGCAGGATGAGACCAAAATCCTCTTTGTCCTCTCCTACCTCCGTAACGAGAACGGCACGAGCTGCGCTGCCTCGAGATGGGCAATGAACTGGAAGCAGCACAACTTCGAGGGCTTCCAGGGACTGAAGGCAGGAGTCACATCAAAGAACTTCCTGGAGGAGTTTCAGAGGGCGTTCGGGGACTCCAATGCGGAACAAGTCGCCGCTGCTCGGCTTATGGCCCTGCGCCAAAACAAACGGTCCTTCGCGGACTACATCTCCGACTTTGAGATGTTGGCCGCGGATGCAGGCTACAATGTGGTTGACACCACCGACGACAAAGGCGAATACAAGAAGGGGGACCAGGATAATATCCTCATCGAGTTCCTGGAGCGCGGACTCAGCAGCGAGATCGCCAGCCGTCTCTACAACACCGGTGTCCCTCTGCCCAAGGCCTATGGAGCGTTCAAAGCCTGGTGCATCAACATCGAAGCCAATGCTCTGCGTGACCAGCTACGCAAAGCGTCGTATGGGCACCCCACACAACGACCACCTCCCCAGTTCCGTCCCCAAACGGCACCAGTGGCGCCCACACCCGCTCCGGCCCGACCCGCTGCCAACGAACCGGTTCCGATGGAAATCGATCGTACCCACGCCCGCGGCCGCAATATCATCTGCTACAACTGTCAGCAGCCCGGGCACATTGCGCGGAACTGCCCGGAGCCCAAGAAGAAGCGCACGTTCTTCAATCGGGCCACAATGCTGGAAGAAATCGAGAACGGGGACAAGGACAACGAGTTCCTGAAGGAGATTGCCGAGAAGCTGCGCGAGAAGGGTTTTTGAAGCGCTCCACTCCTCTAGCCAAGGAGGTGGAGCGTCCGGACTATGGACGATTTTCTGTACTTGTTTCGATTAAAGATACGGACAATATTTCATCTACATACACGATCTCAGACTCACTACGTACAAATATTCACGATTTTCTTATTGCCGAGATGGAAAAAGAACGCCAGGAAAAGATAGCTCTAAATAGAAAATACTTACAAGATAAAAAGGACCAGAAAGCTGCAGATAAATTATTTTTGGACTCCTACGTATTTATGGCTCGTGGAGAAGGAACCACGTCAACAAAGACCGAAAAGGGGAGCATAGCTCCGAAGGCTCGATCCTTGGAAAAGGAGGAAGCGCCCAAGGGATCTGCCAAAGTCGAGGTCCCAGAAGCACCCAAACGCACCAGGGTGCCAGATGCCATCCAGAGGAAATTGGCGGCCGAGAAACAGAAGGGCCCCCAGCCCAGCAGATTGACGCAGGAATTGCGCAGTTACCAAGCCGAAAGAAAGAGGCATTCGATGGACGTATATGTCCAGATCACGGGCCTGGACTCAGGGAAAACGCGTGGAGTCAAGGCGCTGCTCGATAGTGGCTGCAGTACCTGCTGCATCGACACCGACTACGCACGGGCAGAAAAGCTGGATATCCAAGAGCTTCCGCAACCCATTGTGGCTCGTAACGCCGACAACACCGAGAACATCAGCGGTCGGATCACGCACTACGTCGACTTGAGAATGAGAATCGGTCCTCATGTGGAGACACGCACGTTCCTTCTGACGTGTCTGGGAAAAGCCCGGATCTTCATCGGCCTGGATTGGCTGACGGAACACAACCCCGAGGTGGATTGGCAGGAGCAGACAATGAGATTCAGCCGATGCCCAGAGCAATGTCAAATGAGGGGTCACGAGGAGCATCAAGCAATGATCGACATGGATGCGATTGACCTGGACGCAGGTGCACCGGATCTGGAAGAGGGAGAGTCAATCCTGTTGATCGACTTTGGGAAGGAGGTGGATCTACGGTTGAAGGAAACGCCGGCACAGAAATTCGCAGAAGAAGCGGAAAAAGAGAAGGAGAGAATGACCGAGGGGAAGATTCCGGATCAATATCGGGAATTTGTCAAAGTATTCGCCAAGGAATCGTTCGACTCGCTGCCAGACCGACGGGCATGGGACCATGCAATCGAGCTCAAACCTGGTTCCAAAGCAGTGGACTGCAAGGTGTACCCGTTATCACGAAACGAACAGGTCAAACTCGACGAGTTCTTACAAGAGAACCTAGCCAGCGGACGAATCAGGCCATCAAAATCACCCATGGCATCGGCATTCTTCTTTGTCAAGAAGAAGGATGGCTCGCTACGGCCTGTTCAAGATTACCGGAAGCTGAATGAGATGACGATCCGAAATCGGTACCCGCTACCGCTGATTTCCGAACTGGTCCACAACCTGTGCGGCGCCAAGTTCTTCACCAAGCTAGACATCCGGTGGGGATACAACAACGTACGGATCAAAGAGGGCGATGAGTGGAAGGCTGCGTTTCGCACAAACCGCGGACTTTACGAGCCCTTGGTTATGTTCTTTGGTCTCACAAATTCCCCGGCAACGTTCCAAAACATGATGAACGACATACTCCGGGAACTGATCAACGAGGGACATGTGGTAGTTTATCTGGACGACATACTAATCTTCACAGAAAATCTGGATGAACATCGACGAATGACCAAACGGGTACTCGAGTTGCTCCAAAAGCACAAATTATACCTGAAACCGGAAAAGTGCGAGTTCGAACGCACGGAAATCGAATACCTGGGTGTAATCATTGGACACAACTCGATGCGGATGGACCCTGTCAAGATCAAGGGCGTGATGGAATGGCCGGAACCAAAGAGCGTCAAACAAGTCCAAGCCTTCCTCGGATTCACAAACTTCTATCGACGTTTCGTTCGAGGATATGCGGAGGTCGCCAAGCCGTTGACGCGGCTGACAGGGAAGGCAGGATGGTCATGGGGTCCGGATGAACATGCGGCGTTTGATGGGTTAAAGAAGAGAATCGCGGAGGATGCCGTCTTAGCACTGCCAAATGACACTGGCCAATATCGTCTGGAAGCCGATGCTTCGGAAGGGGCAACAGGAGCAGTTTTGAGCCAAAACCAAGACGGCATTTGGCGCCCAATCGCATTTATTTCACACGCATTGACCGAAACCGAGCGAAATTACGAGATCTACGACAAGGAGATGCTCGCAATCATGTTATCACTCGACGAATGGAGGCAGTTGCTCCTGGGAGCCACGGAAACGTTCGAGATCTTCACCGATCATCAGAATCTCGAGTACTTTCGGAAGCCGCAGAAGCTCAATCGACGGCAAGCACGATGGATCACGGAGTTGGCGGAGTTCGATTTCACCTTACGACACCGACCCGGCGCACTCAACCGCAAGGCGGACCTCCTGTCCCGACGAGCAGATCACGATCAGGGCAAGAACGACAACAAGGACGTCACGCTACTGAAGCCCGAGTTCTTCCGATCACAAGAAGTCACATTCGAGGGACAGGATCAGCAGCTAATCGACGAAATCAAGGCCATTCGATCAATTGATGGAAGCGTCAAGGCGGCCTTAGAGAAGTCACTCGCCGGATGGAAGAAGGAAGAGGGGCTTATCACGTACCATGGGAAGCTCTACGTACCAAGGGATGAGGAGTTGCGGGACAAGATCATCGGACTACACCACGACACCCCTTTGGTCGGACACGCTGGGATCAACCGAACGCAGGAGATGGTGGAAAGGAACTACTGGTGGCCAAGGATGGGAAACCAAATTCGGAAATACATCCAGACGTGCGAAGCGTGCCAGCGGACCAAGACCCGAAGAGCCAGGACAGGGAGTTTGCACCCGCATGCAGTTCCAAACGCGCCGTGGGAAATCATCTCCATGGATCAGATCGGACCCCTGCCGGTCAGTAACGGGTATGACGCAATTCATGTGTGGTGTGACACCTTCACCAAAATGATCCATGTCGAACCAATTAGTACTGACATCAGCAGCGAAGGAGTAGCACGATTAACCAGGGACCGAATCTTCCGCTATCACGGGGTCCCCCGCAAAATCATCACCGACAGGGACTCTCGATACATCAAGGGCTTTATGAAGGAAACGAATCGGATGTTGGGCGTGGAAATGAATCCGGGGACCGCATATCACCCCATCACGGATGGGCAGACGGAGCGTATGAATCAGGAGATCGAACACTATCTCCGCATTTACGTCAACTACCATCAGACGGACTGGTCGGAGTGGCTGGGAATGGCGGAATTCGCATACAACGACAAAATGAACACGTCTACCAAAATGTCGCCGTTCTATGCTAATCACGGATATCACCCATGGAAGGGAGTGGAGCAGCGGATGGAATCAAGGAACGAGTCGGCGGAGGAATTTGTAAAAAGAATCAAAGAAATACAAGACGAAGCAAAAGCAGCATTGGAAAAAGCAAAAGAAAAAATGAAAAAATACTACGATAAACAAAGAAAAGAAGTTCCGGAGTTGAAGGTTGGGATGAAGGTGTACATAGAAGGGGAAAATATCGAGACGGATAGACCATCAAAGAAGATGAGCGACAAGAGATTGGGACCATACGAGATACTGGAGAAGGTTGGAGCGGCCGCATGGAAGCTGGATTTGCCGGACACGGACCGAAGACACCCGGTGTTCAACGAGTCACTGTTGACACCCTATCACGAACCACCCCCCCATCGCCGAGAGAAGAGACCCGTGGCCAAGATGATCGGAGGAGCAGAGGAGTGGGAAGTCGAAGAAATCGTGAAAGGGCGAAAAGTCGGCCGAGGAAAACAGTACTTGGTCAAATGGAAGGGATGGCCGCACAGCGAGAACACCTGGGAACCATCACGTCACCTTACCCACGCAAAGGACGTCCTGAGAGACTGGCAGAGGAAACAATCAAATCCAGACACACGCATTCGCCTCCTGCCAACGCTCGAAGCTGGACACTGGGACTATCTCATTCATCGCTACCAGCCCAGGGACGAGCGCCTTCCATACCCCCAACGACGGCTCTTCGACCCTTACGAGAACGTCTTCTTACCCATTGGCCTGGTCGATGAGGACATCGACCCTAGAGAGGGGGTAATGTCATAGTTCGGCCACTTTTTCATCTTATCATCGACGATCTTATCTTATCTTGGCACAACTTATCTTATCACGGATCACGGCATCAGACGGTCCGGACTAGGGGTTTCAGGGATTATCTTCATCGATTCGAGGCTGCGCGACATATGCTCCAGAAGGTTCTACTACGACCCATGACCAGCGTTCCATGCGGTACATAGCCCTATGACTCATTAGTTGTAGATATGACTCAGACTGGATTTGGGTATAAATACTGTAGCTACTTGGTTGTATTCTCCAGTCTTCGAATTCACTTCTCTTTTCGACTTTGTTTTTGGGTTGATTGTCACATTTGAGCTTCAGCTTCTCCTGGGGCAGCTGGAGATCGAAGGCAACATCGACAAGCAGCTCTTTGCTGCGACTTGTCAGGAGACCAACAAATGGCTCGTTTGCGTCTCTTGTTTGCCTCCGCACTACGGCGTCGATCTCCTTCTTTTTGGCTTGGGCCGCATTGTCTGCCTTCTCCTGAGCCTTTGCCGAACGCTCCTCCTCTTGCTGCGCTGCCAACTCCCGTCCCTCCTCCGATGTCAGGCACCGTGCATCAACGTTGAGCTTCCTTTTCTTGCTGGGCTGATTACTGCGTGTGTCTAACAAGGTCATATGGGCCTCCATTGCATGCATTTGCGTCTCGAGATCCTTGATACGCTCGAACAGCGCCGCATTGTAATAGAAATTCGATGGCATGATCGAAGGAAGATTGGAGTTTTGGCACGAAGGGGGAGAAGCGAATAGTGTCGGAGTAAGCGGTGGAAGCTCGGCTCCAGCCTGAGGATGGTCAAGTACTGGATTGTATGGTCGCGCATCCACATCAGAAGCATCATACTCTGGGTCGTCTTCGTCAAAGAAGTCTCTGCTCCAATGATCCTTGTCATCTGGATCTGCTGGCAGCTGGAAAGGTGTGTACGGCTCAAACTGAGGAGCAACTGGAATGTCTCGAGCGGTGGTGGAGAAGGGGACACTTGTAGCATAATCCTCGTCATTGAAGGCGGCTCTGTTGATCGGAAAAAGGCCGCTTTTTCGAAATGCTGTCTGGATGGTCGCTGGCTTGAAGGTTTGTCGCCGTACATCCATGTAGTGCTTGACAAAGTCCTCCTTAGGCATCTCCTTTGTGGTGTCGTCGACAACATCATCACATTTCTCAGTCCATGCACGCGAGAACGGACCAAAGACGCCAACATCCAATGGCTGGAGCTTGTGCGTGGTGTGGGGAGGGAGGAGGAGCAGGATGATATTATTCTCGCGGGCCAGATCAATGAGCTCGAGAGCTTCATGTGAGCCATGTCCATCGAGAACAAGCAGAATTGGCTGATCATTGGTGCCCTTCTCTTTGGCCCATGCTTTCGCTTGTGGAATGAAGCACTTCTTGAACCATTGGACAGAAATGTGATTGTCTGTCCAACCTGTGGCTGACATGCAAATGCTAGAAGCTCGTGAGTCCCCAGCTTCGAAACTCCTGGGTCAAACTCACAGAATAGCCAGGTCTTCGTCAAACCATTCTGGGGATTGCTCGACTCCGGGAAACACGAAACCAGGGAGCAGTGACGAGCCATCAGCACAGACAGCCTCGAGGATTGTAACAAGCTCTAGGTTTGCACTCCGATGGCGATATCGTGTGCGCTGTTGCCGTCCAAAGAAGTACTTGACACCTGCAGTCTTCTTTCCACCTCCTCGCTGACAGCCCTTCTCATCCATATTGTAGATATTCTCGACGGGGATATCGTATCGTTGGACCAGCTCCTCCAGCTTATCAAAGTATCGGCCGACCACGGGCTTGTTGAAAGCCTGCGCTCGTTTTGGATCAAGACCGTGCGCCGTCGCTAGCTTGATCTCAGGATGTCTTGCAAGGAAGAGGGGGATCCAGTTTCGGGAGGGCTTCTTTCGGTCAGACCGAAGTTGTGCAGCTCGCAAACGTATAGCCCTCTTCGACAGGGGAACACCAATGCATCCCAAGTACTCAATCCATGTGGCCAGAACGCGTTCCTTTGCAGGACTGAGGAACTGGCAATCGGTGTCTGCCTCTGCGCGAGACTTGGTCTGGTTGTTCCAGCGAGCAGCAAGTGTAGAATTTGCAATATTATACTTTTTTGCGACTGTGGCCACGGCATAGTGAGCACCTGCACAACGCTTCCCATTAAGCTCACAAAGAGCAGTCTGGATGCGGCTTTCTCTCTGAGAATCCTTTGGCTTCTTCGGCTTCTTGGCTGTCTTCACTGTGGGCAGGGTCTTTGATTGGCCATTTCGACGCCTGCGGCAACTCTTGGTCATCCAACCGACGAAATCAGAGATGTGAGCCCAATGCTCCCTCCAGAGATGAGCGTGTCAGGAAGTACGCAAATGCGACGCGTTGGCACGTGTTCTCAAGCCATCAACATCGCTTATCCATCGGACTTTGAAATGTCACGCTCATCCACTTTGTCTTCAGTTCTCCACAACCACGCACCGGCAAGACAAGGAGAAGGTTGGGGCACCTTCAGAATACATAAGGCACGTCTCATACAAAATACTAGAGCCTCGCACGAGGAGGAACTTGTGCTGTGAAGTCATCTTGGGTTTGGGGCCTCGAAATGATGGACCGGCTCTTGTTTTTTATGTAGTTCCTGTTCATGTATAAGTGAGAAATCTTGTATATAAGGGTTTTCGAATGGTAGCTACAAGTTCCGGATGATACCGGAGGCAACTTCGAAGGAGGGAAAGAGAGATCAGCAATTTCCCTTTGCGTTGTGCTTTTCCCGTAGCGTTGGCATCAATAGTATCTGACGCTTTGGACTCTCCCTTGTCAGGACTCTGAGATCGGGCCTCGAGGTTGCCCTTACAGGTATGCACAGTGCACAATATGCACAAGTGTAGGAAGTTAGCAGTCAAAAATTTTCAAATTCACAGCGGAAAGCTGTGCACTGCACAATATGCACAGAAGAAGATATGTAGAACATGCAGAGTGCACAATACATGCAAGTGCATGCTAGGCACAGTCGGGAAAATGCACAATATAAGCCATAGAGAATGTGCAGGATATTCACAGTGCACAATATGCGCATGCAGGCTATGCATGGGGAAAAGCATGATACACATGGTCTAATAATACACAAGATGTGGGGTAGAAAATGCACAATATAACTGGAACACAAAATGCAGAGTGCAGGCTATGCACACTCGAGAATACACAATATACACAGTAGGAAATGCACAACATGCACCCCAGAAAATGACCAAATGCATGGCGCACAATATGTGCAGTGGAGGCTGTGTGCAGGAGAATACTACCAGGTCAAATGCACAATATCCTCACCAGAAAATGTGCAGGATATGCACAGTTCACAATATGCGCATGGTTACATTATGAACATTCAGAAAAGCATGATATGAATCCGAAAATGCGCAGGACATGCACAGCACACACGCTGCACAAGTGCAGGTAATGCACAGTCAAAAAGGGCATGATATGCATGCCAGAGAATGTGTAGGATATGAACTATGGAAAATGCACAATATGCACAATAGAGCAGTGGCGCATGATATGTGCAATTCTAGGCTGATCAAAGTCATTTCGGAAATATGCACGATATGCACGCCGGAAAATGTGCAGGCTTACTTGGGTCAGCCTGAAAGATTTGCAGCCGGAAGGTATATCTATCAATGTGAGACGCGTTTAAAAAGAAGCGAGAGTGCTTGCTGCGGTCACTACTTCGTGGTGGTTCACTTCATAGAACTCAGCATGAACAGTTCTCCCGCCGGCATCAGTGGCGGTTTGACTTTGATCTTGGCGGTTATGTTTGCTATTCAGTTCCGATTTCCGCCTGTAACGTGGGCCGCTTGACTGCGGGATAGTCGATATCTAGTGTCGTAGTTTTCGGAGCCAGTTCCATCATTGAGACCGATGGAAAGCGGAGTAACCAGATCGTGTGACTCTGGACAAAGGGCGCCGGTTGGAGGAGCGTGAATCGCTAGATCCCTCTGTCGTACGAATGCGTATCGTTTGTTCACTACATCAACGGTATCGACATGAAATCTAGTTCTTTGCTGCGGCATCCATGCACGCCTTGACACCTGATTTCCCCCCTCGTTCTGAGCGGCGAGAAGCCATGGTCAGCCAAGATCATGTGAAAGCTTCTGATGCTGCGGACTTCTCTGTTCATGCCAGATGACTGGGGTCAACTGTGGGCCGCTGCATAGCATCCAGTATCGTACCAGACAGGATGAAGGAGTGAATGAGGACGCCCTTCTTTCACACTCTAGCGCCGACGGAGTCTGACAGTCCAAGCAATAGAGACTTGGATGATCATTCGTGACAGTCGACTGATCATGATGAGTTCTTCCAAGATAAGATAGCGTAACGTAGGTCTGTACCCGGCTCGCGCACGGTAACTGAATTCAGTGTCATCGCGGAATGAAACCTTATCTATGCTATGAGAATGGAATCGGAGCAAAAGGGCACTAAACCCTCGCTGTTTCACAAACACCCACTGAAACATTCGTGTATCGCGATCCGACCGAGACCGGAGTCCTACCCACTCGAGACGACATAGCTTCACACCGATTGCGTGAGGGCAGAACCTCCGCCAGTAGATGCTTACGTCGCCGTCACTTACGCAGTGAAACACCGGAGGAACTCCGTTACAAGTCCTGAACCACGCGATGGGACAAGTCTGGCCCGAACTCTCCGCGGTGTGAGCGCTGCTTAGAGTATCATAACAGCGCCGATGCGATATGGTTGCCCTTGAGACTCGCTGTGGCATGTCGTTCAGCGATGAGCCTTGGCCGCGGCAACAAATCCGCCAACCATTGCGCTCAACTTCTTCTGATCCGTCCTGTCTCTCAGTTTCCATCCTAACACGTCCGCGCGCAATGACGAAAATCGTCGAATTGGTGGACGGTGCACATGTCTCTGATCAGCTTCTGTTGTAGATCCCTGTACCGAGCTACTTCAGCGACCTCCGGCCGTATCCGGTTTAGGAACCATGAGGAACGCGATCGTCGGCTTCCCCGGATTCCGTCCGATGGCAATCGTCCGGGAAAGAAGATCTCCGTCGAAAATACCTCGTGGCAGACATCAGATCTGATCGCCTGTCATTTCGATCGGACAGCAGAACTGGCGCTGAGTCAAATATGTTTATTTCCCAGGAGCGACCGGCGTCTTACGGTGACGGAAACTGACAGCGCTGCTGACTGGCCGGTTCCACTGCACTGGGAGAGGCACACTCGAGATCCCATGTGCGAGTTCGACCAGTTCTGGTAGCTCACCCGGTTGAATACTTCCAGGCGATGGCGGATAAAGATTTCGAGGACGTGTGCGATCGACAATGTCTGCGTTGACTGATACCGAGTCGTAATCCAAGAAAAGCTGCGCAAGAGGTGGCAAGCGGCAGCGGGCAAATACGGCAAGGAGTTGTCTGCCATCTCGACGAGGAGATGGAATTCCACCGCATATGCGTTGCTGCTGCTTCGAACAGAAATCTGGTGGGTGATGGAGAACAGATGTGGTCTCGGAAATCGTGAGGCAGAGCCGCAGCAGTCCCAGTCCAACAGTGAAACGGCAGAGTGAACACCCGGCCCGACGGCGGCTGTAAGCTCGGTCCCGAACGCTGTCCAATCCCAATCAAGGCGCAGGTTTGGTAACGTCTGCGACGTTCCGTGCTTTGATGGTCAAATCGCATCACAAGTCTGTTACGGGAGAATGTTCCTCCCTCCGGCAGCTCGCAGGTTCCTGGGTCGTCTCTGCGACAAGCCTCTTAGTCATTGTCGTCCAGCCACTCAACTCCGTCCGGGCGCCCAACCCGAATTCGGACTGACAAGGTGCGCGTGGGTTTCCCGATTGGGAAACCGTGTGGATGATTAACATTGATCGTCTCTCTCCGCTGAAAGCGTATAAATGAACTCAGGCCACTCAGCTGGAAAGCACGGCACCGGTAGTACCAGGATCTCCTTGGCTCACAGACCCGATCGCACTCATGTTCTCCTCGTCCTCGTCCCGCACCCTCCTTGCTCTCGCTGCGGCAGCGCGGATCGTCTCCGCCGCGACGGTTGGGCCAGTTGGCTCCCTGGTGGTGGCCAACGCAACGATCTCGCCCGACGGTCTGCCCCGCGCAGCCGTCCTGGCCGGAGGCACGTTCCCTGGAACGCTCGTCACCGGAAACATCGGCGACAACTTCCAGCTGACGGTCGTCGACCAGCAGCAGGACAACCGCATGCTCGAGCCGACGTCGATTGTGAGCCTCAGCCAACGCTCGCCTTGTTGGGCATCCCTGATTGGTTTCCGTTTCTCCTCCCTCCTTCGCAGCACTGGCATGGACTGTTCCAGAACGGAACCAACTTCATGGACGGACCTGCGTTCATCAACCAGTGCCCGATCTCCCCCGGAAACTCGTTCACATACGACTTTACCAGCACGCAATCAGGGTACGTGCAATTCTCTGAACTAGCAAACGCAGCTCTCAATGAAAATCGAACAGAACGTTCTGGTATCACTCTCATCTCGCCACCCAGTACTGCGACGGTCTGCGTGGCGCGATGGTCATCTACGACCCGGCCGACGCCTACATCTCCGAGTACGACGTCGACGACGAGTCGACCGTCATCACTCTCGCCGACTGGTACAACGTCTTTGCTGAGACCGTGGCCGGTGTTGCGTGAGTGGTAGCTGCTCTGAAGGATGCGATCAGTCTGTCTCTGATGCGTTCAACCTGCGCAGCACGCCCTCTTCGATGCTCATCAACGGTCTCGGACGTACCGCGGCGACCACCGCGAACACGACGCTGGCCGTGATCAACGTCACCCAAGGCTTGCGCTACCGGTTCCGCCTGGTCAACATCGGCTGCGACTCCAACTACGTGTTCCAGATCGACGGCCACACGAACCTGACCATCATCGAGGCCGACGGTGTCCTGCACGAGCCGTTGAGCGTCGACTCGATCCAGATCTACGCCGGTGAGCAGCCGCGAGCGCGAGCCTCCGTGCGGTCGTCCGCCGCGGCAAACACCCACTGACTTGGTTCTTCCAGCCCAACGGTACTCGTTCATCATGACTGCCGACCAAGCGGTCGACAACTACTGGATCCGCGCCAACCCGAACACCGGTCCGACTGGCTTCACCGGCGGCATCAACTCTGCGATCCTCCGCTGTGCGTTAGGATCTATCAAAAGATAGCTATCTGCGATTCCTGACCATCCCTTCCTTCTTCCAGACAAAGGAGCCAACGCCTCGGAGCCGACCACGTCCCAAGACACGTCCACCAACGGGCTGGTCAACGAAGTGAACCTGCACCCGCTTGTGAACCCTGGCACTTCCGGCGGCGCGTTCAGCGGCGGAGCCGACGTGCAGCTCAACATGGCTCTGGCGTTTGATCTCGTGCGTCCATCGACCGGTCTTGTCTCTCCTCAGGGTCTGTCGCTCATCCTTTCTTTCTCAGACGACGTTCAAGTTCACGATCAACGGCGACGCGTTCGTTCCCCCCACGGTTCCCGTCCTGCTCCAGATCCTGTCCGGTGCACAGACCGCGCAGTCGCTGCTGCCCAACGGCTCGGTGTACTCGCTCCCGCACTTTGCGTCTGTCGAAATCACGCTCGCAGGAGGTGTGATCGGTGGTGGCGTCAGTCCTTGCTCCTTTATCCGTGTGGTCTCTGAGCTCACTCAATCCGTCCTCGAACAGCACCCGTTCCATTTGCACGGACACACCTTCGAGGTCATCCGTTCCGCCGGCAGCAGCACCTACAACTACGTCAACCCAGCCCGCCGCGACGTGGTGAACATCGGAACCACGGGCGACAACGTCACGATTCGGTTCTTCACGGACAACCGCGGACGTGAGTGTGCCGTTGTGTGACACGTTCGAGACCGTTCTGATTGTTGATTGATCTCACCAGCGTGGTTCCTCCACTGCCACATCGACTGGCACTTGGAAGCCGGGTTCGCGGTCGTGATGGCCGAGGATGTGGCCGACTGGCAGTCGGAGCTGATCCCGACTTCGGAGTGGAACCAGCTGTGCCCGACGTACAATGCGCTGCCGGCGTCGATCACGTCTCTCGCCGCCTGAGGGAGTCGCAGGCTGATGTCTATTTAATGCTATTTTGTCTATACTATGTCACGCATTATTATCAGAGAGGTGTTGTTCAGGCTTGTTTGTTTGTCTGATTCTGCATTTGTATTCCGCAGCAAGTATCTAAGTACTAAGAAGCGGTGCCCGAAGGCAGCGGGGAGGTGAACGCAAGTATGAGGATGTTTACTGTTGGTGTTGATCTCCTTGGGTGAGAGCTTTCGGGTTTGCGAGGCCGAGAGTGGCGTTGTCGGTGCGGGGGTTTCCAGCGCGTCGTAATGATGCATGTGCATATAGGATGGAGGAGGGATGAGGGGGTGGGCTTGGCCATAGCCGGTCGGGGCCACGTCGTTAAGAACTATCCGTTCTCGTCTTCTTCGTCTTCCGAGATTTCTGGGTCCGGTTCGTTGATGAGTGTGGGGAGGTCGCAGTCCTTCCATGGGTGTCCGCTTCGGGTGAAGGCTCCTGAATCTTTCAGGAACTGGGCCAAAGCGACGATGCCTTCTTTCGTGCCAAGGATTATTTCTTCGTAAAAGTTAGCTGATGTCGCGCGGATGACGGGTCGGTGTTCGTTGTACAGTGGGCACCATCGTAGGACGTGATCTCGTGTTTGGATTGGCTCTCCGCATGGGCAGTCAACGTCCTCGGGAATATTGAAGCGTTGGTAGAACTCGCCTAGGTATCCATGTCCCGTCCTGCACTGTATCACCCTTCCAAATAATTCCCGTTGTCCGCTGAGTTCCGTGAAGTGTCGTGTTGGCTTCAGGGAGGGTGGGATGCGATTTGCCTTTGCGTAGTGGCCGGACTTGGGTTTGCGTTTCCATTCCCGTCGCCAAGCATGTTGTATCCTCTCTTTCGACTGTCTCAGAGCGAACGCTCGAGTGGTGAGTGCTGGTGCTGCAAGTTCGGTACCGCTCTTTGCCAGTTCGTCTGCGCGTTCATTGCCCTCGATGTTGCAATGCCCCGGGGACCACGCGATCTCTACTGTCCTTTGCGGGTCGCCCTCGAGGAATCCACAGATGGCCTTGTGGAACTGATGTGCGTATAGTTGTCCGGCTCGAGGTTTTGGGTCAAAGATCGTCGCCAGGGCGGATGTGTTGTCGGCGTAGAAGTGGAGATGCTTTATGTTTGTATGAGTTGTTGCCATCGCTGTTGTGATCCCAGCTGCCAGCCATAGTCCAGCCATCTCGCCATCGTACACCTCTGCGCGGCCGCCAAGGCCTTGTGACTCCGCAAAAATCTCGGTGTTTTCTTGGTAGACAACCACTCCGGTTCCAACACGTCGCATCCCGTGTAGTTTCCTGAGGGATCCATCAGAGTAGGCCAGAAGGTGCTCGGGATTGTCCGCAAAAGCACTTATCCGTTCCTTGTGTCTCTCTGCAGCCTCCTCCTTCTCCACCCCATTCGAGGATTTTTCTAGCCGCATGCGATCACCAAACTTGCTTGCTGTCTGGCCCCATGGGGGTTAAGGAAAGGGAGGATCCGTTCGCCGTGGGGATTGGTGTGATGGGCAAGACGTTCCAGTTGCGTAGTTTTCTTCTGGTCCTTCTTGTTCCGGTTCTGAGGCCGAGCAGGTACCGGAGGGGGCTGATGTGGTTTCTGGCCATTGCGCCATGTGTTTGGTAGGCGCTCAATGACCGGGTTGTGTAGGCTGAGCTTGTTGAATCGAATCCCGGTCGCCCTATTGATGTGGTCCATTGCAAGTCGGATTGGGGGCGTAGATGACTCAATCTCGAGTGCGTCGATTGGGGTCGTTCGGAATGCTGCACATATAAGGCGCATGGACCGGCGCTGGACTCTTTCTAGTTCCTTCTCGTGGGTCTTTTTCCCTGTCCACCACGCAGCACTTGCATATGTCATTACAGGAACCACACATGCCTTGTACAACTGCTTGAGGTGCACTTGGGACATCCTGCGGACAGTGTTCGATAGCATTGTCATCGCGTTGATTTTTGTCATCGCCCGGGCTGCTAGTGTCTTCACATGGTGGTTGAACGTGAGTTTTCGGTCCAGGTGCACTCCCAACCACTTGATTGAAGAGCTCAGCGTGACTGTGGTTGATGTATTGTCTCCGTTGGTAAGACGAATTGGTGGTGCAACATTGTCTTGTTTCCTGCGTGAATAGTGCATCAGCTCTCGTTTCGTGTTGTCAATAGAAAGCCCAGCCTTTTGGAGTTCTTCTGTAACCTTCTTATACGCTATCCGGAGTGACTTCACGTTTGTCCACCTCAGTTACCACCGCCATCACCCGGTTGCACCCCCGCGGGGGTCCTCCTGGGTACCCTCAGACGTAGCTCTGAGGGTACCTAACAGGTACCCCCCTGCGGGGCCCGCGGGGGGATTTGGTCCATTTGGGGGCGGGGGCATATGCGGGGGTCAGCAGGGGGGGGTCTGTACATGTCATGTGATTTATCATTGGGAGCGGGCAGGTGGGCGCGAAAAAAAAAATGAATCACATGACACATCCAATGGGCGGGATGGCGGCTGATGGCGGGGTAAAAAAATCACGTGATGCACCGCATGAAAATTATCAAAAATGGCTAGCAGGGGTTGGCGGGGGTTGGCGGGGGCGCTACTGGCCCCCCGCACACCATGGCGGGCAGTGGGCGCATTATCACGTGACTTTTGGGGCACCTTTTGTGCACCATTCGGCATGATTTCGGAGGTGTTGCTTGATCCATTGCATGCTGTGGCAGACAATGGGCGCATAATCACGTGATTTTCCGCCCAAAAAAATGGAAGCCTTCCCCAAATCATCCTGGTATCATTTCTATCGGTAAATACACTAGTTAAGCATGAATTTGAGCTTAGAAAGCCCAAAATGCACCCTGCACAATGGGACTGGTGATGCACTTGATCCCATCATTTGGCGGGGTCTGCTGCAGGGGGTGCCACGGGGGGTGCTGCGGGGGGTGCTGCGGGGGGTGCCGCAGGGGGTGCCACAAGGGGTGCCGCAGGGGGTGCCACAGGGCCCGCTGTGGGGTCAACCACAGGAGCAGGGGTAGGGGTGCATTGCATCATATTTTGATCTATCTATTCTCGCTGTGGTCATAGCATGCAGCATAATTATCCTTCATTTTGCCAGGAGTTTGGAGGCTGTGTCTGGGGTTGGTCTGCAGCTACAGCCATGTGACTCCCTGATGCTTTGGCAGGGGCTGGGATATCAAAACTGTGCAAATTTACCTAAATCTTTTGGCTTGGCTTGGGGCACTGATATATATGACTTGGTTCATTTTAGCATGGTCTGCTCAAGCTGTCAGGTCAAACTAAAAATTTGAAAAATGTGCAACTTGATTTGTTAGGCAAATCTCCCAAGTACATGCTCCAGGGACAGCCAACATCATCAACAAGAAATGGCTAATGTTTCTTTTCTTTGTCTGTTTGCTTCAGGTAGTCTGTCTGCACTCAAATTTTTCTCTCCATTTGCAGCATATTCCGTGGAGGTGTCATAATTGTTGATTTCCGGATTTCATACTTCTTGTCTACACACCATTTGGGCCCTTTACTGAATCCAATAATACTGTAGACTCTTACAATGGATTGAGCAGGACATTTGTCAATTAAATCCTTGCAGGGGTTGGGGGGGGGGGGTCAACCACAGGGGGTGCCGCGGGGGGTGCCATGGGGGGTGCCGTGGGGGTGCACAAGCATCTGCCAGCCTACCAAATGTGGATCAACTACAAAATCACTTTCCAAAGCTTCTGTACTGCAACCCAAGTGACTTCTAGGTAACCTTTACCCAATCCCAGTGAAACAACTTCACTGCTCTTGTTTCTGGGTGACAATTGATTTTATGAGCTTGAGTGTGTATGCACCCTTTTTAGTGGGAAATGAGGCCATGTGATGAGAGGTAGGGCACCGAAACATTGTAAAATACTATATTCAACATGACCGGTGGCCCATGTCTCGTCAAACCAGCCCATATCTCATGTTTATCAAGACCCTATTTTTCGGACTCATTTCAAGTTTTTGAATAGTTCCAGGGTCCAGGGCTCTCAGAATTTGTTTCAGACACTGCCAAAGAGTATATCATTCAGCTGTATTGAATTGCTTGTGTGTAGAAAAAATATTTTTTGCCATACCCAAAGTGAACCATGTTGAACCATTGTCTACATAGGAACCTTGAGCAATGGTGAACTCTTTTCATGTTTCGAATTTTAGGTGGACAAATGATATGAAGTATCTACATATTCAATAAGAATAGCAGAAGGAGACCTTATTCCGATGGTTTTCAGCTGCATAACTGTAGGAACAGTGTTAGAAGAGCAGTAAACACTTAGGTACGACGTTTATACAGGTTCTGATTGGCTAGTGACTTGACGTGTTCCGAGCTGTCAGTTTACATAATCTTACATATAAGAAAATCACGGGGACAAGGCACCGGTGCAGCGGGGGGTGCTAGACTGGCGGGGGTGCCAGCGGGGGTGCCGGCGGGGGTGCCAATGGGGGTACCAGCAGAGGTGCAGGCGTCATGGCAAGGATGTGTGCAGCCCCAGAGGTAGGAAAAGTAACCATCTATGTCTCTACAGTCTATCTTGCAAATATACGAGCTCTGAGTGCACAGAGTGTTGTATATGAAATTTGAAATTCAAATATTACCAATCTCTGACTATTGTGAGGCAACTTGCTGGTGAATCCATTGTCTCATATTCCACCTAGGAATCAATTCAGGGCATGTCAAATCCACTCTATTACATCTGTTCATGTTGCAACTAAAGCAAACTGCTTGTAAAGTAACACAGAACAGATGAACTTCAATGAGTCCCAGACAGGAAGTGTGACATTAGGTGCATAATTAACGTGTGGTATTATCCACTGGGTAAGATTAGACTGTGCCTACAGCATGATCAGTTTACCAATGGGCATGTGTATAGAATGAGCAGACGAAACAATCAATGAGTTGACAGTGGACCCGATGCAGCCCATGATGTCAGCCCACCTACCCTGCCAGCCAAAAAATGAACAAATCACACTTTCTTTTTAACCCTACATGCCTGGATTATGCAGACAATATTGCACAGTTTTGATATCCCAGCCCCTGCCAAAGCATCAGGGAGTCACATGGCTGTAGCTGCAGACCAACCCCAGACACAGCCTCCAAACTCCTGGCAAAATGAAGGATAATTATGCTGCATGCTATGACCACAGCGAGAATAGATAGATCAAAATATGATGCAATGCACCCCTACCCCTGCTCCTGTGGTTGACCCCACAGCGGGCCCTGTGGCACCCCCTGCGGCACCCCTTGTGGCACCCCCTGCGGCACCCCCCGCAGCACCCCCCGCAGCACCCCCCGTGGCACCCCCTGCAGCAGACCCCGCCAAATGATGGGATCAAGTGCATCACCAGTCCCATTGTGCAGGGTGCATTTTGGGCTTTCTAAGCTCAAATTCATGCTTAACTAGTGTATTTACCGATAGAAATGATACCAGGATGATTTGGGGAAGGCTTCCATTTTTTTGGGCGGAAAATCACGTGATTATGCGCCCATTGTCTGCCACAGCATGCAATGGATCAAGCAACACCTCCGAAATCATGCCGAATGGTGCACAAAAGGTGCCCCAAAAGTCACGTGATAATGCGCCCACTGCCCGCCATGGTGTGCGGGGGGCCAGTAGCGCCCCCGCCAACCCCCGCCAACCCCTGCTAGCCATTTTTGATAATTTTCATGCGGTGCATCACGTGATTTTTTTACCCCGCCATCAGCCGCCATCCCGCCCATTGGATGTGTCATGTGATTCATTTTTTTTTTCGCGCCCACCTGCCCGCTCCCAATGATAAATCACATGACATGTACAGACCCCCCCCTGCTGACCCCCGCATATGCCCCCGCCCCCAAATGGACCAAATCCCCCCCGCGGGCCCCGCAGGGGGGTACCTGTTAGGTACCCTCAGAGCTACGTCTGAGGGTACCCAGGAGGACCCCCGCGGGGGTGCAACCGGGTGATGGCGGTGGTAACTGAGGTGCGTTTGTCTCCAACGATTCCGATGAGACATAGAGTTTGCCATCATCAACGTACATGATGAGCATAACCGGTGTGCATGTAGTGTCTTCGCCCGGAATCCCTTGATGTTGTTTTTGTTGTTCTTCAAAGAGCTCCAGGAGGAAGCTGCTGTAGAATGCGGCGAGGATGGGGGAAGTTGGTGACCCTTGTGGTATGCCGTTCTCAACTGGCTTCATCTCTCCGCGGGTTCCGTCGATGCATACTGCTGCTTCGCGTTCCTCAAGGAATGATGCTGTCCAGCGTACGTATTGGAGTGGGATTCCTTTCCGTCTCATCTCGTGTAGGAGTCGATCATGATTAACGTAGTCAAAGTACCCCTTGATATCGAAAGTGAGTGCGGAGGTCACTTTGTTGTTATTCCATGCCGCTTCGATGTCGTGTGTGAACGTGAGAATAGCATCAGTAGTTGACTTGTTTGAGACCCCGCCGAACTGACCACCTGGGTGTTGAAGCTTGTTTGTATTAGCGACTATCACAGTATGTAGACATGACATCATAAGTAGTATTCTTAGATTACTTTGGCTCGCTCCACAATGACCTCATACCTGACCTCATTATTGCGTCATCCATTACTCATCTATGATATCATTACTCCACTATGACATCATGATATCTGCTCCAGACTGGTATATAAACCTAGTACTATACGCTCCATATCCTCAGCTCCTGTGTCTCTACACTCGCTGAGGTATGCATTCTCCCTTACGATCTAATGACCTTACTTATGACTTGTACCATAGACTCTGTCTTATAGGTACAGCTAATGATATAGCTCCTGTGTCTCTACACTCGCTGAGACTCTGTCTTATAGGTGATCGCTACTGGTCGTATCTCCACTGCGCGGTATTGTCTGCGACACTGGGATGAGTCTGTGCTTTCCCGCCAGGTACGTTAGTCGTCGGGCCACTACTTTCTCGAGCACCTTGCCCATGCATTCCAGCAGTTGGATCAGCCGATATGCTCTGGGTTCGGAATAGTCCGGTTTGCGGGGTTTGCGGAGCGCTACAGCCACTGCTTGCCGCCATTGTTTTGGGTGAAAGCCGTTCCTCAGGCAGAGTCGGATAAGAGTGTAGGTCTCCTGACTTGCCGATCCCCATGCCCAGCGTAATGTCTGGTATGTGATCTGCGAGCTTCCCGGCGCAGAGTTGGATGACGACTCAAAGATTGCTTCCCGTACTTCCTCTTCGGTGACCTCCTGGTATTCTAGGTCATCAGGGAGTGTATCCGTTAGATTGCGGATGTACTCAGCTTCTAGCTCTGGGGGTGGCTGAAAAAGTTCAGCGCGAAGGGCCTCGCACTTCTCCGTATGAGTGATCGCTGGCCCTTGTCCCCGCCTCTTGATTGGGGGTGATGGGTAATTCCGCGCTCCGGATGACCAGTTCCGGAAGCTCCATATGGTGTCCGACGTTGCCTCTTGTAGCTTTTCGACTGCCCATTTCGTCTTGGTAGCTTTACACAGCCGTTTGAGAAAGTTACTCATCTTCTTTACTTTCTGGCGAAGTGGTAAGGAACGCACGCCGTTTACCTCCTCAAACGTCTTTAGCTCCTCCTGCACGTTGCTGAGATCCTTTGCCGCCTTCTGTAGGTCCTCATTCCACCACGGTTTAGCCTGGTTTGACGGCCTTCGGATCTTGGCCACTCGAGCTGTAGCCGCTTGCATTGCCTCTGTCAGGGCCGTTGCTGCTTGTTCGAGTTGTTCATTCGTGATGTTTACTTGAGGGTCCGGATCCATGATCTTGTTTATGTCTTGCTGTCGCGCATCGAGTTCCTGTCGGAAAGCCGCTCCCCAGTCCTCTGGATTGACGTCCTTCATGATGTACTTCGCACCGGTAATGTTGTTGATCTCTGTCCTGCCGTCGTCCGTTGTCCATCGAATCCCATGGTGGTCCGAGCCATATGACATTGATCGGTCAATTGTCCACTCTTGTAAAGTGTCTTCAGCGGCGGCCTTGCTGTTCGCAAACACTAGATCTAAAACAGAGCTTGAGCCCATGTTATTGTGCGGAGTAAATGTTACAGCGCCCTTTTCATTCAATAGAATGCCCCTGGGACCAGTGTCGCTCTCCATCATCCATTCCACAAACTTGTTTGAGCGTCGGTTTCCGTTTTTGTCTGTACAGGACCAGAGCTTGTGATGGAGGTTCCAATCTCCCAGGAAGATTGTTGGTGTGTCTTGCGGGAGGTTCACTTGTTGCAGTCGTTCCGCTGATGCTGGTCGATGACCTCCTTCGTTGTATACATTTGCGTAGAGCCAGCGTTTCCCGTTTTGTCGCGAAACCTCGATGATTTGTATGTCGAGGTCTTGGGCAAGGTCGGAGCGCAGAGTGACGTCGAAGTCAGGGCGTTTCTTGTAATACGTCATGACTCTGGGGGCTTGGTCCCGTGGCACGTTGTCCACCGGGAGGACCGGTGTCCAACTCCCATGTCCAACTGGGCCGATGATGTCGTTTCCGTTGTCGTCCGAGCCAATACGGGACCACGGTGGCTCCTGTAGGAAAAGCACGTCAAAATCTTTAATGCGCTGGTTTAGAATAGCTTGGAGTGATACACCTTTCTTGTTAGTGTTCAGTTGTCCATATCGTATTGGTCGGGTGCGTTGCATTGGGCGATGATTCATTGTGTCTCCATGCTGGTCGTCATCGCGGTGAGGCTTGCCATAGCACCCTCAAGCGTCAGCATGAGGTTTGGGTTCCTGATTTTTGCTGCTCTCAGCAGCTCCTCCGCTTGCTGCTCTAGTGTGCGTTCTGGTTCGAGAACCTTGAACCGGTTCTGCGTCTCAGCTCCCGCTCTGATTGGTGTATTAGTCGGTCTCCGTCGTCCACCTGGAGACCTGACTTGTTGCCATGCTTTGTCGATCGTCTTCTTCTTCTCGTGCATCCGAGCTGATTCGTATCTTGAGACTTGTTCCGGGCAACGTCTCGAGTCCGCCGCATGCGCTGTGTCCTCGTTCTTGCCCTTGCAGTTCACACAGCAGATCCGGTGCTCGCAGGTGTCTGCACCGTCAATGTCCATGTCTCCTGCGTCCTTTGCTGCCTTGCAATTGGTGCAGTTGTCATGGTGTTCCTGGTCGGTGTGCGTTTTGCCGCATAACTTGCAGCGGACATCGAGGGTGCACTTGTTAGCCATGTGGTCAAATCGTTGGCATCTGGTGCATTGTATCACTGGAGGTTTGTTAGCAAAGAGGCGTAATGGGCATGTCCGTCCAAACATGGCCAGGGACTTGAGCTCCCGGAGGAGGAACGTCGCTTCGTCCGACTCTTCCACCGCGAAGACGATTGACGAGTGATTTGTGTACTTGAGGTCTTCAATGCGTCTCAGCCAGCGCAGCGGGCTGGTTATCTTGAGTTTGTCTATTATCGGGTTATTGCGGGTGGCCTCAATCGCGAGTGTTTCTTGGCCGTAAATGGTGGGTGATGGGTCGTACGCGCCAGTTCGTACCAGGTCCACTTGGATCTTGACCCACTTCCGGTCCAGCTGGACCGAGCACGTCTGTCCCGGGGCCATGAGTAGGTGTGTGAAGCGCATCGCAAACTTAGCTAGTTCCTCTCCCTGTTGGTCCGCTCGTGTTAGCAGGACTGCGTTGTCATTCTTTGTCCATGTGAGTGCTGTTACCAGTAAGTGTTTCGAGTCCTCGTGCTTCTGTAGCTCGGCGTTGATATCCGAAACCATTTGAGTCTGGCTTGGCTGGTTCTTCGTCTGCTCTTCGTTGATTTTGCCATGTAGATTGATGATCAGACGAGAGGGGTGGTGCGGCATCTTCGGGTTGTTCACCGTTGGCTTTGTCGTGTTTGTGGTTGTCTTCCTCGTGGGCCGATATGTGGGTCCGGGTCCGGTGGTTGGCGCAGCGGTTGGGGTGTCGGTGGTGGGTGTCGCATGACCAGGTGTCGTCGGGCCTGCCGCGGTTAGCTGAATCCTCTCCATGTTGTTGTTTGTTGTCTTGAGCATGTCCGTCATTGACTTTACCGTGTTGTTGAGTTCGGAAAGCTGGCGTGTCATTGCAGATATCGTCCAGTCGCGTTGGGTGGCCGTGTTTTGAAGGTCGGTCCACCTCTGTTTTGCCATGTGTTCGTTGTGTCGTGATTCGTCCCGGAGGGCTTGCAGTTCGCGGTAGACCTCTGTCGCCTCCCATTGCCGGCCCGTCGCTAGCCTGGTGACATCCATGGTTAGGTTTTGGACTTCCTCGGGCAGTGCGGCTTCATAGTCCGGGTGTGCCCTTTGCAGGCGTTGGAGGGCGGATTTTGCGTCGTTGATGATCCCGGTGTATTCCCTTATAATTGCGTCTGGGTTGCCGTCAGTTTTGATCAGTATGTTGTGTTGGAAGACCGGGTGTATGTTGCTTCTGGTAGATTCGTCGTCTGTCTCTAGGCCGTGTGCCACTGGTGCAAAAGCCGGGATTGTTGTGGGGATCGTATAAGTGCTGTCGGAGTCGTTGTTGGGTGTGTCAGAAGTGGGGTTGGTCGTGTACGACGCGTGCCTGACCGGCTTTGGTGAGAACCCAAGCGATGTACTTACCTTCTTCAAGAAGCTTCCTGTTCCGTTTTTCGGGGTCGTGCGGCCGCCGTCATCGCTCCCTTCGTCACTTGAGTCGCGGGCGTTTGGCCGGGCGCGTCCTCCTCCCAGGGGGTCGTGCCTTGTGGTGGTCCTGTGCATCATGTCTTTCGATCCCGCTCCGTTGGTCATGTTGCTAACACTCCTTTTTGCCACAGCTATCTGCGTTGGTGCACGCGGTGTAAGGGTGGGTGTGGGCCCTGGTCTGTCGACCGGTTTTCTAATCGCCATTCTATTGTTTCCCTGCTCGAAGCCCGACGTTAGACCGTGGGAACTTTCGACGAGATGAGGGTTGCAGATCAAGGCGTGATCGGGTGTTGTTCAGGCGCAAATACATTATTCCTTGTCACGTGTGGTCTTTGCGCAGGCTCTCATAGGTCCCCTGCTTGTTGCAGTTGCTAATCCAAGTCTCTTCACACGCTAGATCACAGGGATTCAGATTCGAGGCCATAAGTGTACCTAACATCAGCCACCTGACAGGATAGTTCTCGGTCGTTTATGGGGGCCTGGAAGGCCCTGCTCTCAACATAGACAGTTGACATTGATGGCAAGTGATAGGATCCAAGACCCTAGACTTTATGTATGTACATATTATTACATGAGTAGCTGAGCCCTGTCGGAGATGCGCACAGGACCTGTGAAAATAGCCTCAAATGTTAGCCCCCAGTTGGACAATCTTTGGTCAGGGAAAGTCGATAACCTAAGCCCAAATTGTAGGGGGTTGGCCAAAACTCGACTCTGGACAAGAATAATTAGGTCACAGGATTTGACATATCTGTCCAATGCAATCAGAGGGAGGTGAGTGAATTGTAACGTTTGGAGACCAGTGGACTAGGGTGTAAAATTCATGGGACTCAGCGGCAATCTGTGAATGGTTTTCGAGTGAATTCACATGAACTACTCTCAATATTGTCCGGAAATGGATCAGTGTCTCGATTGAAGTACTGATCAGCGATAAATCATATATTTGGGGTAAATTGGGGTGAGACCAGACCGGACTGGGGTGAATTCTTGTCCAACTCGGTGCCCTGAGCATCGCCAAATCGAGCTGCAACTTTTTGTCCAACACCCAATTAAATAATTTGGGCTTACATTTTCGACCCCTCCCCACCAAAAAATTTCTAAATGTAACTTAGAAGTCACCATGCACATAGGACCACTGAGAAAAGCCTCACAGTTTAGCCCCAAAATTGGCTGGCCCAAAATCTGTCCAACGTTGATTGGTCCTGAGCCCCGAGGTTTGTCCAATCTGTACATGACCTCAAAAAATCCATTTTTTTTTTGCTATATAGATGCCTCTGAAATTGAAAAATTTGAGCTCCGGCAACATTTCTGACATTTTTGCACCCTATTTGACCTCCCCCTTTGCTCTAACATGTTTGTCGGGTTGTTGTGCCATGAGTCGTCACTTCCTTTCTGCCCAATCCATATGTTTGCATCAAAGGGTATATTGTCTCTGATAGCAACAAAAGTTGTCATTCAGGGGGCCTGGGACTCGCAGAGGGAGTTTGTGACACTGTTGGCAATGACTCGAGCAATGTGAGCGAAAATTGATGGTGGTCAATAGTGATCAATCAATTAGGGTAAACATTTTCGAGCAAAATCAGTCCAAATCACTTGAGTTACTCTAGATATAGCTAGGTATTGTCAAGATTCAATGAGTTATGCGTTGATAGGCTGGCTACCAGACGCGCTCTGCACCAACTATGTAAGGGCGTATTTTTGCGCTTTTTACAGAGTTTACTCTCGAACCACTCGGTGTATCGTGTCGCGGATGACAGTGTTGCGCTCAGTAGGACTTAAGGGTCTACTGCCCAGTCGACGACTGTGGATAGTGTCGACGATAGCAAGGCAGTCAGACCACTACTGTGGAACTGGTCTTACGAGTCTATACCAGGCTCAGGGCCATTAGTGACGAACGCTTGGACCGCGACCATTCCCCAAGAAGGGATCTGTTGTTGCGGCGACTCCTCAAAAGGGTCATTCCCTGCAGATGGGAACTTGGGCTGAAGGGCTGAGCAATGTGCGACGTTCTCAATAATACAACTACTACTGGACAGGACTTGGCGTTACGAGATTGAACCAATCGTGTCGCGGCAACTCCCGGTTTTGAGTTGGACGTTTCCTCAGATCATGCCACGACGACGACTTGTCACATGTCAGGATCCATTCGATCACGGGACATTGTGGACGCGTCGCGGTGACACTTCCAAGTGTCACGGCGAGTCGCGTCCATACCCAAACACACTAAAATCGACATGGCTAGATCCGTGAACCGAACCATGTGGGGGACAACTGGCGTGCCTAGGGCCATACGGCTTCTTGGGACGCCCACGTTGGTCTCACTTGCCAAGACATACCCGTTGGCCAATCCAACACGTCGTATTCCAAAAGTATGACGCGGCGAGTTGGCCCACATCAAAAGTATCATATGGACAATGGGGCGGGGTCCTGATCACTCAGGACCTGTCCGATCGTCCAACTTTTCAATTACTCTAAAAAGGAAACTGATCTTAGATAGTGTAGCTACTATGCAGTTGTACAGGACTTTACTAAGCATCGTCGTAGACAGTATAAGTAGCACGTCGTTTCTTTGTATTGAAAAGCTTTCCCCCGGACTGTGAATCACTCTCATTTCAGATTGTTTTGTACAATTTGCATGCCGCGTGATTCCACCCTAAGAAGTTCTGCTACCCCTGCCCGGTCGCGACAAGTTGCTCCCTGAGCACTTGTAGCTACTGTGATTTGAGTTTTGAGTTGAGAAATCAGAAAGTCGGATTCGCCGCATCTGGTTTAGTCGCGGCATTTAGTGTCATCGCCCTTTGGGCTTTGTTGAGATCGTTCCACACCTCTAGCTTGGCAGTGCGTCGACTAGTTGTGCTCGGGTTGTTTTGGTCAGTTGGCAGTGCGTCAACTTGAGAACTTTGGTTCCACACTTCTTGCTTGGCAGTGCGTCGACAAGTTGTGCTCGGGTTTTGGACATTGGATATTGGCTGTTAGTTGGCAGTGCGTCGACGCGGCATTTTGGTTTACTAGTTGGCAGTGTGTCGACTCAGTACTTTTGGTTGTGTCAGTTGGCAGTGCGTCGACTCGACATTTGGGTTTACTAGTTGGCAGTGCGTCGACTCAGTATATTGGTTGTATCGGTTGGCAGTGCGTCGACTTGATATTTGGGCTTTGCGTCACCATCTAGGCGCTGTCGCTACAAGGGATCTTAATACTCCGTATTAAGTTCTGACTTGTTATATTGTTGGTTGTGGATTGGATTAGTGTTGGTTGTGTTCGTATAGAAGATATTGGTTGAGACACCATTGTTTGCTATATATATATTCTTGTCGTCGACTTCGTCTTCCGCGACTATTGGATCTGCGTCTATTGAGAGTTGTGATACTGGTGCTCTGTCCGCCCCAAAGCCCTCGCATCTTTCACACACTGAGAAGCTGATTACGAGGAGTGTGAACGTGTTTATATTTGGGTTTACTTTCATAGTAGATTCACCTGTGAGCACGCCCTCAGCATTTCAGCGTCTTACCAGGGTTTCTTCTGGTACCCTGCCCAAATCCAGACCCAATACATCCAAATTCAGTCAAATCCCATGACCTAACTATTCTTGTCCAGAGTCAAGTTTTGACCAACCCCCTAAAATTTGGGCTTAGTTTATCAACTTCCCCTGACCAAAGATTGTCCAACTGGGGGCTTACATTTGAGGCTATTTTCACAGGTCCTGTGCGCATCTCCGACAGGGCTCAGCTACTCATGTAATAATATGTACATACATAAAGTCTAGGGTCTTAGATCATATCACTTGCCATCAACGTCAACTGTCTCAGTTGAGAGCAGGGCCTTCCAGGCTTTGCGACTTGTCCACAAGTGCTCAAGTTTGAACAAGCAACAAGTCATCAAGTAGATGACATTCAAATATAACAGTCACAAGGACAAAAGATTATTCTATAATACTAGATAAGAATTTGTGCATACAATGGTCCACATACTTATTGATGTAATAAAGATTAAATGCCTTTAAAGAGTCTGTGTAGTGAAAGTGTTTGGGCATCACATTCCTCCCATATACCGGTAGTAATTGTGTGGCCCGGGCTACAGCATTCAAGTGGATAATGGAGAATGTTGGAGTCCCCTGCTGTCTCTCAGGTTCAACAGCCCACATTCCTGTGTCCAGATCCGGCGCCTGACTGACAGGCACATTCCAATTTATGAGAGCGCATTGATAGTCCATATCCTGGAATGTGAAGCTGAAGAGTAGTCACACGCGCGCAATATTTAGTCTGCCCATTACATTGTCACTGACATTTACAAGCATGGTGTTGGAGCGGCCATGTCCATGCCACTTGGGGGCTATTCAAATCCCTCACAATACATTCTGCTGGCATTGCACAGATCACTGGGTGCGAAAACTGTGCTACGCTTCGCCCAAATGGAAGACTCAAATGTTCTATGTAAACTGCAGGCATAGGTGGAGCGGGATATCGCTCCAATGATTCCCTGCCCTGGTTTCACTACGTGTGCTATCACCAGATATTCCACAATCCAGGTGACAACGTGATCCTTGAACGTTCCTTTGAAAACCTGGTGTAAGAGGTCCGAACTGAGGATCTCATGGATGTCTGCTTGCAGGAATTTGTTGGTGAAAGGCTAGGCATGTGTCAGATAGAGGACAATAGCAGCATGCTACAGATGTACCACAACATTAGCACGAGTTCCATAGTCAGTCCAAAGGATCCCAGGATTGAAACACATGATCAAGGCCTCAGTCTTGGTCTGAGTACATAGCCAAGCCCCTTCACCATCCAGGTTATTGGGTTCCACATCACATCTGGGACAGCTGTAAGTCACAAGAAAAGCATTGAGAACAAGTACGTACTTGGGACACCAACTCTGCATAATTGCTGCCAACCACACCTGCTAGAGATAGTCAGCAATATACGGCTTGATGCTATAGATAATGCATTGATGATGGCTGTCTGGGCAACAAACAATGTTGTATGTTATTATGTACAACTTCAATGAGCAGTAGAGAAGGGCAAGGCTAGCATGATACAGCTGCTAAAAAAATGGTTGGAATTTGGGTTTGCTGTGTTCTGTCTTGCTGACTGCAGTCACATTAGAATGACAGCAAGAGCAGAGAACAATTCATACCCTTTGGAATGGAAAGGAACACATTTGACACCCTGCCTATGCGTTCAACGAGCAGTTCCAGACATCTCCCCAGCTGTTATGTAATGCGGGTGAGAGTGGCAACAGAAACTGTTGTCTTGTCACTTCCACTAATAGCAACAACAAGCCTAGCTTTGTGTGGTTTTGGGATCTTGTGTAATGATGTTCTAGAGTAAAGAGAGATATTCAGTTACTGTATCACACCTCACTTGCAGAGAAGAATACACTGCTTCCTTGTAGGCTCAATCACCTAACATGAAGTTTAACCACACTTAATGCCCATCTTTGTTGAACTTGCAATAGGAAAAGAAGTTGAACTGGCCCTTGAAGTCATGGCACGCAAGTTGCTGGTGCAGAATATCACAGATGTTTTGCATGCAATGCTCCTATGTCTGTGTCATCCATGTGGGTGGGTTGAGAGGAAGAGGGCCCATGTACTTAATCAAGTTCATATGCTGTGAAGGGGAGGTCACCACTTTGAATGAAGTCGATGGTATTATAGAGATCTTTGACCTTGACCCAAGGTGGTGAATGGTCTGTACCAACCAAACTGGTAGCCCATAGATTGAGGGCCACATCAACCTTTGCTTTGAAGTTCTAGCATGTGACAAAATGGAACTGGGCAAAGTCAAAATCATGGTGATTGTCAAACAGCCCCAGGCACACAGGTCTTGGCTGTCATGAGGTAGCAGTGGCAATGGTGGAGGTGGGGAAAATGGAAGGAGGACCAACTATTGACATCACAAGGATGAGTTACAGTCAAGTACTTAGATACAGAGATTGAGAGAACAAGCACCGGGTCGGTGTCGTAAGGTGAAATCAAACTCCGCCAGCTCCGTGATCCATCGTGCTTGTCGTCGATTGAGCTTCTGCGGCTTTCGGAAGTACTCGAGATTCTGATGATCAGTGAAGATCTCGAATGTTTCCGTGGCTCCCAGGAGCAGCTGCCTCCATTCATCGAGTGATAACATGATCGCGAGCATTTCCTTGTCGTAGATCTTGTAATTTCGCTTGGTTTCGGTCAATGCGTGTGAAATAAATGCGATTGGGCGCCAAATGCCGTCTTGGTTTTGGCTCAAAACTGCTCCTGTTGCCCCTTCCGAAGCATCGGCTTCTAGACGATATTGGCCAGTGTCATTTGGCAGTGCTAGGACCGCATCCTCTGCGATTCTCTTCTTCAACCCATCAAATGCTGCACGCTCATCTGCACCCCATGCCCATCCTGCCTTCCCTGTCAACCGTGTCAATGGTTTGGCAATTTACGCATATCCCCGAACAAAGTGTCGATAGAAGTTGGTGAACCCTAGGAAGGCTTGCACTTGTTTGACGCTCTTTGGTTCTGGCCATTCCATCACGCCCTTGATCTTGACTGGGTCCATCCGCATCGAATTGCGTCCAATAATCACACCCAAATATTCGATTTCCGTGCGTTCGAACTCGCACTTTTCGGGTTTCAGGTACAGCTTGTGTTTTTGGAGCAGTTCGAGTACTCATTTCGTGATCCGCCAATGTTCGTCCAAGTTCTCTGTGAAGATCAGTATATCATCAAGATAGACTACCACGTGGCCCTCATTGATCAGTTCTTGGAGTATGTCATTCATCATGTTTTGGAAGGTTGCCGGGGAGTTTGTGAGACCGAAGAACATGACCAAGGGCTTGTACAGTCCGCGGTTCGTGCGGAACGCAGCCTTCCACTTGTCGCCCTCTTTGATCCGTACGTTATTGTATCCCCACCGGATGTCGAGCTTGGTGAAGAACTTTGCACCGCATAGATTATGGACCAGTTCGGAGATCAGCGGCAGCGGGTATCAATTTCGGATTGTCATCTCATTCAGCTTCCAATAATCTTGGACGGGGCTTAGCGAGCCATCCTTCTTTTTGACAAAGAAGAACGCTGATGCCATGGGTGATTTGGAAGGCCTGATCCGTCCGCTGGCCAGGTTCTCTTGTAAGAACTCGTCGAGTTTGATCTGTTCGTTTCGTGATAACGGGTACACCTTGCAGTCCACTGCTTTGGAACCAGGTTTGAGCTCGATTGCATGGTCCCATGCCCGTCGGTCTGGCAGCGAGTCGAACGATTCCTTGGCGAATACTTTGACAAATTCCCGATATTGATCCGGAATCTTCCCCTCGGTCATTCTCTCCTTCTCTTTTTCCGCTTCTTCTGCGAATTTCTGCGCCGGCGTTTCCTTCAACAGTAGATCCACCTCCTTCCCAAAGTCGATCAGCAGGATCGACTCTCCCTCTTCCAGATCCGGTGCACCTGCGTCCAGGTCAATTGCATCCATGTCAATCATTGTTTGGTGTTCCTCGTGACCCCTCATGTGACACCGTTCTGGGCATCGGCTGAATCTCATCGTCTGCTCCTGCCAATCCACCTCCGGGTTGTGTTCCATCAGCCAATTAAGACCAATGAAGATCTGGGCCTTCCCTAGGCACGTCAGAAGGAACGTGCGTGTCTCTACATGAGGACCGATTTTCATCCTTAGGTCGACGTAATGCGTGATCCGACCGCTGATGTTCTCGGTGTTGTCGGCGTTACGAGCCACAATGGGTTGTGGAAGCTCTTGGATATCCAGCTTCTCTGCCCGCGCGTAGTGGGTATCAATGCAGCAGGTACTGCAGCCACTATCGAGCAGCGCCTTGACTCCACGCGTTTTTCCTGAGTCCAGGCCCGTGATCTGAACATATACATCCATTGAATGCCTCTTTCTTTTGGCCTGGTAACTGCGCAATTCCTGTGCCAACTTGCTGGGCTGGGGGCCATTCTGTTTCTCGGCCGCCAATTTCCTCTGTACAGCATCTGGCACCCTGGTGCGTTTGGGTGCTTCTGGAACCTTGATTTCGGCAGATTCCTTGGGCGCTTCCTCCTTTTTCAAGGATTGAGCCTCCGGAGCGATGCTCCCCTTTTCGGTCTTTGTTGACGTGGTTCCTTCTCCACGAGCCATAAATACGTAGGAGTCCAAAATTAATTTATCCGCAGCTCTCTGATCCTTTTTACTGTGTAAATACTCTCTATTTAAAGCTATTTTCTTTTGACGTTCTTTTTCCATATCAGCGACAAGAAAATCATGAATATTAGTATGTAGGGAGTCTGAGATTGTGTATGTATGTGCAGAATCGTTCATGTCTTGAATTGAAACAAGTATAGAAAATTGTCCACAGTCCGGACGCTCCACCTCCTTGGCTAGAGGAGTGGAGCGCTTCAAAAACCCTTCTCACACAGCTTCTCGGCAATCTCCATGAGGAACTCGTTGTCCTTATCCCCGTTCTCGATCTCTTCCAGCATTGTGGCCCGATTGAAGAACGTGCGCTTTTTTCTTGGGCTCCGAACAATTCCGTGTGATGTGCCCCGGCTGCTGACAGTTGTAGCAGATGATATTGCGACCGCGGGCATGGGTGCAATCGATTTCCATCGGGACCGGTTCGTTGGCAGCCGGCCGGGTCGGAGCAGGCGTGGGCGCTGCTGGTGCTGCCTGAGGGCGGAATTGGGGAGGAGGCCGTGGAGTCGAGTGCGCATAGGAGGCTTTACGCAGCTGATCGCGCAAAGCATTGGCCTCGATGTTGACACACCAGTTTTTGAAGGCACCATATGCCTTGGGTAGGGGAACGCCGGTGTTGTAGAGACGGCTTGCAATTTCGCTGCTGAGTCCGCGCTCCAGGAACTCGATGAGGATATTGTCCTGTTCCCCCTTCTTGTACTCGCCCTTGCTGTCGGTGGAGGTGACCACGTTGTATCCCGCGTCTGCAGCCAGCATTTCGAAGTCGGAGATGTAGTCCGCAAAGGACCGTCTGCCCTGGCGAAGGGCCATGAGTCGGGCGGCAGCGACTTGCTCTGTGTTAGAATCCCCAAAGGCCCTCTGAAGCTCCTCCAAGAAGCTTGTCGCGGTGAATCCCGCCTTTAGTCCTTGGAAGCCCTCGAAATTGTGCTGCTTCCAGTTCATCGCCCATCTTGAGGCGGCGCAGCTTGTGCCGCTCTCATTGCGGAGGTAGGACAGGACGAAGAGGATTTTCGTCTCGTCCAGCGAGAACTCTGACTGATAGGCACCGATGTAAGTGGTGCACGCATCCACAAAGCCCAGGTACTTGGACTTGTTGCCATCGAAGTAGGGGGGGTTGGCGGCGAGGGTGATGCGGTGATGTCCTGACATGGTAGGAGCAGGTGCGGTAGGTGGGGGCGAGGGTGGTTGTTTGGAGGGTAACTCGTCTTCAGGCGGCGGAAGGGCGAGATAGGGGTTGGAGGGCCCGGGTTGGTTTTGATGCGCCAGATCGGGCGACAATGGTATGATGGGGGGAGGGGATGGACTCCCAGATGACAATGGGAATCGGTACGAAATGGTGGATTTGTGTGCTGTACAAGCACTCGAGGGAGGGTTCTTTTGCTAGCAAAAAGATCCCGGGCCTAGCTCTTCACGTGCCCGATGATCCCGAGGTGCGTTTTCCCGAAGGTCTCCGCAGCACTCCTTGTAGCTACCGTGAGGCTTGGGTTGGGCTCAATGTTACCCGTGGCCTGGTGCTGTTTGCTCGATATGAACCTTTGATTGCGATCGCAGCGAGCGACTAGATGATTCGGTAAAAGGGTGAGTGGGATGATAACGGTGAAGAGGATATAGCGGGCGTAGCGGTGCAAGGGGCAGGGTAGGAGGTAGGAGGTACGAGGGTATGAGGGGAGTCTTCAAATTATGTGACAATCAACCCAAAAACAAAGTCGAAAAGAGAAGTGAACTCGAAGACTGGAGAATACAACCAAGTAGCTACTGTATTTCTACCCAAATCCAGTCTATGTCATAGCTACAACTAATGATTCATAAGGCTATATGCCGCATGGAGCACTGGTCATGGGTTGTAGTAGAACCTTCTGGAGCATGTGTTGTGCAGCCTTGAATCAATAGAGATATCCCCTGGGCCCCTAGTCCAGACCGTGTGTTGCTGTGATCTGTGATAAGATAACCCATGGCAAGATAAGATAAGATTGTTGATGACAAGATAAAAAGTGGCTGAACTATGACAATGACCTCACCATCAATTTTGGATCAATCATTGTTAAAAAATGTCTGATTTTCCCAAGGACTCTGAAGTGCAATCTTTTCAGCAGCAGAAACTTGGGAACATTCTTTGAGAAGTTTCCAAAACAATATGTCTGCTCTGGGTACTGCAAGTTCTGTGGGTTGAGTGGTTTCCAGGGCAAGGATTGAGAGACCCGCTGCGGCGGAGTTTGGTCTGTAGTCCAAAGATTAGCATAGGGCGGACGTTGTCTTTGGCCTTCCTCAATTTCATTGTAGCTTGAATCAGAACACTAGTGCTGTACTACAATGCTCCAGACGTTCAAGATATTGGTATACATACTACATGGACCCCAGGAAACATGTACTGATTACGTATCAATCCTGTCTGTTGAAATTACATAGAATTCCTGGGATGCAGCTCAGCTGTCCCGGAATGCTCCAGATCATTAGACAATTGTATATTGTCATATACTGGTCAATAGTAGAATATTCTAGATTACTTACATTACTAGTATATAACTAGGCTGGTATGTAGTCTAAAGGGCATCAGTTTGCCCTCAAGCAATTCAAGTTCAATTCTCATTGCTATTGCAAACCTACACTTCAATTAACTAATCAACCCTTTGACCCATTTTCCCCAACACTGTCCATCACGAATCACTGATATGTGTCTTGGTTATAAGCATGTAGTTTTGAGCCTCCATAGCCCCCCTTACTCACATCTTGGTCACAAGACCATGTCCTGATCTTCCGCACTTGGTGAAAATAGTGTGATCACCTTCAGCATCTAAAACAGCCTGTACTGAATCCCTCATCAAACATGTGTACTTATTGATGTCATCAATCAGCATCTGCTGCCACTCTTCTTTGATGGCAGCTTTCAGAGCTTCGAATGTCATGGGAAGCAGTTGACAAGCTCAGATCCGTTTCTCCAGCTCATGCCAGCATGGTTCAATTGGGGAGACATCCGGGGAGGAGGTAGGATGGGGGAAGAGTGGAATGTGATGCACTTTGGGCCAGTCAATTTTGGAATGTGCCATGTGATAAGAAGCCCTGTCCTGCTGAAACTGAATCTTGATGCATTGACCACGATGCATTTGGAGAGCCTTCATTGTTGCATGCAAATGCGTCTTGAGAACTTGCTTTTGGAGGAGATCAGCTGACATTCCCCCTCCCTCCCCTCCCGGATACTTCAAAATGACAATGGGTCCTTTGAAGTCATGTGCAATGCAAGCCCAGACCATGACCCAAACGGTGGACTGCTTGGACTTGGGGACAAAGCAATCCTCAAATCAAGTGCAGGACTACTATCGAAGACCTAGATCTGCAAACACTTTGATGGAGGCCTGTAACGCGGCAGGTGGATTTTCCCACTGGAAGATCGTAGCGGAATCCGAAATTAGGGAGACGAGTAGTATTAGGAGAATATAATGATTATTATGGCCCAGCCCCGGGACTCGAGTAGCTCGAGTGCGAGGCTCACCAGAGACGTGCCACCAAATGGCAGGCCTCGAGAATTATATAGCCCTAATCCACAACTGATTATACCCGGTCTGCCGGGCCCCGGTCGACTACGGTCGACGTTGCTTTGAGAGGTGGTCGAAGGGACCGATGAAACGAGACGCAGATGGTTTGTTGTAAGAAGAAGATTGTCTGTATTTGTTTGACTGCCATCATGTGATGGCAGTCCGATCGGGTATGCGAGTCTACAGGCTGGTAAAGTAGAATACGCGTAGGTACGAGATTATATACAGTTCAAGATATTGTCGGTCCGTGTCACAAGGCCTCACTAGCTTGCATAACCAACACCAGAAAGAAATGAATTTGAGAATAGCAAAGTTAGAACCTTTGAGACTGCCCTCAGAGACTTTACTGGCTACCTGTGGGCAAAGTGGTTGTCTCGCAACTCAGGATGTATGAACCATGTATTACCAGGAACAATTATAAGGCTGTGAGCTTTTTTCCGCATCGAAACCCAAAATGTTTAAGTCAAGATGAGCAAAGAATTGTTCTGAAGGTACACTTATGGCCTCGAATCTGAATCCCTGTGATCTAGCGTGTGAAGAGACTTGGATTAGCAACTGCAACAAGCAGGGGACCTATGAGAGCCTGCGCAAAGACCACACGTGACAAGGAATAATGTATTTGCGCCTGAACAACACCTCTCTGATAATAATGCGTGACATAGTATAGACAAAATAGCATTAAATAGACATCAGCCTGCGACTCCCTCAGGCGGCGAGAGACGTGATCGACGCCGGCAGCGCATTGTACGTCGGGCACAGCTGGTTCCACTCCGAAGTCGGGATCAGCTCCGACTGCCAGTCGGCCACATCCTCGGCCATCACGACCGCGAACCCGGCTTCCAAGTGCCAGTCGATGTGGCAGTGGAGGAACCACGCTGGTGAGATCAATCAACAATCAGAACGGTCTCGAACGTGTCACACAACGGCACACTCACGTCCGCGGTTGTCCGTGAAGAACCGAATCGTGACGTTGTCGCCCGTGGTTCCGATGTTCACCACGTCGCGGCGGGCTGGGTTGACGTAGTTGTAGGTGCTGCTGCCGGCGGAACGGATGACCTCGAAGGTGTGTCCGTGCAAATGGAACGGGTGCTGTTCGAGGACGGATTGAGTGAGCTCAGAGACCACACGGATAAAGGAGCAAGGACTGACGCCACCACCGATCACACCTCCTGCGAGCGTGATTTCGACAGACGCAAAGTGCGGGAGCGAGTACACCGAGCCGTTGGGCAGCAGCGACTGCGCGGTCTGTGCACCGGACAGGATCTGGAGCAGGACGGGAACCGTGGGGGGAACGAACGCGTCGCCGTTGATCGTGAACTTGAACGTCGTCTGAGAAAGAAAGGATGAGCGACAGACCCTGAGGAGAGACAAGACCGGTCGATGGACGCACGAGATCAAACGCCAGAGCCATGTTGAGCTGCACGTCGGCTCCGCCGCTGAACGCGCCGCCGGAAGTGCCAGGGTTCACAAGCGGGTGCAGGTTCACTTCGTTGACCAGCCCGTTGGTGGACGTGTCTTGGGACGTGGTCGGCTCCGAGGCGTTGGCTCCTTTGTCTGGAAGAAGGAAGGGATGGTCAGGAATCGCAGATAGCTATCTTTTGATAGATCCTAACGCACAGCGGAGGATCGCAGAGTTGATGCCGCCGGTGAAGCCAGTCGGACCGGTGTTCGGGTTGGCGCGGATCCAGTAGTTGTCGACCGCTTGGTCGGCAGTCATGATGAACGAGTACCGTTGGGCTGGAAGAACCAAGTCAGTGGGTGTTTGCCGCGGCGGACGACCGCACGGAGGCTCGCGCTCGCGGCTGCTCACCGGCGTAGATCTGGATCGAGTCGACGCTCAACGGCTCGTGCAGGACACCGTCGGCCTCGATGATGGTCAGGTTCGTGTGGCCGTCGATCTGGAACACGTAGTTGGAGTCGCAGCCGATGTTGACCAGGCGGAACCGGTAGCGCAAGCCTTGGGTGACGTTGATCACGGCCAGCGTCGTGTTCGCGGTGGTCGCCGCGGTACGTCCGAGACCGTTGATGAGCATCGAAGAGGGCGTGCTGCGCAGGTTGAACGCATCAGAGACAGACTGATCGCATCCTTCAGAGCAGCTACCACTCACGCAACACCGGCCACGGTCTCAGCAAAGACGTTGTACCAGTCGGCGAGAGTGATGACGGTCGACTCGTCGTCGACGTCGTACTCGGAGATGTAGGCGTCGGCCGGGTCGTAGATGACCATCGCGCCACGCAGACCGTCGCAGTACTGGGTGGCGAGATGAGAGTGATACCAGAACGTTCTGTTCGATTTTCATTGAGAGCTGCGTTTGCTAGTTCAGAGAATTGCACGTACCCTGATTGCGTGCTGGTAAAGTCGTATGTGAACGAGTTTCCGGGGGAGATCGGGCACTGGTTGATGAACGCAGGTCCGTCCATGAAGTTGGTTCCGTTCTGGAACAGTCCATGCCAGTGCTGCGAAGGAGGGAGGAGAAACGGAAACCAATCAGGGATGCCCAACAAGGCGAGCGTTGGCTGAGGCTCACAATCGACGTCGGCTCGAGCATGCGGTTGTCCTGCTGCTGGTCGACGACCGTCAGCTGGAAGTTGTCGCCGATGTTTCCGGTGACGAGCGTTCCAGGGAACGTGCCTCCGGCCAGGACGGCTGCGCGGGGCAGACCGTCGGGCGAGATCGTTGCGTTGGCCACCACCAGGGAGCCAACTGGCCCAACCGTCGCGGCGGAGACGATCCGCGCTGCCGCAGCGAGAGCAAGGAGGGTGCGGGACGAGGACGAGGAGAACATGAGTGCGATCGGGTCTGTGAGCCAAGGAGATCCTGGTACTACCGGTGCCGTGCTTTCCAGCTGAGTGGCCTGAGTTCATTTATACGCTTTCAGCGGAGAGAGACGATCAATGTTAATCATCCACACGGTTTCCCAATCGGGAAACCCACGCGCACCTTGTCAGTCCGAATTCGGGTTGGGCGCCCGGACGGAGTTGAGTGGCTGGACGACAATGACTAAGAGGCTTGTCGCAGAGACGACCCAGGAACCTGCGAGCTGCCGGAGGGAGGAACATTCTCCCGTAACAGACTTGTGATGCGATTCCAACGCGCCCAGACAGCCCGAAGCTGTTACTGCGCAAACACCTGCGCTTTTTTTTCACCCGTGTATCGCATCAAGAAACCTTCTCTCTTGGCTTCCGAGTCATTCACCCAGACCCGGCTCGAGGTCAAAGCTGCGAGTCGATCCGAGAGGCGAGACGGAGAGAACCCACTAGTGAACATGGATTGGGCTGGTTTCGCCGGCACTGACGCAATAGCAGCGGCTGTCCCATGGCCTGATAGCCGAACCGTGCATCAACAGCGTTCAGCCGGCGATCCAAACTCTCGCCGTCGGACACTCGTCACGCCCTCTCAACATCTCGGATCGGCGATCCGAATCGGAACCGAGAACTCACTTTCGACGGATGAAGACCGGCCTTCAAGCTGGACTCATTCCCAAAGTTGTCCTGGGGTCAGCTCAAAACGCGCCCTGCCCCAGCGTTGACCTCGGATCCGTGTCGTCCCCGCGTCTCCTCTCGTTTGGGTAATCCGTTGAGTCTGCAAGCCGCGGCGGAAACCGTTGAAGTTCTGAGACTTGCACATGCGCTGGATCAACTTCTGTTGTAGATCCCAGCAATGAGCTGCTTCAGCCGCATCCCCGTCGGTTGCTGGTAGGAACCGCCATTCTCGCTACGCCCGATCTGATTGTTAACAATCGGTCGATCGATCGACCAAATGCGGTATGTCAAAACCGATGACGAACTGCGGCTAACACACAGCACAGCCGCTGCTCCGTCAAACCCGCTGACTGAACGTAGAACCGGCGGCGGTGTGCGGTGACACGATGGCTGTCAATGATCCACCGTTCTGCTCCGTTGCATCCCGGAATCGCTCGTTAATGATCTGCTCGGCGATGTGGGAACATTCCTCAGCTCAGTCTTCACCCGTAGAGTCTCTCAGGAGAAAGCATCTACGTATGGCAAGTTTGCAGTACTCGGAATAATCCAATCGTGAGTACAGAAGCGTTGAGAGCTCAAAAGGCTCCTGGCGGACAGATTCGGTGTGTCGATCTGCATCATGCTGGTCCACGTTCGGCGTTGCTGTCCGCGCTCCTGTTGTGCCTGAAGCGAGGGTATTCGTGCTCGTGCCGGTGCGCTTGGTATAGAAATGTCCGCTCGATCCCGTAAAGTCAATCCAACAGCGCGAGTCGATGGGCGGCAAGCGCCCCATCGCTTGTAACGCAGCCCCTTGTTCAACAATCGGGTGGAGAGATTGCAGTTTTCCGGGGCAGACTTGGACGGACCATAAAACTCGAAATACGATTAGAACCTTATCCACATCCGGTCGGAAGGTGCAACTGCGATGAGTGATCGGCGCTGCAGGTGCGATACTTACCTGCTTTATCTTCTTTCCAACGATCCGCTCCAGAGGACTTTTTGGCAGAATCACAGTTCATTGTTCCTGGTGCACAGTCCATGGTGGACCGTTCTTCTTGCGTTCTCGGATCCAAGAAGACTTTTCGCCAGCATTTTAGGTCCGAGGTATGACCAAATGTGTAGGAGTGGGACTGTATCCAGTCCTACTTTTGATCTAAAACTCACGTGTGGCCTTCGCTTTGAGTCGCGAGCGAGTCCTACTGCCGCTCCACACTGGGAGACGGCACCGTGATTGATCTGTCAGATCAGGATCACCGAAGGCTGTGTCCTGTGTTGGATCTGTGTGATGATCTTCGGTCCATGCCTGCCTGAGCCACCATCTGCCTTGAATTCATCGCGACGAATTTGGGCAGGAGACTCAGCTCGAGCGTGTCTTGAACATGGCTGAGAGCACAATCACTCACTACTTTGCGGCAAAGTACAACCCTAGTGGTAGGAATAAGCCTTCGCGCATGGATCTACCCACAATTCCATATGCCTTCCGGGCCAGTTCTACCCACGGGCTGTGGGTAGAACCAGGACATTTGGGTTTGGTTTCAGTGGGAATTGAACTGATGACCTTCTAAAAAAGAAATCCCTAACCAATGCATTGTCACACTGGGCCAAACTGGCTTTATGTTAAAAGCATTGTCCCTTGACAAGATGTGACGATAGGCCTAACTGTCTTAAACAAACCGCGCCCCTCTGGGCGCGGATGTTAGCGGTTCGGGCTCGGGTTCGGGTTGGGGCTAAAGGTTAGTCCCCAAAGATGTCATTTTCTCTCAGTAATGGTTGGGAGAAGGTAGCAAAAAAAAATAAGACCTGATATAGGCTCAGTTAGGGTTGGTTAGGGTTGGTTAGACTCAGAAATATGTTTATTGGGTTGTTAGGGTTTGAAATAACCAATACTAGGATAAAGCTTTCCCTCCACTTAGGGCAAGCCGCTTGCACTTAGGGCAAGCCGCAAGCGGCTTGCCCTAAGTGGAGGGAAAAAGTGGGAACCCTATATCGGCTGTTTAGCTCAGTCTGTTCATGCACTGAATTTGAATCATTTTTACAAGGTCAGTAGTTCAATCCTCACTGAAACCGATATGAAATTTTCTGGTTCTACCCAGTGGACGGGTAGAACCGGCCCCGAAGGCATCTGAAATTCTGGGTAGATCCACGACAAAAAGCCTTTAGATTACGGTATAGGCTCCAAAGTAATGGTAGAATATTTTTGAGCATTTTAAACGATGTCTTTTTGGCGATTTCCGGAGTCATTTTTGCCCGGTCCCTCTCTCACCGCATACACCTGAATCACACATACATTTGCTAGGGAGCTGATAATATTCCTCTAGACAGATTCGACTGTATTAACATACATTTCACTGGATTCTGCCAAGAGACTACTTATCTGTGGCTTAAATACTTTAGCATGTATAACATCGAAAGATGGGTCCATCTTTCTAGCTTCTCAACCTTGTTGTGACTCTCGGGAAACGGCACAGCAGTTCCACCGCAATCATCAGTATTGGAGGATTCCCGGATTTATTCAGACACTCCGTCGTGACTAGTAAGCTCACTTGCGGTCATGCAAATAGTTCTTTCTGAGACGGATCCAAGCGTTGAAGGTGAGTCAAAAATCCTGTGGGACTTGTTCTGCTTCGAGACCCATTTCTGACCAGTAGAGCTTCCCGAGATATCCGATTTCTCACAACCTGTGAGTGCTCTCTCAGATTAATCCATGTGATTGGTTTCTTCTCAAGGTTTGTTTGAGAAAACATTCATGGACCGGGCCTACTCACTTGCTGATGTATGCATGTATCACAAGCTATGTCAGTCTTGAGCATAGTCTCGGATTGTCCCTGTCTGTTGATCAAGATGGTATGTGCAATAGGGATTTTATTCAGACATGAAATGTATTGAGTACTTACTTGTACAGCGCAATCAAAGTCTGATCCCCAACCGTGCAAGCGACCTGTGCAGGGAATGAAGACAAAGATTATTGGAGAAGATTGTGGAGGAATGGCCTCAGTCCCTAGTGAGCTCTGGGTTCACAAAGTCCCAACAATCCACGTAGTTCCGGTTACCTGGCCTGTACATGTAAGGGCAACCTCGAGGCCCGATCTCAGAGTCCTGACGAGGGAGAGTCCAAAGAGAAACCGAGTTGGGGACTCTCCTTGTCAGGGCCCACTATATATAGCCTACAGAACAATGGATGAGCAAGCACAATGGGAGCGCCAGACAATGGGCCAGGGAGCAATGAGGGGCCGGATTGGGGAGAACAATGGGAGCCGGACCATCGGAACAATGGGGGTCCGGGCCGGAGTGTCATGTGGATGTGCTTGGCAGGGAAGTCCGGACCGAAGCATGTGACGCCTGACAGATGGCGTGTGCATGGTCACATGCAAGATCCCATGATGATTGGACAAAAGCAGGGGTTCCCCTGACAGTACATTCTGAAAGGCTGCAGTCTGCATTGCACATGGTGATAATATCAATCAGAATCCTCCCTTTGTCGAAGCGGCTTCATATAATAAGCGCCGCAGAGTATAGGGTTGAAGATTTGGCTTGTATTCTAATGTAGTCTTCAAAATCAGCTGTGCTGTCAGATGTCACCAGACTTCAACCACCAGGGAATGTCAATCTCCCTCCACTGATCATGATGGGACTGCACCCAGTAGGACTGCTCTCAAAAAAATGGGAGCGGAGCCAAGTCCTACTTGATCAAAATGCAATCCCACTCCTACAAGTCTCGTATATACTCTTTAGGTCACGATGGTCAACTTACCTTCTTGGTCTATCTCTTGGGCTATTTCTCTTCCTCCGTGTAAAAAACATTGCGGGGAGACTCAACACTGCAATATGGACAATTGAACTGTATATATAATCTCATATGCACACCTAAGTAGACTACGAATCCTGTATACTGCCGTTGATTGATCCGGCTGCCCATCCACATCTAATGGGCGGCTAAACAAATGCACACTTACTTCTTGCATTCTGACCGTGACCCCGTCCTCGTACGACTCCCTTTTGCGACATTGGACGTACTCAACTGGTGCCCGGCAGACCTGGCTTCATAGGAATCAGATTACAGAATAGAATAATTAGAGACCTCCACTCAGTGGAGGGCCTCCAACTGGTTACTGTGCTTGAGTTGCTCGAGCTTTGGGACTGTGTCTTAATTCCTATATTCTCTTAATCCTATCCCTTGCCTAATCCCAGATTCCGCTACATTTGTTGTGTGGAGAATCACCCTGTGCGTTACAGAGACTCATCTGTCACGTCTTTAAATATTCTTGCAAGCTGGTGGCCAATAATTCTTGCCGATGCACAGATTCCTGCTGTTTTTTCACGGAAACATTCTCAACTCCCCGG